ATGTGGCGGCCGTCAGGACAGCAGTGGAACCCATGGTGCAGATGAAGGCAATTGGTAACATCAAGGAGTACATCTCGCGTGAGGAGAAGCCACAGTTCAAGTCGCACGTGATCGCGTATGGGTTGTGGCTGGCCATCCGAGACAAGTACGCCCAGCAGAGCCGGGCCGCGATTTCTCTGCTGGAAGATCAGAAGTCCGATTTCAGGATGCAGCAAGGCGAAGCGGTCAGCAAGTATGTAGCCAGGTGGTGTACCTTGCAGTCGCAGCTGGTGCAAGCTGGTGAGGTGGTCAAGGAGGAGAGCGCCATCCGGACCATCCTCAAGGGCCTGACGCCGCCTTACCGCAGCTTTGTCACCACCATGATGAACAACTCGGACGTCAAGACGGTTGCGGAGCTGGAGAAGCGCTTGCTGTCGGAGGAGAAGCTGATCGAGCAGTTCGACACCAACTTGACCTACAGTCTCAACTATGCGGGACGCGGCCTGGGCTCGGGAGGAGCCCACCGGGGCAAGGAGAAGGAGACCCGCACGTGCTATTACTGCGATGAGCCCGGCCACCTTAAGAGGGAGTGCCGGAAGCGGGAGCGTGACCTGAAGGCTCGTGGGCAGGCACCGGCACCTCAGGCGCACCAGGCGCCGGCACCGCAGCCGCCGGCAGAGCCGGCGGCACCGCGGGCGCCCCCGGCTCCAGGTCAGCGGCGCCAGCTCATTGGCGCGGTTCACCTGGTGGCTGGAGTGAAGACGGAGCGCGGTGAGTGGATGCTCGACACTGGCGCGGAGGAGATGGTCACGGGGGACGCGTCGTGCCTGACCGACGTCACACCGGTGGGCAGTGAGTGCCGGGTTCTCTTCAAGATGCCTAGTGGGGACCTGATTCCGCCGACTAGCGTGGGAGACCTCTTCCTGGGGTCGGATGAGTACATGACGGTTGTTAGGCTTAAGGCGTACGTGGTACCGTCGATCGAGCTGAGCCTTTTCTCGGTTAAGGCCATGGAGCGGGCTTTGGGGCACAAGGTGAAGGTGTGCCTAGATGGGGACGACTCCTACTTGGAGGTCGAGGGAAAGCCGGCCCTTAGAGCGCACAAGCGGGACGGCATGTATTTCCTGCGGAATGAGAAGTACCTTGTCGCGCAGCCCGTGGGAGTCAGTGGAGAGGAGGCCCCGCCGGTGCAGGCTGAGGCCTCGCCGGTGCAGGCTGAGGCCTCGCCGGCACAGGCTGCGGTTCCGCCGGTGCAGGCTGAGGCCTCGCCGGCGCAGGCTGAGGCCTCGCCGGCGCAGGCTGCGGGTCCGCCGGTGCAGGCTGAGGCCTCACCGGCACGGGCTGCAGCAAAGCCGGGGCCGACTGCTGCCAAGCTCCCGGGTCGTAGGATTGAGAAGATGGCCTGGCTGCGGGTAGAGTCTGAGCATGCGAATGCCATCGGGAGGGTGATGCGCGATATGGCGAAAGAAAAGAAGCGCGAGGCCCATAGGGAGAAGTGGAAGCACCTGGAGAAGGCGGAGGAGAAGAGGCAGAAGCGCATAGAGAAGGAAGTGCGTGAGCGTGAGCAGCGTGAGCAGGAGCGGAAGGCTGCTGAGCTGCTCCATCGGCGCTGTGGGCACCCGGGTTTCGGGCGCCTGACCAGGGCGGTTAGCTACGGGATGGTGCGGGGAGTAGGAGTTACGCAAAGGGGCTTGCTGGCTGCGAAGAAGGCGGGATGTGTGCCGTGTGTGCTAGGAAAGCAAGTGCGGAAGTCACACCCACCGTCAGAGAGCACCTGCGAGCGGGTGCTGGAGCGTGTGAGCATGGACCTCTGTGGTCCCATGCCTGAGAAGTCTCTCGGGGGGTCCCGGTACTTCGCCACGTTCTACGATCACTTCAGCCAGTTCTCGGAGGTTCGGTGCATTTCGTCTAAGGACTATGTGCCGGCGGTTGTGTCCGAGGTCCTCCGGTTGTGGGAGAACCAAACCGGGCTGAAGGTACGCACTGTGCGTACCGACAACGGCACGGAGTATGTGAATGAGCGGCTGAAAAGCGTGTTCCGTGAGATGGGTATCATGCATGAGAAGTCAGCGCCGTACACCCCGCAGCAGAACGGTGCAGCTGAACGGCTGAACTGTACCCTGCTGGAGCATGTGCGCACGATGTTGGTTGATTCGGAGGCCCCTAAGAACCTGTGGGATGAGGCGGTGCGCACGGCCTCCTACCTGCGCAACGTGATCCCCACAGAGAATGGGAAGCGGACGCCGTGGGAGGCGTTTAAGGGCCACCTGCCGGATCTGTCGCATTTGCGTGTGTTTGGGTGCCGGGCGTACGTGATGATTCCACCACCGCAGCGGAGCAAGCTTGGTCCCACGTCCTGGGAGGGTGTCATGGTGGGCTATGAGCCGGGCAACAACGCCTGGCGCATTTGGCACCCGGAGTGTCGGAAGGTGAACGTCAGCTGTGACGTCACGTTAGATGAGAGCTGGGGTGAGTGGGAGTCTGAGTCGGAGTCTGAGTCTGAGGAGGGATCGGACTCGGGTCTGGAGGAGGAGGAGGAGGCAGATGCCGAATCCAACCCCGATCCCGATCCTGAGTCTGAGTTCGAGGATGCAGAAGAGGGTGGCGGTTCCGAGGATGTGCAGGAGGGAGGGGGCGCTGATGACGTCCCCAATGAAGGCGTAGGTGGTGAGGTTCCGGTTGGGCCTGCTGCTGCTGCGGGGGCTGCGGCCGATCTGCCTATTGCGCAGCGCCGTGCTAAGCGAGCTAAGGCTGGTGTGCCGGCCAAGAAGCTGGCTGATGAGCAAGCGGCTAATGCGGTCGGTGCGGATGGCTTAGGCATTAAGGTGCCGGTCACTTATGAGGAGGCGATGGCGTCTCCGTATGCTGAGTATTGGCAAGCAGCGATGGAGAAGGAAATTGCGTCGCTTCGTGAGAAGGGCACTTGGTCCCTGGAGGAGAAGCCGGCGAGTGCGCGTGCGCTGGGCGTGAAGTGGGTTTACTCCCTCAAGGTTGATAAGCACGGCGTGATTGAGCGGTTCAAGGCGCGCTTGGTCGTTAAGGGTTTCATGCAGCGGGAGGGGGTTGATTTTGCGGAGGTGTTTGCCCCGGTTAGCAAGCACTCTACCCTGCGTGCTTTCCTGTCTATGGTCGCGCATGCTGACCTGGAGATGCACCAACTGGATGTGGTTACTGCTTTCCTGAATGGGGAGTTGGAGGAGGAGATCTTTGTGGTACAGCCCCCTGGCTTCGAGGAGGGCGGTACGGGTGTGGTGTGCCGGCTGCACAAGTCGCTGTACGGCTTGCGCCAGGCACCGCGTGCGTGGCATAAGAAGCTGCATGATAAGCTGGTGGAGATGGGCTTTGTGGTTTCGGCGGCGGATCCCAGCCTGTACGTGCGGGAGGTGAATGGAGAGAAGGAGTATCTGCTGGTGTACGTGGATGACCTGCTGATTGCGGCATCTAACGAGGCGTTGGTTGTTGCGGTTAAGGCGGCTATCATGGAGCTGTTTGAGAGCCGCGATATGGGCGAGGCGGAGCTGTTCCTGGGGCTGGTTATTCAGCGCGACCGGGCGGCTCGTTCCATTACGCTTTCCCAGCCGCGCATGATCCAGGAGATTGTGGAGAAGTATGGCATGTCGACTGCTAGGCCTAAGTCGGTTCCCATGACGCCGGGGACTTACTTGGTGCAAGCTGGAGCTGAGGAGCGTCTCGACCGTGGGAGGTATCCGTACGGCGAGCTGGTAGGGAGCCTACTCTACCTGGCTGGCTGCACGCGACCCGACATCTCACAAGCCGTGGGAGTGCTGGCGTGGCACATGGCGACGCCAGCTAAGGAGCACTGGAAGGCAGCGAAGGAGGTGGTTCGTTACTTGGCTGGTTCGGTAGATTACGGTCTGGTGTTCGGGGGCAGCAGGGCCGATGAGAGGCTGACGGGCTTTTGCGATGCTGATTTCGCCGGTTGTGTGGATACCCGCCGGTCTACGACTGGGTACGTGTTCACTCTGCACGGGGGGCCGGTTAGCTGGTCGAGCAAGATGCAGCGCACGGTGGCAGCGTCAACGATGGAGGCGGAGTACGTGGCAGCATCTGAGGCGGCTAAGGAGGCGCTGTGGCTGCGGCAGCTGATGTCGGACCTGGGCTACGAGGTGATGCCGACGCACATCAACTGCGACAGCCAGTGCGCGATCAAGGTCATTAAGAATCCGGTAGTGATGGGCCGGTCGAAGCACATTGCGGTGCGGTATCACATGATTAGGGAGCAGGTGGCGATGGGAGCGGTAGTGATGGTTGACTGCCGCACGGAGGAAATGGTGGCGGACTGCCTGACAAAGGCACTGCCGTTGGTGAAGTTCGAGCAGCACCGCGAGAGCATGGGGGTGCGCAAGGTCTGACCGCGTGGGAGTGTTGAGACTTGGCGTGTGGTTTCGTTCAGACTTGCGCGTTTCCTGAGAGTTTAGAGGCTATGGCGCCGTACCACAGTACGGCGCATCTCTTTGGTGTATCAGCAGCCCTGAGGGGTTGCTCACGTTAGGTTGTAACGGCTATGAGGCACTGACACTAAAGCGTACAATTTGTTGGGTGGGGTTGTCAAGGGGTCGCGGTGGTAGGTGCAGAGTTCAGTGTGCAAGCAGTGTATAATCGACAGCAGCCCTTTCATTTAATAGCTCGCAAGTGTTGGCAAGAAATGGACTGCTGGTAGAGCCCTGATGGCTGCTAAGCCAGCAAGGCGCACACGGGAGCAGCTCATCTGCTTAGATAGCAGCCACCTATCCTGAGCTTTGATCACCTTTCTGCACTAGATTCCCAACCTCTGTTGTAAACTCCAACGCCCTGATTCGCAATTATGCGGGCACCTTAGCATACCGGTACCGGTAATGCTGTGTTGGCGGTGGAGAAGGCATTGCGACTCCATAGGCATTCAAAACATGTTATCTACACAGATAAAGTCTGCACGTATTGAACGACCGGGTGCCACGTGATAGGGGGCTTGGCTCGTTCATCATGGCAACGGTCGCGGACACCATTATAAACGTCAAAACAATTGTGACGCTTACTTGCTTGCTTTCTTCTTCCTAATGCGAAATTGTTGAACAGGTCCTCCGCCTGTTCAAAAGCTGACACTAATTTGCATTTACACTGCTTAACCTAGCGATCGGAATTTTGCTGCGAGAGGGCTTAGCAGGTATTACCTCGATCAAGCTGGATGAGATGCTTGGAGTAACGTTCACTTCAAGGGCGGCCCTTGATGCTGACTCCCAACAACGAATGGAAAGGAAGGCAAGTCCAGCTTGCATATCTAGGGCTTGCTTTACATCTCTTATCAATGTTAGCATTTGTAGGACTTGAAGAGGGAAAAGGGAGCCAGGAAAGCGGAAGTTGGAAAAGAACATCTCGGTACAGGTGAGTGGATCACATACGCATGGGCAACTGCGTGCTGTCGTCTAAGCTGGTATCAGCGCCTTTCTGTAGGCGACGGCTTGGTTACATCTCTGACGAGTTCAGGCAGCTTAACGTTGGACCTTCCCAAGGCGGTTCTGCACAGCGACAGCCTTACGGGTACATCTGTTTTGTTACCCATGTTGAAGTGCCTAACGCGATGCCCACTGCCCTGGGCCGCACTCCTGCTACTCGGGCGTTAATGTCTTGTCAAGTTTATCGGGTTGTGGTTTGGTTTGGTGCCCTCGTGTCCCCGCAGTAATGTCTTATGCTACACTTGTGTGTTCACACTCTCCCACTGCGCTGAGCACGGGATTCCTGGCAAGGCCACTAATGCTGGGCGAACGACCCCTGCAGCTGATGTCGCACCTCAGCGGGAGGACTGGATGACTCAGCCCATACGCCCTGAGCGGGTCCAAGAACAGCACGACCGTCAGGACGAGGTATGCATGGCTGTAACAGAATTGTTGCCGCAAAAGGAGGTTGTACCACGAGGAGGTGCTAGTCGAGCCGCTGTATAAGGTGATGCAGGCGGCATAATTACAGGTTCCATTGATTCCGTTGGGACTTGTACTGCAGTGTGCTAAGCTTGCTTGGCAGATGCTCTCAAGCCAGCCAGCCAGCTCTCAAGCAGGGACCAGTACTACTTTATGTTCCTTAGCGTCCAACTCATTATGCACTGGCCATGATGTTCCATCTGAACTGCACCATGCTGTGATATTACGCCCATTCCCGTTACCACCACGCCTGCGGAATGGTACCTGGTACCACTCTTCGGTAGCAGGCCTTGCCGGCAGAGCCTGAGGTTGTGGCTGGCCTGCGTGTCATGCGGAAGCATAACCCGGAGGCTCTTGGAGGGATGGGGGCGTCGGCGCCAGGGGCGGCCTTAGCAGCCACCAATACAGCAGCTCTAGCTAGTGACAGCAGAAGCGGTATGGCCTCCGGACGTACGGGAGCTATGGTGGGCGATGGTGGCGCCAGCTGGCGTCTTAAGGCTCTGAGGCGAGCACAGGAGCAGGCGCGGGCCGAGGGTCGTAACCTGCAGGAGGTGCGTGCGGGGAGGGTCCATGGGCGGAGGACAGTGGGTAAGTTAGAAGGGAGGCCCATATGAGAGAGGACACTGTCGATGAGCGACTGCATTGGTTCCCCAAGTCCAAGCCGTACTGGTAGCTGGCAGAATTTGCGTTGTGGCACAAGAGGTTGCCTGTCAGTAGGCGGAGGTTGGTGGCGGCAGGTTCGGGACGGCGGCTGCAATTGTCAGGCGGTATGACCGGGAAAGGGTCGCCTGGTAAAGTTCTGGCCCCCGTTTCCATGCAACCCCCTCCCACAGGTGGTTGGCGAGCGGTGGGGCTCCCTGGCGGACCTTACCCAGGAGCTGTCCACCTTGGCTGCAGCAGATGGTTAGATGGGTTTAAGAAAGGGAAAGGGAAGGTAACTCTAGGTGCCCGAGTATGGGTACTTTGGGAGATCGGGATTGGCATGGATGGCTGTGGGATGAAGATGCCATAAAGGGGGCGAGAGGCGGGCTAGACGAATATTGGAACGGAGCAGTGGTACCAAGCCCTGGTTGCTCCAGTCCACCCTCTACTGCGGGGTTCTTTTGATACCAACTGTTCGATGAATCCGATGTCGTTCCAAAGACAGAATCGAACGAGCGTTACAACAAACGGAATGTGTGATAAACATAGCTGTCAGCGACACGCTCCAACGGAAATAAGGCCATGTTAAATGCCAGCAAGAGCATCAAACGACATGAACTAGCGCTGGGACCTGGGATTTGCTATAGGTTGAGCCTCCCTTGTCATCTCAACTGCTCTCCGTCGGCTCTTGCATGCGTAGGCAGGGCGCACCTGCGGGCTGCCGCTGCTCGCCGGCGGGTGGGTGAGGAGGCCACTGCTGGGCCGGTGCCGCACTACCTGCAGGTGGGGCGAGGAAGGGAGAAGGCAGGTAGTTGGAGGCGGTGGCCAAGGGGAAGGACGGAAGTGGTCTCGTCGCCCTTTTATGCATTCAACAGTAGACCTCGCCTTTGTTAGCCGCCAGCCTTGACGTCCCTCCATGCCACTTCCGCCCTCCTCGCTCGTTCCGCCTCTTCTCCATCCTGCTGTTTCTGCTCCTCTCGGTTGCCGTCAGGATGTCCGCAGCGACAGCGCCAAGATGTTGCGTCCCTCAGAGGACGCTTCCCTCAGCTGGAAGAGGGACCGACGAGACAGGGACAGGGGCCGTGGCGACGAGAGGTCCCGGCCTCGCGATGGCGACCAAGGAGCCAACCGCCCCAATGGTCAGGGTGGCGCACGCGGCACTGCTGGCGGCCGTGACGACCATCGGCGGTCTGAACATGGTCGCGAGCAGGAACAAAGGGCTGGCAATGGAGGGCATGGCCGGGAGCCGGAGCGAGAGGAGCAGCGGCCGGACCGTGACAGGGAGCAGGAGCATGACCGCAGCAGGAGCTACGACCGGGGTCGTGACCGGAGGGATGATAGGGACAGGGACCGCGAAGGGGACCGCTCGGAAAGGGAGCGGGGTAGGGAGCGTGGCAGGCGCGACAGGACGGGCGAGGAGCGTGAGCGCCACGGTGAGCAGGGCCGCTTGCGTCCGTCTCGGGAGCAGGTGGCGGCGCTGCAGGCAGGTGAGCGGGCGGCGGCGTACGGCGGGGGGGGGGAGCGCTGCACACCCTTAGGTCGCAGTCCGTTGCGAGTATAACCGGGTTGAAGCTTGTGGTTCATGTGTGGAGAAATTGGTTTGTTGAAGCTCTTTTCAGCGGCTTGCTTCCAAGCTTAATCACGACTAGGGGACTCGCAAGCATGAACTAGTAGTCCCTCACAGCTTAGACCTCCCACCTCCCAAGGATACCTTGTCATGGCTCCGACCCCAACCGTCCTCTTCTCATTCCACTCCCTGCTTGCACCGTCCTCAGCTGGCGGGGTCGCTCAACTCCTTTGCGGACGATGGCTCCTTCATGGCAAGGTTCGCGGCGATGCAGGGAGAAGCGCAGGTAAGAGTGCGTATGTGGAGGCCGGGGCGAAGCGCCATTGTAGGGCAGCAGGATAGCAGACATGCGGGGTAGGCGGTCCCTCAACTTTGCAGCTAGCACAGCCCTTGTTCCAGCTGTATGCCCTCTTGGACCTGGGTGGCCCCCCTCGCCCTTGTAAAACCCCGTGCAGGCAGCGCCAGCAAAGGCTGAACCTGCCTTTGACGGAGCAGGCAACAGGCCCGATAGAAGCAGCGACGAGGGCATCCGCATCAAGCTGGAACCAGGTGCGGGACTCAGTGATGCCGGCGCAGCAGACGGCGACGAATTGTCGGTCCCACGGGTCGGTGGGACTGGGACGGGGCCTGGGAGCAGCGGTGGTGGCGGAGAGACTGGTGGTGCCGGCAACCGGGCAATTGCAGCCATGCTACGTGCAAAGGCAGGAGGCGGTGCTGCAGCAGCGTCAGCAGCTGCAGTTGCTGCTGGTGAGGTCGGAGCTGAGCCACACAGGTGATTGCGCGTCTGGATCCTCATGTGATGCGTAGGGGTGGTGGGGGGGTGCCGGTGTGAATTAGTGACTTGGCGGCGGCGCTGATGCGCGTCTGTGGGTAAGTGTGGTAGCATGCTGGTGGTTACTGCCTCTTAGCACACCTCAAGAGCGCAATCACACGCGACACAGCAGCAGCAGTTCCGCCTGTCGTAGCGATACCGGTAATGCTTTGCGCTCACTGTGTGCATGCAGGGGCTACCTGTTCCTACCCATCCTGCTCCATCCTGCCCCCAGCCTTACAATACTTCCTGGAATATACAGACAAGCCTCTTAACCCCCCTCCCCGGACTACACAACAACGCAGACGTGCTCCACTGTTCGTTGGCGACGCTGGTGCCGGCGCCGGCCCCAGCGGCCAGGCTCGCCCTTCCGCCGCGGCTCCCGCCCCCTCAGCTCCCGTGGCAGCCAACAAGAGCGCCGCCGAGCTGCTGCGGGCACGCCTCAAGGGCCTCCCACAGCCGCCGGCCCTGCAGCAGCAGCAGCAGCAGCCCGCGACTGGCGCTGCCCGCGAGGGGGCCGCTGATGGTGGGGGTGCTGCTACTGAGGGGACACGGCGTGGCGTCGTGCGTGAGGAGGAGGAGAAGGATGCGGGTAAGGGGTGAAAGGGGTGGAGGCAGTTATGGCGCTGAGGGGTGCCTAGGGGCGCATCTGGGAGAGCTGCGGGTACGGACGGCCGCGCAGGGTTCCTATGATGTTGGTTGAAGGGCGGTTGGCTGGGACGCCGTGGCGACCTTATCCCATACGGATGGAGGGTAAAGGGCGCGCACTCTGCAGACTTCGCAGGGGTCTTCCACACTTTCGTCGTTTCGCGTCCCTGACGCGCGTCATTTGTGCCCTTACCTTGCACAGGCGGCGCGGCTGCAGGTTCAGCGGCTGCGGGTGCCGGCCCCCGGCGCGAGGTGGTGCCGCTGCCTCTGGTAGACGAGCGGGGGCGGGCGGTGCGGGGGGCGTTTGGGCGCGAGGCGGCGGGCGCTGGGGCGGACCCGGGGGCGGGGCGGCGCGCGGGCACCAAGGCCCCGCAGCGCTACAACCGGCAGACCGGCGAGAAGGAGCGCTACTTTGCGGATGATGACAAGGTGAGGCGGGAGCGGAAGGGGAGGAGGGGAAGGGAAGGGGAAGGGAGCGGGGGGTGGCTTAGCGCGGTAGTGGAAAGGTCCCTCCCGAGGTATATCCTTAGACCTCTCCTGCACACCCGCCCAGCCGTGAATCCCGGGCCCTTGCTCCGCTTCACGAGTCCTGGACACACGCTTGGCCTAGTCCTTGGGAGTTGCTGCTCGCTGCACTCCCATAACCGGTGTTTCCCCTCCTCTCTCCTCCCCCTCCCCTCTCTCAGGTGGACCTGCAGACCATGCTGCGTCGCGCCAAGTACGGCGATGACGACATGGACATGGACGAGCACCTGGCGGCCAACATCGCCAAGAAGCGCAAGTGGGTTGTGCGCTTGTGCAATACCACATGGGGTGGCTAGGGGTGCGCAGGAGAGGGGTAAAAATAAGGAAAGGAGAGGGGCAACAAATAAAAAACGAATAAACGAGTCCCATATCCCATATCCCGGAAAGGAGAGGGGCGGGGGCGATGTCGTACTGCTACTAGCGGATTGGACCGCCGACTGGGGTTGGCGCGGCTCGGGCTCCTGTGTCCCCGCTTTCAAACTCCACCCATCTCCCTCTCCCCCTCCCAGCAACCCGCGGCACCTCCCTTGGCCTTCCCCTTAACTCCCTTTCCTCCTCCGGACCCTTCGCACCCTTTCCCCCAAGGTTCCGAGGCACGGATCTGGATGTGGACGCCGAGTACGACTACGACGGCGGGTTGGAGCTGTACGAGAGCCGCAGCAAGCGGGGCGGCGCGGAGGCGCAGCGCAACCGGGACCGCAGCCGGCAGGTGACGGAGCTGCGGCGGCAGCAGCGGGCGGAGGCGGGGTGCGCGCTGTGCCTAAACAGTGAGATGAGGGGAGGGGAGGGGTGGGAAGGAGGGAGGGAGAGGGGGATGCGGTGTTTGTGGTAGTGTTGAGGGCGTAGGGATAGGGCTTGGGCAGTTACGTTAGGTGAAGTGGTAGAAAGGCTCAGAGCTGGGAGAAGCGGGGAAAAAGCGGGGAAGAGGAAGTCAAAAGGAGGCATCAAGAGACCAGTGCTGTTCTTACCCCTGTGAGCTTTCCACCTGGCTGTTACTTCTTCCCCGCCTCTAATATGACCTGCACACTTACTATGTCCCTTCCCAGCCCCTTGTCTTTCCACCGGCTGCCCATTCTCTTGATATTATGATGTCATGTCCTTCTCTTCCCCCGCTCTACCGTTTCCCCATCCGCCGACTTCCCCACTCCCATCACCCCACCCCACCCCGCCCTCCCTTCCCCTCCCTTCCTCCTGCAGACCCCAGCCGCCCCCCGCACCTCACCATCTCCCTGGGCACCTGCACGCAGCTGCTGCTGCCCCCCCGCGGCCGCCTGCTGCGGGGGCACTGCTGCATCGCGCCCGCGGAGCACGTGGCCTCCATTCGCGGCCTGGATGAGGCGGCCTGGACGGAGGTGAAGAACTTCATAAAGTGCCTCATCCGGATGTACGGAGCGCAGGTGTGTGCCGGTGTAGAGAGGGAGGGAGCGGGGGGGCAGCTGTAAGAGGTGGAGACGGGTGGATGGTTGAATGAGCATGCGGGCATTTGGGGGGGGGGGTAAGCGCCCCGCTCCCAAAGCAAAACAGCCTGACACCGGTAGTCCTTCCACTCGCCTACCGGTGACTCTACGATTGTGACACCGGACCGCGAGCCTCCCTTCCTCCCCGTCTACTGCGCAAATCCCGCTCCAGCACCCGTGGTCCCCGCCACCCTGTAGTATGCCCTCATCCACACCCCCAACACCCCACCTACACCCCCAACACCCCACCTACACCCCCAACACCCCACCTACACCCCCAACGCCCCACCTGCTCCTACGTTTTGAGGGCTAACGTACCTCTTGACCCACCTGCTCCCCACCCACCCCACTCCTTAGGGCCAATCGGTTCTGTTCATGGAGACCTACATGATGCGCGGGGGCGCCAGGAACCACGCCGTACTGGACGCGGTGCCGGTTTCGGAGCGACAACTGGAGAAGGCCAGGTGGGCGAGAAGGGAGGAGGGGAGGCAGCAGGGGGGGGGGGCGGATCACGGTACCCCAGTACCGGGAAGCGGCGGAAGACTTGGCGTTGCGCGGCTTACGCCGGCTGCAGGTCCTGGCACACCCTCATATCCCGCATACCTGCACGTCCGGTGTCCGACAGCGGCTCGACCCACCCACCTCCACGCCGCCCCTCGCACCGCACCTCCTCCCCGCCCCGCGCTCCCCCCTCTCCCTCCCCAGGGGCTACTTCAAGAAGGCTATCCTGGAGGCGGAGAGCGAGTGGAGCACCCACCACGCCAAGGCATGCATAGAGACGTCCGCGCAAAAGGTGCGCTAGGGGGGGCAGGGAGGAGTATGTGTCGGCGCGAGAGGGTGTCTGAGAAGACGGCTGCGGTACCGGCCACCGTACTTGGGGGGTTGGAGTCATGATAGGAGAGGGCCGCATTGAAGTATGGTCGTAGGCCCTGTAAACCGGCGACAGGGTCGCATTACTTATATTACATGTGAGAATTGTCTTTCGCAGGAGTGCAGCTGCCCATTAAGCACCTCCTTACCGCGCCTCCCTTGCAACCCTTTCCTCCCCGCCCCCACAGGGTCTGCGGGAGTCCATTCCGCCCAACTTCCCGTACTTTTACGTGCAGTTTGGGTATGGGTCCGGCTACGTACACGTGATTGACGACGAGTCGAAGTTCGACCCCAATTTCGGCAGACAGGTGGGGACGCTGGGTACAGGGCGCTACTACTAAGTATTGAATGGGACGTTATTAGTAAGGCATAGCAGTGAAACCACCTGCTGCTAGCTGCCAGGTTCCGCTGACATATCTGCGGTGGAGGGGGTCACACCGACACATGGGGAAAGGATCTGCCTACCGTTCAATCCTACTCTGCCAGCACCACACCTGATGCCTGCCTGCCCTCCGGTGGTGCACCCGTTCTGTATCCCCCCGCACAACCCATGCCCCTTGCCCGCCCTCATCTTCCCTGCCCGCCCTCCCCTGCCAATCGCCCTCGACCCGCCCCCCCCATACACACACGCATCCCCCTCCCCTCCCCCCCAGGTGTTGATCGGGCTGCTGGACCTGCCCCCCGAGCTGACCCACCAGCGCCAGCGCTCCGAGCCGCCCGCCACGCAGCAGCAGTGGCTGCGCGAGTTCCGCTCGCAGTGGGAGCCGTACGACTGGACCAAGCAGCTGGAGTAGAGGAGGGAGGGGGGTTGAGGAAAGGAGGGGAAGGAGGGAAAGGAGAGGGGTTGTGATGTGGTGGTGTGGAGGGGGCGTGATGTCACTGGGGTTGGAGGTCCTCTGCATGACGTGTGTGCTCGGGTGAAGCATGCACGGGGGTGCCTGGGTGGGGGCATGTGGTGTTTAGATAAGGTGCGGACGACACGGAAGTTTGCTGCCGTGGCGTAGCTGCCAGCCTGCTAACCCGTTCGGGCTGCAGCACGCCGTTGTGAGGTATTTGGTTGCGCCTCATGTTACGAGTTGCTCCTGTCGCTATTCTGTCAAATACATCACCCCATGATGCCCTGGATGTGTGTCGCTGAGGAGCCGTGGGGCAGACTTGATACATCGGTTTGTGGTGTTAAATGTTGGTCGTACATAAATTGTACTGAATGTTGAGGTTTGGAACCGTTCCTTTCTGTCGTACTTGTAGATGACGTACAGCTGACTTCAACTCCGTTTCCTGTTGTGACCCGGTGTGGAACGGTACACACGTCTACGTGGCGCCGCGGTGGCGCCAGCAAAACATGGATGCAACACGATTGGGAAGGAACATGTCTAGGTGTGCGGCTGTGTGGATACGTTTTCCGCTGCTGGGGCCGGGTAGGACAACACCATCTGTCTGTCAGATGGCGTGGAACGACACAACCCTTTGCCCAGCTGTACGGCAGTTTAAGAAAACACGTAGGCCGTTTGGGCGGGGTTTATTCGTGCATCGGAGTTACGTTGTTTAGCTTGTTGAGCAAACTAGGCAGGACTAGTTACGGTGCATCCTATCGTCACCATGGACTGCCACTTACTAAGTGCCCTCACGTTTGACATACCATGATTGCTGCAAGAGCCCTTGTTGTTGCCGTACAATGCAAGTTGCCTAAAAAACGAAACGGGCCAAGGGCTAAGTTACGGTGCATGACTTCTGTACAGCCAGCCAATGAACGCCAACACATGAAAGCGCGGTTGCACTACCGTACACTGCATGTACGGTAGTGCCCCCATTTTGGTGTCCCGGTAGCTCGTCACCGCTTGTCTTCTAGGTTAGGGCAGGTAGTTGCTGGCGAGTGTTGCACTTGATGCGTTGAGTTGTAGTCAGCGCTGTTTGCGCGCACTCACTGCCGTTCATGTAAGACGACTCTTTACCAGTAAAGAAGCCAGGGTTCTGCCTACGTATGCTGCCCCTAGCGCGGCATCATATGTATGCTGCCCCTAGCGCGGCATCATATGTTGCGCTGCTGTACAGTGGGGGAGCGATAGTGGGCTCGTGCTGAAGCGAAGATAATCTCCACGGTTCTTATATTAGAGTGTTGATCAGCGCTGCTGCCACGGGGTATTGCAGACTACCTACCACGGCATAGACAGCATGCGATCTAGGTAGCCAAGGCTCGCCCCCACCCACAGGAGGAAAGCAGTTGAGCAACATTTCTCGACGAGCAGACGCCCACACACATCCCCTCGCGACCATGCCCATGAACTTAGCAGACATGCCGCCCCGTTGGTAAGGGGAAGCAAGATTTGAATGTCGCCGGCATTCTAAATGCCCATATCCCCCTGCTGCCACAAATAAGCAAACCACCAGCTTAAGTCACCGCGGCATTCGCTGATCACACTACAACCCTAATACTCCTCTGTGATGCTATTGCTACGTACCGGTAACCCACTGATACCATACCACTGATACCGTGTTCATTCAACCACCCTCCGCCTGCCGCTCTGCCTGCCCTTCCCGACCACTCAAGTCCTTACCGACTCCCCGCCATCGCCCATCTGCTCTTGCAGCTGCGAACACACCAAACGATACGGCCCCGTACTACTGCTGCTACGACACCTTCTCTGCTGCTACCTGCCCTACCCTGCCACAACTGCGAAGTCCCGCTACCATTGCCCCCCTCCCCGCTGCCTCCCCTCGCTACTGCTGCTGCCGGCGAGTGCGCAGCCCCCGCAGCTGCTCCGCGGCCTCCCGGGTGTCGCGAGCGCGCTTGTCCTGCAATGTGTACGACAGGGAGGGAAATAATGAAAAGGGAGGGAAGGGGAAGGGATTAGTAAGACACCAAGCGGAGAGCTATTACCGGTACGTCGTACAAAAGAATATCAGACACAGGCATTGGGCATCGGGCCCAGATGTTCATGCGGGAGATCCAATGCAGTCTGGGAACCGACGGAAGCATGTGCTTTTGAAGAGGGAACCCACTTCCCACCTAGACGTGCCGCTCCACCCAACCCAAGTCAACCCCCCTACCCCACGCTATTCCCCAACCACACACCAGTGCAATTACGTACCGGCTACCGGCTATCGGGAATCTGGGCATCAGGCTCTAAGCGCACCTCAACACCCCGCAGCCCCCCCCCAACCTCCAGTGTTTCCGCGGCTCAGTGTATCTACTCCCCCCTTCCCAAACCTCCCCCCCTCCCGGGGGGGAGGTCCCCCCACCCCGGGAGGGGGGCCCCGGGGTGGGGGGGCCCTCTCCCGTCCCCACCTTGAGTGCTCGTCGCAGCTGCAGCCCCAGGGCCCGGGCGAGCGGGGGCGGCACCGCATTGCCCACCTGAGGGTAGTAATGGTAGCGGTTGGGAGGGGGACGTAAAGTGGAGCGGGGTTGTGTGTATAGGAAACCTGGCCGCGAGTTGGGACGTACTATGACCGAAGCAAAGCAGGAAGCCCCCACCGAACACGCGGAGCGCGGTGTACAGGAGGTCGGGTTCTGTGCGTTGCGGTTGGGCGTTACTGGGGGGGGGCCGGTGGTTGAGCGCGGGAGAGGGACATGGCACCCCCATGGGAACGTGACGGGCGGGGGCGGGTACCCCCAGGAAAAGCCCAGGGCCAAGGTTTCAAGCCGCAGCAGGCCCACTAATCGCACCCGCCACCCCCCCAGGCAGCACCCAGCGCGCCCCCGTGCAGCCGTCGGACAGGCTGCGAAGCCTCTGCCCATCCAACCCACATGTCCCTCGACCTCTCCCATCCTCCGCTGCCCCTGCCTCTGACCCCCACGTCACCTCCTGCAACCCCCCACCGCCTCCCTACCCTTCCCCCCTCACCTGGCGGTGGCGGCAGTGCACATTGCCGTAGAAGCGGTAGTGGTCCGGGAAGCCCTGGGGGGGGAAGGGGGAGGAGGGGCAAGGCAGGAGGAAGATCATGATATGGCAGTACAATTGGAGCCTCATGTGCTCACAGCAGGTTGTAACCCTTCCCTTTCCTCCGCCCTTCCCCGCTTACTCCCCCCCACCCAACCTCGCCCCCCCCCACCTGGCTCCTGGCGCACTCCCGCACGCTGACGATGCGGTCCTGGTCGGGGTGCAGCACCTGCCCCACCTTGCCCATGGGGTTGGGGTCGGTGGTGGCGGTGGGGAAGTGACCCGCCGGGTCGAGCCTGGGGGGAAGAGGGAGGAGAGAGGAGGGGGGCACCGGGTAGTGTGTGTGTGGGGGGGGGCCTTAACCATGAAACCGTGGGGACTAAATGGTCCTGTAAAAAGCCACATCATCCATGCGGCGCCCTCATGCCTGCCTGCCCGCAGCACATGAGGATGTTAAGAAGACTGTGCGCGTGTTTGGTGACACACATGGACGTCTTCCCTCGTCTGCTCCACATGCGCCCTCACCCCTCCCCACCTGCCGTACAGTCCCCTCCAGCCGTTGTGCCGTGCGGCGGTGTTGGGCAGGCACCAGGGCACCAGCGGCTGGTCGGGGTCGCCCTTTGGGGGGGGGAGGGAGGGAGGGACGAGGAGGGAGGAAAGATGTGGAAGGGCGGCACGACAAGCCAGAGAGGGAGGGAGGGTGGCGTAGTAGGACGTGGGACGGCGGCGGGTACTGGCGGCGGTTACGAAACGCGGACACCCAGTACGAATACTAACAGAGGCGGCAGCAATAGGGCGACGAAGCGGGCGGGGGGTGGGAATGGGGCACTACAAGGTGGGTATGGGTGGGTAAGGGAGCGGAGGTCTGGGTGGGCACATAACCACCAGTGTACGACCTGCAAGCCAATGCACACCCCACACCCCGTCGCGTTGCCAACCCGTTTCATGCCAGCTTTCCTCCGCCCCCCTCACCACCTTCTCCCTCTACCCCCCCCCCTTTCCCACCTTGTAAAACTCCCTGCTCGGGTCCGCCGCCACGATCTGCTGCAGCACTCGCCAGTCGGCCCCCGGCACGCCCTTGGGGATGCAGCGGCATCGCTCCAGGTTGAGCTCGTTCATGGGCTTCACGATGTGGTCGCGAACAACCTCGTCTGCAGCACGAAGGGAGGGGGCACAAGCAGGCCGGGGGGGGGGTCACAAGCAGGCCGGGGGGGGGGTCACAAGCAGGCCGGGGGGGGGGGTCACATGCAGCACGGGGGGTTGACGTGGAGCACCGGGGGGTGTTCACATGCAGCACGGGGGGGTTCAGCACGGGGGGTGTCACATGCACTCATGGCATCCATGGGTCCCCCTGATCCTTTTCCCCTCCCGCAGTCTCACCAGCATCAGGCCCACCCGCAGCCCGCATGTCCCGCTGGAAGGCGCTCACGGGCTCTCCGGTGTACGGCAGGACCTCCCTGCCGGGGGGAGGGGATGTACGGCAAGGAGGAGGGGGGAGGGAACGGGACAGGGGGGGGCGTTCCGGCGTTGCTGACAGACATCTTTCCCATGAATCATTGTAACGCTGTAATGACATGAAGCGCGGGCATGTGCGGCAAGCACAAGGGGCCTACATCACAGACCCGCACCCATCCACCCACCATACCCTACCCACCACTCCAGCCTCCCTCCCCTTCACCTTTACTGACAAGCCAGGTTCTTCCTCCTTCCTTACCCCCTTCCTCAACCCCCCCTCCCCTCCATAACCCCCCCGCACTCCTCCCCACTCACTCCTTGGCGTCATTTCCCACGGCCGGCAGGTCCCCGATCGCATCCCGCACCGTCACCGCCCGCAGCGGTGCGCCCGGCACCGGCGGCCCACTCGCAAAGTAGAACGACGCACCCCCCTTGCTGCCGCTGCTACCCCCCGCCCCCGCCTGTGCTGCCGCCCACTTGGCGTCCATAGGGCCCATGCGCACCCCCAGCTGGGAGGACATGAAGATGTGTCGTACTGCGGGCCACTCCGGCAGCAGCTCCCCCGGCTGGGCCGCCCAGATGAAGGTGCGCTTGCGGGACTGCGGAAGGCCCTGGTTGCCGGCGTTGAGGATGCCGAAGCGGGTCTGAGGGAGGGGTGGGGGCGGGGGGTAAAGAGGAAACATCTAACTGACCGTGTGATAAGGCATCATCATGGGGTAGAGGGGAGGGGAGGAGGTGGCAGAGCGGGGGTGCTTGGGTGAGGGGCCAAGAGGAACATGGCAGGTTGGGTTGCGTTAAGAAGAAAGAGCAAGACGGCCTCATATCCGGCTCAGAATCGGGTCAGGCCAGGCAAGAGAGCAGCAAACACACCTACCCCCCCCCGCCCCTCTCCCCCACCTGGTACCCCAGGTCCAGCAGGGTCCGCAGCACCAGTCGGAACACGCGGCCGCCGTTGTACGCCACAAAGTTGCGCACGTTCTCCAGCAGGAAGTAGCGGGGGCGGTAGAAGTCGCAGTACGACAGGTAGGCCATCACCTGGGGAGGGGGAGGGCGGGGGGGGAGGGGGAGGGGCCTCTGAGAACGCGCAAGCGAGCGGGACTTCATGCGGGACCAGAAATAGGTGCTGCCCTCGGGTGTGGAGTATCGGAGTTCGTCACTGCCATCATATGGGCCGCTGCTGCTGCTGCCGCCATGTCCTTGTGATGAGGGCCTAGGCGCAACTGCCCCCTAGCAGCGCCGCCCCCTCCCCCCCACTATCACTCACCATGCTGTTCTGCACCTGTGACCAGTTGCCCCGGTTGAAGCGGTTCATGCCCGAGTAGCCCTGGCAGGGCGGGCCGCCCATCAGGAAGCCGACCGACCCGGGGGTCGGCAGGTCGGCGCGGGTCGCCTCGTCCAGCGCCGCCACCGCCTGCTGGCACTCGGGGGCCGCCACGCAGTCCGAACCCAGACCCGCCTTGAGCATGGCGGCCTGCAGGGGGAGGGGGAGCGGGGAAGATGGTAGGTGGTGGGGGTGCTGGGTGCGGTGAAAAGAAGGATATCCAATGTGTGCTGGGTGGGGTGGAGGTCGGTGGAGGGAAACAAGGGAGCTGGGGACACATGCGTGTATGCATGTGTGTAGGGGCGGGGGTGGTTCCTAGGTCCCCCCCAAACACACACAAACGCATCCCCCCCTCTTTAACTCATACGCCCACACGCTCTGCCCTCCCCACCTCCCACCCCCCCACCCCCCCACCTGCAGCAGCACGTTGCAGTTGTTGCAAAACACCCGGGCCGCGGGGTTGTTGATGCGGAAGGCCTCCGCCGCCTCGCTGTCGTACTCGATAGCCCACTTGCTGTCAGCGACACCAGCCTAGAGGGGCGGGGGAGGGGGGGAGAAGAAGAACCATGCGTTGAATGATGGGAGACAAGCTCCTGGTGAATGGCATGAGCTAGCCAAGTTAGGAAGGGGAGGATGGGCGGGTAGGGGCACAAGGGGCGCACACGTATCCCGGAGGGGTGGCGAGGACAGAGAGCACCGCCCCCCCATGTGAGCTACCCCCCTTTACCCTTCCCTCCCCCAGCTGTTTCCTTCATGGGTTCCTCCTTCCCCTGCCCCCCCTCCCCCATACCCCCCGCCCCCCCCCCAGCAGTACCTGGTGCATGCCCTCGCTCAGTCCGCCGCAGCCTGCAAAGATGTCCATTGTGGGCAGCATCAGCGCCTCCGCACCACCCTCCTCCTCCACCTCCTCCTCCTCCTCTAGAGGTCCCTCCTCCGCCTTGTTTTCCTCTTGCTGTTGTTGCTTGGGCTGCTGCCCTGCAGCTGTTGCCGGCGGGTCCAGGGTGGCAGGCGGGGGCCCAGTGACCCGCGGGTCGGTGGGGTCGTAGGAGCCCACCACCAGGAAGGTGTCCAACACGGGGTCTGGGGGGGGAGGCGGAGCGGAGGCGGGAAGAGGGTTGGGAGAGGGGGTAGGGACGATACATGGAGGAGGACGTGTGCGTCCAATCGGTTGATGGCGAGAGGAGTGTTGTGCCTGGTGTCCCTGCTCCTGGCCACGACACACCTTCACACAACAACCATGTACACGCACTGGGGCAGGGGCGACCAGAATACATGATGCCGCACCCGTCTCCAAACGGCACCACGACCCTACTATTCAAATAAACCCCTGCTAGACCCGGGCGACCCTCATCTCCGGACGACCCAGGCAGCTACTTCCAAGGCAGAACAGAGCGACACAAGGTCCACAAGGGAGGCCCCTCCTTCCGTTCCATCAGATCCCCCCCCCGCCGGAACAAGCACCCGCCACCTACTCTTGGGTCGCGGCCGCCCCACCATGACCCGGCATTTGCCGTACACCTCCCCCACTGGAATGCTCAGAGCCCCTGTTCCTGCCGCTCCTGCTGCTGCTGCTGCCGCCCCTGCTGCTGCTGCGGGCGCATACAGGTCGTAGTAGTCGGAACGGTAGGCGAGGTCCGCGGAGATGTCCTCGGGGCGGTAGAAGCGGCGGACCTGGGGGGAAGGGGTGGGGATGGTGGCTGGTGGGTAGAGAGGAAACAACCAACTGACCGAAGCCAACTAACTGACCCTCTCTCTCTGGGGAGAGCGGGGTTGGCAGCGCGGAGGTACATCCCTCAGCCGATCCTCTTTGCACCCCTGCCATGTCCCCCCATGTAGGATGTATAGCCATGCAGCAACCCAGCCAGAGGGTGGGACCCCTCTCACCTGTATCTTGACGGGCACCTGTCCACCGCCGCTCCCCCTGCCTCCCGCCGCTGCCCCGGCCGCCTCCAGCCCCAGCAGCTGCACCACCTGCCAGGCGCGGAGACCCGCGTTGCTACCCTGTGGGGGGTGGGGGAGGTGGGGGAGGGGGGAAGGGAGGCAGCGGGAGGTGGGGAGGGAGGTGGCGGGAGGGGGGTAGCGGGTGGGAGGAGGGGCATGCGAGTTGGGCTAGGGGAATGAGGAATGGAGCGCCAAAGGGGCCTCCCTGGATGAGGGGTAAGTTACTGGGTAAGGAAGTCGCGAGGGATAGAATAAACCAAACCACAAAGTTAGGGCAAAACAATGGGTAAGTCGCGAGGGAGAGGAAGTCATGTCATGTTCCAAGCACGTGGAACTGGCAAGCGGAGGAGGCATGACAGCGCAATACCGCTCATCGCTGTTGAGACATCGTGGGGAGTTTCCAAAGGACGCAAGCAGGAAGGAAGGGAGCAGAGTAGAGCAGCTACCTTGTGCGTTTGGCGCCTCAAGCTCTCCTTGCGCTCCTTCTTCTTCACCTCCTTGACCTCCTCCTCCTCGCTTTCCTCCTCCTCCTCCACCTCCTCCTCACTCTCCTCCTCCTCCTCGTCATCCTCCTCCTCCTCCACCTTCGCCGCTGCCTTCGACTTTCCACGTTTCTTCGCCGCCGCCTTCCCCTTCGCTCCGGCCTTGGCGCCCGCCTTCTTCGTCTTCTTACCCGCAGCGGCCTCCTCCTCCTCCACCCCCTCCTCCTCCTCTTCCTCGCTGCTGCTCTCCTTCTCCTCCTCCCCGCCCGCCACCGCCCCGGCCCTCACGTACATGAACTCCCCCACTCGGTAGGTCACACCATCCTTGGTGAAGCCGCCGCCGCCGGGGAGCAGCGACAGAGCCGGAGGGGGCGGGGGAACCTAGGGGCGGAAAAGGGGGGCGACAGGGGGCCGGAAAGCATGGTTCTCCGCTCCCTCCCGGCCCTCGGCTCACCCAACCTCCGAGCGGTTCACCTACCAAGCAAGCCAGCAAGCTACCAAGAAACCCCTCCTCAACACCCTCCCCTCCCCCTCTGCCTCGGTACGTTTGATGAACGTCCCGACAGTTAGGCTCGGCTAACTCGGTTCAGGTCACCAGGAGCTCGTCAGCTTGTTTGCTGTCATCATTCAACACCTTGGGATTCTTCTTTTCCCCTCCCCCCCCCACCTCCACGTAGCTCCCCAGCGCCAGCTCCCTGCTCCTGAGCTCCCGGAACATCCCCTGCAGCGGGCAGTACACGCTGCGGTACACCAGCACGGGAGGCTGACCGGAGGCGGCCCGGACCAGGTTGGCGGCGTGCAGGGCCAGGTCGGCCTGTGGGCGGAAGGGGAGGGAGGAAGGGGGAGAGCGAGTGGAGGGATGTGGGGGTGTGCGTATTCGGGGGTTAGACAGGTAGGCCGTGGCAAGTTGCGTTGCGTGGACAGTACGGTATCACCGGTACGCCCCAGCACCACAACTCCCATCAAGACTCAAGTCCATCAAGTGCACCAATGGGCGTGTCCCTTTCCCCTGTGTCCCCGCCCCCTGCCCCCCCCACTGTTCCTATGGTTCGGTATGGTCTTTGACCCCCACTGTGTCCCCGCGTCCTGCCCCCCCCCCCGCCCCGTCCTCCCCCCCCTCACTGCCAACTCCTACCCCCATTGTTTTGCCCTAACTTGTGGTCTCCTATGGTTTGGTATGGTCTTTGACCCCCCTCACTGTGTCCCCGACCGCCCACCTTGGCGTTCTCCAGCCTGCGTGCATGGTCGCAGGGACGGCCGGTCAGCGCCCGCACCTCCATCACCTCCGCCACCGACCCGCCGCTCAGCGGAACCACACGCAGCAAACCCCGAGCGGCAGCTGGAGGCACCCCTGCTGCTGCTGCTGAGGAGGCGGCGGAGCAGCTGCCGCTCCATTTGCCGCCTCCGCTGCTGGACGGAACCATGGGTCGCGCGGTTGGGTCGAGCAGGAAGAGCTCCTCGGGCCCCGCCACGTCACCCAGCACCGTGTCGCGACCGTGGAGCATCACCCGGATCTGGAGGGCGGAGGGAGAGGGAGGGGGGAGGGAAGAGGGAGAGGGGTGGCAAGAGGGGTGGGACGGTGAGTGAAAAAGCATGTGAAAGCGGGTCAGTAGTAGGTATTGGGGTTAGGCATGGTGGTATAACGCCACTAGCGTTAGGCTGGTAGGCCCTCTTCCATGGCCCGGGGGCGCAAGCAGAATCCGTAGGCCAGCAGGGGATAGGAGCGCAGGGCAAGGGCTAATCAGAACGGGCGCCGCATCTACAACCAGGGTGGAAGGTGACGGATCACGCGGGAAGACGCATACCTGTATCTGCGGGCTGCCCTCCTTGCTGCCCCCCTTGCTGGCCGACTCGGTGAATATGCACTGTACCATGCCAAACGACCCGCGGGTCATTTCCTCCAGCCGCTCAGCAGCCGTCGGCGCATTCGCGCCCTCCTCCGCAGCACCAGCACCCGAGCCGTCGCCGTCAACCTCCATCTCATCACCGCTGCTGTCACTGACCTCCTTGCCGCGTTTGGCAGTGCTGCTGCCTCCGCCGCTGCCGCCGAGGCGAATGACCGACCCAGGGGTCAGTCGCACGTCGCCGCACACCGCCGCCCCGTACAGCGTACGGCCGCCCTCCGTCGCCTTGCGCTCCTCCAGCGTCCAGCTCTTGAGCTCCACCTGAGGTAAGTGCAGTGCACACATCACCCCGCCGCCTCTTATGATGTCCTAACCCATCATGCCTGCGCGCGCACTACCTACTCCTAATCCATCCTGCTCCAACCCATATCATGATTGTCCACGAAATCCTGTTCCTGGAGCCTTTCCTCCTCCGTCCCCACCCAGCCTTCTTCCCTCCATACATACCCGGGCGGGCCGGGCGACCGTCCTAGCTGCAGACCCGTGGGCGGCAGCAGCAGCGGCGGGACCCGCCGCGCTGGCCCCGCTGCCGCCGCTTCCCGCAGCACCACTGCCGCCGGGAGCAGATGCTGCCTCCTCCGCAGCTGTGGCGTCTCCGTACGCCCCGTAGTGCCGCGGCTGATCCCCAGCTGCCTGCTGCTGCTGCTCCCCAGCTGCCCCCTCCTGCTGCTGCTGCTGTTGCTGGTCGGCAGGAGAGGCGAAGTACTCGGACCAGATGCGTTGCACCTGAAGAACGCATACCGGTATGGGGGAGGTCATGAGGGGGGGGGGCCGACAGGGGGGAGTCTGATAAGGCCTTTATATGGCGGTGCAGTGTGGCTGGGCACCTTGCGACTGGACAGCGGGGTTACCGGTAGCGGCAGCCGATGCACTACATACAGCCCACGGAAGCGGTTCGAGAGGTGCGGCTTCCCTAGCCAGTCTTCACTCACCCAACCCGTAGCCCCATCCGCAGCCCAAACCCACTCTGCGGGAAACGCACCCCGGCGCCCCCCCCCCGGCTTCTTCTCCCTAACCCGCCCCCAGCCCGCCCCTGCGGCCGGACACCCCACCTGCGCAGTGGTGGTGGCGTGCATGGCGGGTGGCCGCTTGCTCTTGCGCTCCTGCCGGACCTGGGGGGGGTAGGGAGGCGGAAGGGGGAGAGGTAGGGGGAGGGCAGCAGGAGGGGGCAGCAGGAGGCACGGGGCGTCAGCCTCCTTCAAGGCGGTAATAGGGCGTAGCCCCCAGCTGAGGATAGGAGCGTACGTAACCCCCGGAGTGGTGGGGCATGCTTACCTGCGGCTCCTTGGCACCCTTAGCCGAGCTGACACCCTCCTTCGGAGACGCTGACAACCCTTGTTTGGAAATCAGCTGACATCCCTTGCTTGGCAAGGTACCAGTAATGCCCCTTGCTTTGGAAGCTGACACCCATTGTCTTGCAAGGCGGTATCCCCTGCTTAGAACGATTGTTGTGTTGGATGCACGATATGCCGAGCTGGCACCCCCTTGTCCAGTTCGGACCGCCAGGCATGTCGTTCTGACACCGGCATGTACAACGTGACGTCGTAGGTAAAGCTTATCGGTTAGGTGCGCTCTTTCGGAGTGGCTACTAGGTGCAACACTAATCGGAGAATGCAATAGACTGCCGATCCGGCGGGACCGGCCCACAGGCACGGATGGGCTCCAAGTAGAAGGAAGCATGGTCGAGCCAAAATCTATTTTAACGAAATGTAACACGCTGCGGTTAGAGATTCATTATATAGGATGCTAGGTTTACGCGGGGACTGCCCAGCGCGCGATTATTTTACCACAGCGCAAATATGCGTTTGTCGTGAACAAGCGAGGAGCGAACTCTGGGCAGTTCCAGGGCTAAAGTGATTGAAAAATATGTTTCGCTGGAACTGTTTAGCAGCTAAATCGGGGGACAAAGATCGAAGCTGTCATGTCATGTGTCGAGGTGTGAGTCGATCCAACGAAAGGTGGTTGAGATCGCTCTTGTCGCCCTCAGACGGCTGTCTTGCACAGGCAGCCTATAGCAGCTGGTTTCAGTAAGTAGGAAGTTATGCAGGCGTCGCGGTAACTACGGCGGTTCCGTAAGTTGCGCTAAGCTTGTGTACGTTTGTTCCCTGCCGTGCCGTTTTGCTCGCTCGCAACTATGCGCTTACAGTAAAGTAGGGTTTCTAAGCAATTTTATAGAACACATGAAGTCGATGATTTTTGGCCGCTATGCCCTACAAGAGAAGGTCCGTGCTTGCTGGTACCGCCCCGAATCCAGTTCTCATTTTCACCAACCCGCGACGCCATACACACCACTCCTCCCTTCGCTCCCCCAACTCCCCTCCCCTCCTCCCTCCCCTCCCTCTCCCTTCTCTTACCTTGACCGGGTTCTCCACCACCACCTTGCTCGCCCTGCCTCCCCCGCTGCTGCCCCCCGCCGCCCCCCTGCTGCCCCCCCTGGCGCCGCCCGCCGCCCGCCGCTGCTTCAGCTTGATGTGCCGCCTCTGAGCCAGCCGCGTGCGCAGCTCCTTGCCGAATCCGCACTGCCGTACTGCGGGTTTCCAGTGGCGCTGGATCATGTTCAGGATGACCTGCCCGTGAACCACGATGAAGCGCTCCACGACGGCAGCCTGGAGGAGAGGGGTGAAGGGGGGTTTGAAGGGGGGTGGAAGTTTTGTAAGTGGAACAAGGGGGGGGGAGGGGGAAGAGGTTTGGGGGGTCAGAGATAGTACCAAAGCAACAATTAGGGCAGCGCAATTTGGATGGAGGGAAGCAGTTTGTCACGAAACAAGAGAGGGTGAGGGGAGTTGAGGAGTTGGTACGGCACAGGGTGTACGGCGCATGAGATACAGGGCAACACAGAGAGCGCACACAAGACCGCCTTCGACACACACGACACGCAACTCATGATCGCACCCACACCAAACGCGGCTCGCAACACTCACTCCCAAAACACCATCACCTGCCGCCCCCCCTCCTCACCCTGCATCCTGCAGCTGAAGCCCATCTGAGCAGTCAGCCTTACTCTCCCTCCCGCTATTTCCCCAGAGCTTGTCGTCGTCTGATTTGCATTCTCATGTAACGCATTGCGAATGTCCTTTTACCCCCCACCTCCCTCCTTCCATCTCTCCCTCCTCCCCCTCCCCACCTTGCTCCCCACATGCGCCCTGTGTCCCTGCGGCAGCGCTGCCAGCCGGGCCACCACCTCCCCGAACCCCAGCTTGGCGGCCCGCTGCTGCCCCTCCAGCCACGCCAGCACCTGGGCCGCCACGTGCGCACACCGGCACACCAGCCGGTACCAGGGCGCGTAGCGGTCCAGGGGCCTGGGGGGGGGAGAGGGGGGAGAGGGGGGAGAGAGGGGGGTCGAAGACCATACCAAACCATTGGAAACTACAGGGGGGAGGGGAGAGGGAGAGGAAAGGTGGCAATAGGCTGCGGGAGCTGGTCCCGGTGGTTGGTCCCTAGAGTCGCAGACGTGGTGTGGGGGCCCGAGCCTTCCTTCTCCCGCTTGCCACCCTACCCTACAGTCATCTGCCTCATTGCGTGGCTCCTCCCTCCCCTCCCTCCCCCTTTCCCTTGCCCTCTCCCCTACTCCCCACCACCCCACCCCCCTCACCTGAGCAGACGGTACAGCGACACGTCCGTACGAATGTTGATGGCCACCTGCCCCTCCGGCCCGCACTCCACAAACCACTCCCGGATCTGAGTGAGGAAGTACCGCTGAGCCCCCTCCCCCCCACCTCCACCCCCACTGCCCTCCCCACCCCCACCACTGCCTCCCGCACCCCCGCTGCCTCCCGCCTCCCCCCCTCCCGCTGCCCCTCCCCCCGCCTCCTCCCCCCAGTTTGCTGCCGCCGCCCCCCAGTCCTCCCCGTTGTCCTCCGCCAGCACCCCGCTTGCGAATATGTTGACCTCCAGCTCCAGCCCCGCCACCATGGGGACCAGCTCCAGGGAGGTCAGGAAACCCTGATGGGAGGGGGGGGAGAGGAGGGGAGCGGAAGGGGAGGGGGAGGGGAGAGAAGGGAGGAAGCGGGGAGGGAGCGGAAGGGGGAACGAGGTATAAGCAAGAGGTGTAGACGGGGGTGGAGGCGCTCAGTCGCAGGGGGTACCGGTGGTAGCACCGGTGCGCAGCAGAGCCACGTAGCCCGGGCTGCAATCAGAGGCCCCCGTCCTGCTCCTTTCCGGCTAGTTAACGGTTCCCCCTTTACCCTTCCCTCTCCCCTCTCCCCCCACCTCTGCGTTATAGATTGCAAAGTGGTCCAGGGTGCGTGTAGCCCCCCGGTCGTCCGCATCGTGGAAGCCGCAACCCAGCGTCTCGGGGTCCTGGGTTGGCGGCAGGAGTGGGGCGGGTGAGGGTGGTAAGGTTAAAGGGGAAACTGATAGGCTGGGGGACATGTAGGCTCCTCACCATGGGGAGGGGTGCAAACATGGTAGCCGGCCCATATGTAACATGCTCTACACCCGCTACATGGGATGCTGCACAACCGCCCCTACCCCCCAGTCGGGATATGGGATTAGGACTCCGGTTGCTGCACTTATCATTTATTTCCCCCCGTCCCCTCCTCCCCCTCACCTCCAGAATGAGCTCGTCCCACTCCTCCTGCCCCTCCACCCCCTTGTACTCCCGGGGGGCGGGGTAGTCGTCCGCAATCTCCGCCTCCAGCACCTGCAGGTAGGCGCCGTCGCGACCTCCGCCGCCACTGGCACCACCACCCCGGCTGCGACCGCCGCCCACCCTGCAGTGGGGTCAAGGGAAGAACGAGAGACGGCAGTTCGTGCTGAAAGAGGCAGGAAGGCATGTTGCTGCTCTAGGGCATCAGGAGGACCCCCATGTACGGTACCCTGTGCTGAGCGACGTCAGTAGGGTTCCCATACACATGCAAACGCATCCCTCCTGCCCCTTCTTGGGCCTTCCCTGGACCCTTCCCTCCCACCACCCACCCTGCCCCCCCCACCTGCTGTCCCCCTTCATGTGCTCCGCATACTCCTCAGCCTGGGGGGTGGAGGTGGGGGAGTGGGGGAAATTGGGGGTGGGGGCCATGAGGAGGAGAGCTTGCAGAGGCGGGGGTTGGTGATGTGAACAAAAGTCGGGAGTGCGAGTGCAGAGGTGAGGAGAAGGAACGGGAATACAGCTGCGACCACCTTCGTCCCCCGCACCCCTCCGCACACACGCATGCCATGTGTGCATGACAAAACCAACATACCGGTAGGCGGCAGCTCCCTCCCCCCTCCCCCCTCCCCTTTCATCATCACCGCGGACCCGGTATCGGTAGGGAATACTAACCAACACTTTGTCTTGTGGCACCCTGCCAACTCCTACCCCCATTTCTTTGCCCTAACTTGTGGTCTCCTATGGTTTGGTATGGTCTTTGTCCCCCTCCCCCCCCCCTCCCCCCTCCCCCTCCCCCCCACCCCACCATGAGCCTGCACGCCAGCTGGTAGTCCTCATCCACCGTGCCGTCATCGTCACCCCCTGCAGCACCCTCCCCGGCCCCACTGCCCCCCGCCTCCCCCGGGGTCGGTGTGGGGTCGCTGGCGATGCGTATGCCTCCCGCCCCCGCACCCCCCCTGCCGCCCTCCAGCAGCACCAGGGTCTCCCGGGAGAGGGGGATGTGGTCCTCCGTCTCCTGGGGGCAGGGAGGGAGGGAAAGAGGGGGGGAGGTACGGAGGAGGGAAAGAGGGGTGGTAAGGTACGGAGGAGGAAAAGAGGGGTGGTGAGGGAGGGGAGGTTTGGCATGTAGCAGGATAGGTTGCGCTGTATATGGAGTACGTGTTATGAATCAATCTCGGCCATCAATGCCGTACCCCAATCATACAGGGTGGAAGGGTCCAAGGTGCCCTCGACACTTATTAACAGGCCCACCAGCCCTATCGCAGCGAGAGGCCGTATCGCAGCAGCACCACCCACCATCGCCGCCCTCAGCCCGGCCGCAAAGGGCCCATTGTCGTACGAACAGCCCCCTGCCGCCGGCCCCTTGCCCTTGTCCGCAGGCCCCTTGCCCTTGTCCGCAGGCCCCTTGCCCTTGTCGCCAGCGGCTGCTGCTGCTGCGGTGGTGGCGGCGGCGGTGGTATTACCAGCAACGGTGGCGGCTGAAGTGGGCGCAGGGCCGCTAGAGCAGGCCATGGCCTGGGGGAAGCAGGAGAGGGAGGGTAAAGAGAGATATGATGAGCGCAGCAGGAGAGGGAGAGGGAGAAAGGGAGTCGCCGCGAATGTGGGCAGGATGTGGGCAACGCGTTGGGATTGGGAGCGAGAAGGATGGTAACAGAGCAGCATGCGCAGGCGGTTGCCGGCTTTGCCCCCTCCTTCCTGCCCCCTCCTTCCTGCCCCCTGCATCCTGCCCCCCTCCTTCCTGCCCCCCCCCTACACGCTCACCGCCAGCTGCTCCAGGATGAAGCGCCCATTGAGCTTCAGTGCGTACCCAGATCCGCCGTACTGCTTGGAAATCTGCGAGCAGCAGTGACCCATGGGTCGTCAAGCATGGGTGACCCATGGGCCGTGTGGCTTTGCACAGTCCAGGTGTCGGCAAAATCCAGACGCACATCCCATCACAACCATCAAGGAGCCCGCAACGGCGGCGCGCCACCCAGGCTTGCAAGGACAAGAACGCCTGCAGCTTTTCAACATTAAGCTCCCAACACTGGACCATACACCTCTCATACCCCCATCATGTGCCATTCTCAAACCAACCCAAGTCAAACCAATCACTCTCCTCTCCATCTCTACGCTCCCCCTCCTCCACCAACCCACACATCGCCTACTTCCCTCCAACCCCTACATCCTTCTTCTATATCCCCCACCTTTCGGTATACTACGGTCAGGGTCAGCTTTTCCCGCGGCTCATTTTACCCAATTCCCCCCCCCCTCACCTTGTTCCTTGCCACTGCGCAGCACACCTCGTTGTACCCCGCATCCAGCCGCCCGCCCGCCTCCGGACACAGCGCCCGGTGCACCGCCCCCGCCAGCTCCACTCGCGTCAGCAGCTCGCTCAGCAGCTTGCGGTACGGCACGGTGGGCTTGCCGCACTCGTACTGCGCGAGTGCCGTACAGATCAGCAGCTGTACGGCAGGATGGGGGAGGAGGGGAGGAGAATGGGGGTAATGGCCTTTGGTATTGCGTGGAGGTTTGGTTGGTCCCAAGGGTGAGAATGGGGAAGCTGATCAAGCGAAGCGACTGCCTGAAACAGCATGCAGGGACGGGTGTGCCGTTGAGGAGGGAGAGGTGGGGAAGTGAGTGCTGCAGACTTAGGGAGCGGGAGGATGTGGACAGTACAAGGGGAGCAACAACCCCTATCAACCCCTATCACCCCTCCAACGCCGCCTCCTCTCCTCCTCCTCCTCCTTCTCCGACCTCTCCCCAACACCTCAACCCCAACCCACCCGCTCCATCCCTGCCCCCCCGCAGCCCCCCACCTTGGGTTCCTGGTCAGGCGAGTACCGCACACGCCACGAGGTGATGGGCCCTATGTTGGACACCAACCGCCCCTGCTGCCGTACAGCTGCCTCCCTGGAGCCCTTGCCGCCCTTGCCTCCACCCCCCTTCACAGCCCCTGCCCCTGCTCCTCCCCCTGCCTGCAGCAGCGGCAGGACGCAGCCCGCTAGGAAGAGGCCGCCCTCCACCCGCCCGCACCGCTCCAGGGGCTCCAACCGCCCCTCGCTGTCACAGCAGGAGAAGTTGACCAGGCTGGGGTGGGGGGATGGTGCGGGGGAGGGGGAAAGAGGGTGAGGAAACAGAAGGGAAATAGACGATGGCAGGTGGGGGGTGGCGGGTGGTAGGGGCCGTTGGCAGGTGGCGTTATGCGCATGCAGTCTGGGGGGTCATCCACGGCGTATACCGTACGCACTGCATGGGCGGTTGCCCCGGTAGGAGTGCTGCGCTGCGTATGTTAAGAATACTGGCCGCGAGTCGGAAGGTACTGTGGTTGCCGGGATGTAAAGCCTCCGAAAACATGCAACAAGATAAGTAAAGTGGGGAGCAAGTCGCGCAGGTCGTCCTGCCGCCCTCCTACCGCCCACACCTCATATACCCCTCTGCACGCTGCTGCACTGCACGGCCTGCACCCACCCCGCCTCACCTCCTGCATACCAGTCCGCCACCCTCCCCGGGCCCTCCCCCCGTCCCCCCCAGCGCCTCCTCCTCCGTGGCAGCAGCGGGCACCTCCTCCACCTTGACCGTCTGGGGGAAAAGTGGAGGGGAGAGGGGGGTGGGAGGGGGGAGAGGGCGGAGAGAAGGGATAAGGGGGTGGCATTACTGGGCTGAACACACCAGGTCAAGCCTCGGGAGTCATCCTCGATGCGAGATGTACCTCCTCATCCCCACCCAACACCTCTCCTTGGACCACTCCTTCTGATCTCCCCCATACCTCACATGCCAATCTAGCTGCGCCCTTGCAACCACTCACATGGGTCATGGGGTTGGAGGCGAGACACGTCACCCTACCCACCTCCTCCTCTTCCTCCTCGTCTGCCCCCTTGCCGCCCTTGCCCCCCTCCTTGTAGCTCGTCACTCGCTGGGTTGCCTTGCGGGCGGGACGCAGCCGACCCGGACCGGCAGCCGCAGCAGCCGCAGCGCCGTCCTCATCAGCGCCCCCATCTCCACCTCCCTCAACATCCTCGTCCTCGTCATCCCCAGGAATGTCCTCCTCGCCAACATCGCTGTCATGACCTGTTGCACCATTAGGCTTTGCCTTGGCCTTGTCCTCCGCAGCAGCAGCTGCTGCAGCAGCGGAACGCTTGACTCCCCGCTTCACCACGGCCTTGACCTTGTTGACCTTTCCGCCCTGTTCCGCCTCCTCCTTCTCCGGGTCAGCCCCCACAGCTTTCTGGTCAGCGTCCTCACTTGCTTCGGCAGCAGCCGTTGCTGGAGCTGCCTCCGCAGCGGCCTTCCGGGCGGTGCCAGCGGCGCTCTTAGCAGCCTTCCCTTTCGCAGCCGTACTCCCGACGACAGCAGCAGCTGTACTCTTTCCTGCCTTGCCGCCCGCATTTTTGTCGTTCTGGCCTTGTGCCTTTGGACCGGCGGAAGCGGCGGCTTGCCGAGGCTTCTTTGCAGGGGCGGTTCCCTCTCCTGCTGCTTCGGCAGCAGGAGCAGAACCAGCCGCAGCGGTTACGTCGGCAGCAGGCTTGTCTTGTTTGCCGGTTGCCGCTTTCTTGGCATCGCTGCTAGCAACGGCGGTGGTCGTAGCGGCAGCGGCGTCGGCGTCCGCGCGCCGCTTGGTACCTGTTCACGCGGCAAAGGCAGTTACGGTGGAAAGGCGGGTTGACTGGGATGAGCGGTAGATGGCGGGGGAAGCCCTCAAGCAAAGCTAGCTGGCGTTGCACCGATATCTGAGCTGCATGCATCAACCAGGTGAGCGCCTAGCAGGCATGGCCTCCGGATGGTCAGCAGGTGACAGCCGCTCTACCTTTGGCGGCAGCGCCCTTGGCCTTGGGTTCGGCTGCGGATGGGCAGTCTCCAGCAGCGGCGGACATTGCTTTACCGACCACACGAGTGCCTGCGGCAAACGTAAACCGCACGGGAGGAGGCTCAAAACAGCAGTGCATTCCATGTGTTAGCTCATAAGGAAACCCAGTGTTGCAGGCGGCTGGTTAAGGTCGCAGAGCCCAGGCACGGCGATGGACATGCGCAGAGCAAGGCTTCAAATAACACAAGCGCCCCGCATGCTGAAACGGGAAAGATTAAAGTGGTATGCAATAAGAGCCGAATAGAAGGTATTTAAAATCATGTGTCGAAATAGCCGAGGAGATGGTAACACCAATTTAAGTAAAATTTGCGCTTTGCTCACCCCTCGAGTCCGCCGCTCGCATTTTCAATGTGTTACGCTCTGCGATCACTGACAGCCAGGACGGTTTCCGTCGCAGCGAATTTAGCGTGTCACTACAGGTAGTCGCTCGTGCATACCAGTAATATGTTTGCAACCAGTTTGGACGCAATAAATATATGGCAAAAGGGATCAACTTTGCATATCCTTCTATCCGTCAGAGCCTAAAGATGAGGGCAATGAAACTCCCGCGCTTCGGCCTTACCGTACAGGCTGGCAACCGTTACTTTGCAGTTGGCCTCAAACTGCCAGCAACCGCTCCTGGCGTTGCAACTTTTTCAGCTTGCCACAGTTAGGGCCCATAGCGCCACATACCGTCTTTCGAAGAGCAGCAAGCGACATCCCTTATTGTGGTTAACCGACGACATCGCCGCCCAAGACTGCCAATCCACCCAAGGCGCTGTTGGCGGGTGCCCGAGGCCTGTCCTGCCCGCCTATCCCTGAGTGACTACACCCAACCTTTTAGCACCCACCTGTGCATCACCTTCCGAGCATCGTCCCCGCTTAGCTCTGCTTTGCGCTGCTTGGAATGGACTGGGGGATGGAGTGCTACCAACCGCCACTGCCCTCCTGAACCCACTGAACCTCGTCCCCAGCCCGCCGACCGATCTGGGAACCATACCCATAGAACTGATGAACCCAGATCAGAAGCCATCGTTTAGCATGTAAAACCGGAATGTATAACCCACATGTCCATGCCTTCTCAGTTCACCTACTTGCCCGCCGTACCTTCCCTGCGACCTAAACGCTAACCCTTAGAGCTGTGTGCAATACGGCAGGTAGCCCAACGCCTCCTCCACATGCAGCCACCCTCAGCCACCCAACTAGCGCCTGACTGCCTTTCGCATGGGCCTCCTGTACGACGGGCCTCCCATGCAAGGCGCCTCGTGCCGTACATGCGCATAGGAAGGCGCTGCACTTGGCATCACCCCCACTCCCAGCAGCAAGCACAGCAACGCTTAGAAGGACCAAGACGGGTGACCTGCCGCTCAGGTCGTAACCCCACCAGCACCTTTTGAGGCTAGAGACAGCCGACGGCCTTTCAGGACTACAGTAAGAAATTACACTGAATAAACCGTAGCTAATAACCCTACATCCCAAGTCGTACTGGCTTTCGCGCCTTTCGGCAGTAGATTACCAACCCTAAGCCGCCAATTGAGCCCTCGAAACCCCTCCACTAAAAAGGAACACCCCACCCGTGCTGTGCCTGTTGCAGCACAAGAGCCACGGCAAAGCTTTCTCGCTTCTCATTGACCCCAGTGCTGCAGACAGTGTGGCACTGCACGCTTCGGCCAGAGGCCACGGGCTTGGTGACCGCTTTCAGGGTTGCGAAAATCGCGGGGGCAGGACATGGCCACGTCCAAACCCAACGAAAGGCCTCCGCAACAACATACCTAATGCTAAAACTTAAAGCCACCCGACAGAAATAAACCAGATATGCGAATGAAAACAAAACAGCCAACGCACGTGAGCGGTATGTCCATGATTGCTGGAGCAGGGCATCAGGCCCTCGGCAGATCATCAGGCCCCACATTATATATACTAGCAGCGGTGCTTTGTATCATAGAAGTCATTTACTCAGTACACTACACTCCAACAAATTTTAAGAAGCATAGCGCAGTCCGTCACCACGCCTGGTTGCCCGGCGCGCAACCGTGCTAAATCGTCCTAACCTTATTTTGGCTGTCACTGTCACAGGGACTTGTTGGGGTCTGCATCTGGTGTCGGCCTCGGCTCTGAGACACTTCAAGGGAGGAATGCAGCTTCGCGGGGCGCGGGGCGAACTAGACCGAGCTTCATCGGCCACCGTAAAGCCACCTGTTGCACGTGCAGCGTGCAGGCCTATTGTAGAAGGCACAGGCTGGCTTGGCACCCGAGCCTGGACCTTGCAAGAGTTTCTGGGTCGCGACGTTTGCGATGCAGCTTTTAGGATACGCGCGACGAACGTGGTTTGATCCTGGTTCAGTCGCTTGGGTTCCAGCGCCTGGGCGCATACCCGTGGAGTTCAATCTGCCTGCGGTGCCTAGCCAACATTGCAGGTAAGGGTCCCTTGCATCCGTTGTGCGTCTCCTTGCTATGAAATTTTCATGCTTGTTCACCTTCTGCATCTGTGCACTTATGCAGGCACTGCGGCAGGGCGCTTTCCCATACATCAGGGGTTTGCGTTTAGAGGACTCCCGCCCAGGGCCGCAAGTATGTCGCGTGTGCTCTTATCGCTGCAACAGATTCGCAACTCAGGGACTTGAAAGCAAGGCTCACCGGCAAGGTAAGTCCGAGGCCTAATCCTTGGAAACGTGCGAGAAACAGTTGCCATCGTGCTAGCACGTTTAAATGTGAGGTATACAGTGAGCATATCATGCGACGATATGTGTAACCTTACTGCGCGCGCTAGGAATCTGCCGCTAATACTCTGTCCTTTGTTGTCCGCTTGTTACAGACGCCGGCGGGTGCTCGATGTGGTCTCGAGAGCGGCGTTGCGCTCTTGTTTGCGTCCTGGACTAGCATTCCTACTCCTTGAGGTATGTTGGCAGTGCCGTCCCTGCCTGGCCTCCCGTAGTTCCTTCCGAAGCAGCCTGCTTGGCCTCGACAATACGCTGCTAGGACACTGCGGTGCCTGCTGTGTATTACCATGACTTCTGCTGATGTCCTATGACCTCGTGCAACGCACTTCCTGCACGCTTTTCCTTGCTGTGAGACCCTGAGAGTCCGAACAAATGCGCCTCCCCTGCCCCCCTCCTGCCTCCAGTCCTGCTTGGAACATGGCCCTGTGTGGCTGCTGACTGTTGGGTGGGGTGTGGGCTTCCGGACCGCGTGCACCCGGTGCGCGTCGAGGACTGCTGCGAGACGTGTGGAGAGAGCTATACCATCTGCTGGGACCGCCCGCCGGAGGGGAACCGCTGAGGATGCTGCACGAGAAGTGGCTGTTTGGGGTTCCTGATTTTGGCGCGATGTGGTTTGCACTTAGCAGGGTTTGATTGGCCGGTGGATTGCCTGTTGGTAGCCCCTTCGGACATCTCCTGAGCCTGAATCTGAAGAGCCGCCCGTTTTGAACCCTTTTGAACCGGAGCTCAGAAGGAGGTGTGCTAGCCGATGATGCTCTCCGATCTGGAGAGATCTACTGCGTGTGTCGCCTGTACGACGATGCAAGAAGTCTGCCGCATGAGTTGTGGTAGCACTGAGTGGGCGGGCGCCAACTTGGCGTGGCCCAGATGCGAAGACTGCTGTATAGAGACGGCAGTGCTTGCGCATTTCGCGATTCTGTTGCTTTCAGAATCCAGACGTCGGCCGTCATGACACGGTGGCGATGTTGTAGCAGCGCCTCTCCTTGGCGTCTGCATCTGAGGCGCGTTGCCGACGCGTCCTCTGAGAGGTGCCGTGCGTGGCACCTGGCCGCCCGCATGTGTGTGGGTTGAAGGCCACCTTCTGAAATTGAGTCGCCTCTCCATATCTGAACGTTTTGCAGCGCTTGCACGGCATCAGCGGGGCCTGTTTACTGTTACTAGTTTGCTGGATTGTTTGGTGGTGCTTTGGACTGCCTGGGTGATTTGCGGAGGTGGCGTTTCCCCGCTGTTAGTGTATCTTGAACTAATGGTAGTACTGGACACGTCACCTGACTCCGCTCCGGGCGGTACCAGCACTGCTGAGCACGAAGCCAGGTGGGTGAGGGGGTGCCTGGGTGGCGCAAGATATATGTCGCACCGACAGCGTCAGTTGCACTGCTGCCACCTGGATTGCATGCCTTTTGTCATTGCGCGAAGATGAATTGCGCCCTATGTCATCCTGCCCACCGGCCTAACCCGGTCCGCCTTCCCCTCCCCCTTCCTCCCCCAGGTTGCATCCAGCCGCACGCCGCCATCGCCGCCATTGGGTGGCGGCAGTCGATGACTGCTTGCGCGGCGCTGCGGTGCTGGTGTGTTGCATGCACGAAGAGGATCCGGTTCCTGCACCCCCCTGCTCAGCCGTCCCGGGTCACCTGCCTGCTGCGACGGCGGGACGTGGGGAAGACTTGGCTACGGTATATTGTGACCGTCGGAGCCGCTTTGGTTTGGGCCTCTTCTGAAAGCACTGCTTCGCGGTGTGGGGTTCGAACACTCGGCAAAGCCTGTGTTGATGCAGCGCGTGTCTGCATGTTCAGCGCCCGGAAGGGGTGCTGTATCCTGTTCCGAGAGTCATCCTACGTCGGCCCTGAAGGGCTGGTATAGGTAAGCCTGGTTGTAGTGGCTGAGTTGGGGCGTGCTAGGGAATCCAGCTTGTGATAACCATACTGGGGTGGTGGGTGGGTGGTAAGAGGATGCAGTGGGCCGTGGGGGGAGATTGGGCGTGGGGGGATTCCGCCTCGTGTAGTGGGTGTCTAGTTCCTACCGTATCTGCCTGCCATAGCTGCATGCTTATTGCTCATTTGCCGTGTGCGCATCAAATGTGCGTGCCGGGGCCCAGCGACGTTGGTGACGGGATAGGCGCTTTAGGATTTCTCCTCTCACCACATTACGCTCCACCAGCACGCTAAGAATAGAGAAGCCACTAGGCAGCGACCAGCGCGCGCCACTCTAGCTTTATAGCCTGCGACAGCTCTTTAGCATGAGCAACAGCGCCGTGGGTACTTGGTAGGTGTGCAAGGTACGTTTACAGCTGCCTGCAATGTCCCTGCTGGCAGATGGCACTGCACTGTTGGTCGTTGACATGTGCGCCGGGTGAGCTCGCAGCTAACGAGGAAAGCGTGCAGGTGTTAAGTTCGAGGTTGGGGAGCGACTGGGAGTGACTATGTACCCTACGGCGGCTCTACCTGCTGTGTGGAGAGCTCTAGACTTCCTGCGCCGATGTTGCCTTGACATCTGGCTGGAGTCGTACGACATTGAATGAGAGGATAGGACTAAAGGGAGAAGGGGGTGAAGAGAACAGCAACCGGGTTCGGGAGTTTATCAGCAACCGGGATTGGGAGTTTTGGGATGGTGTTTGGGATCATGATCAGGTGGCAAGATACATGCTATGTAATCTGCTTGGCGGTGCTGGTGAAGGAAGGGGCAATAGCGCAGTGCTTCTTGGCAGGCCTTGGAGGGTTACTATGGTATGACAAAAGTGTGCATGGCTAGGTGACAGCAGCGTTACGGTCTACTTGTTGCTCCGTGGTAGCGGTTGTCATGACCGTACCCGTACGGGCCCAGTAGTGCACGTGAGTAACTTGTCAAGGAACTGGCACCGGACCTGCTGTGTAACACCTGACATATACATAATACCGCTACCGTCTGGACTTCAGACGTTCAGGGCTGATCAGGAGTGGCATTGTATCGCCGCAAGACACATCAGCTGTCCTACAGTGACGTGGCGTAGCACATCCACTCCAGTGATACATTTGCAATAGTCGGTACATAGCGTATTACAGGTTCTCGCGCGGCGGCTACCATCATTCGTGTAGCAGTTGCCGTACCGTCCAACATGGTAGGTGTAGGGGAAGGCCCAGCTTGGAGCACACGTCGTGATACCGTAAAATAAACGGAAGATGTTATGGTTGGGCATGCACAATGCAGACCAACAGGGTTGAGGACAGAACTGAGGCTCATGCATAAGCGGGCTTCAAATGGCGAAACACGCATGAGTCATGTGCCGTACTCTGCCCTTCGCAATACAACCACAACACGCTAGTAAAACCAACAGCACGCACCTCTTCACGAAGTGAATAAGAAGGCGTTTACCATAGAAGATATACCAAACGCACCATACAAAGTAACCACCGTATCTGTCCTCAATTTGCACGGGTAACAGATACGGTCTACGGTACAAAGCACATGCAGCACTGCTCTTAGGCGTCCACGTGTGCAGTCTACCAAACTACGAACCACCAGCAAGACATCCAACGAACTGGCTCGCCACTTCCAGATAGCTGTGCCTGGCGCCGTCGATTCCAAAAACCGGGTACACAACAGCGAGATTCAGATACATACACCAAACGGCAACACCCCTGCACCAAAAAACATCCTACACAAAGCCATGCAAAATCGCTTCAACAGGTCCCACCCGGTTACCGGTATATAAGTTCTGTACAGCCGTAGCCACGGTCCTGAGGTCCTCCCCCCCTTCATGCTTCCTGTTATACACGGGGTCTCTCCCAGCAGCGCAAGCCACTCCGCGTCTCTCCGCCCTCTACTCTCTCCCACCGCACCTTCTAACCCACTCTCCCCCCAACGCTCCTTCTTCTTCTTCCCCCTCTCCATCACTCCTTCTCCTCCTTCCCCTGCTGCTGCCCCTGCCCCTGCCCCCTCTTCGCCGCCTGCCTCTCAATCGCCTCCACCTCCGCCGCCACCTCCCTCAGCGCCGCCAGCAGCTGCGCCCGCCCCGCATGCGGCGGCTGGCGCGCCACGTCAGCGGCCATGGCGGCCAGCGTGCGGTGGAAGGAGCGGCCGCCGCCGGACAGCGTGGGAAGCAGGTCGGAGCCAAGAGAGAGGTAGATCTGGGGGGAGGAAGGGCGAGGGGGCAGCGAGGCAGGGGTGATAAGGAGGAGGAGGTTAGAAGTCATGGGGTTGAGTGCTGGAGTGGTGGGTGGGGAGCAGAGTAATGGAGGGGAGGAAGGCCTCATCCCTCATCCCTCTCATGCCCATGGAAATCAAGGCCTTCCCTCTCTCCTCCTCCTCCTCCTCCGTCCCCCTTCCTCACACGGTTAGTTCCTGCCTCCTCCCTACCCTACCTTCCCCAGCTGCTACCCCACCTGCCTCCCCACCTGCTTCCTCTCCGCGCCTCCCCCCGCCCGCACCAGCCGATTCAGCAGCTGCAGCTCCGGAGCCAGCGTGGCCTGCTTGGCGGCCCAGGCGGCGCCCAGGGCGGCCTGCAGGCGGGTCACCACCTCGGGGTTGCCCTCCTGCTGGGCCTGTGAGGGGGGGAGGGAGGCCGGGGGAGGTGGGAGGAAGGATTACAGGTACAGGTATGGAGTGAGTACGAAGGCGGTGTGGTACCACAGCGTTGCAATCATTACCCCTAGCTTCACATCTACCGTACTTGTACATACCCACCAGTGACAGGTAGGCCCCCGCGCTCATGAAGAACTCCTCGCTCAGCGCCTCCACGTGCTGCCGCGCCACCGCCAGCGGGTCGCCCGCGGACAGCAGCGCCGCCAGCAGCTGCGTGGAGCGCTGCTGGGAGGCGGCGGCGGAGGCGAGGCGGGCGGAGGGGAGGTCGGGCTCCAGGGGGGGAGGAGGAGCGGAGGCGGAGGCGGAGACGGAGAGGGGAGTGGTTGGGGAGGAGGGGGAGAAGGTGCGGAATTGGCGGTGGCGCGGGTGGAGGGCTGGGTTGGGGAAAGGAGGAAGGGGAGAGGGAGGGAGGGAGGTGGGTGAAGGGGGGTGAAGGATATCAGGGTTGTGGTAGGATTGTAAGGTGGCGGCAAGGGAAGCGTACCCGCGGGAGTGAAGGGACGCGCTGCCGTGCGTTCCGGAGTCGCCTTCGATACCAACGACCGAGTTTTCGGCGTAAACATTTTTGGAAAGGTTGGTCTGCTGTTGTGCCGGTTCGAAGCTTGCGTGATTTGGGAAAAACGTTTGGCTAATGCAGGAGTCGTTACCCGGAAGCTACGTGAGTGAGGCCTTGCACGCGATTCCTCATCATAATTTCCAACGGAAGAAGCTTTTTAGGCAAGACTGCATACTTTGAGTTCACCATAATCATCGAGCATAACAGGCATAACAGGAATAATGCATACGACATATCTACGAATTTGTCCACGCAGCTATGACCACTTGAAGGCTTGTCTAGTGCTTTCTCGCTAGGTTTAGATCTAATGCGATAGACTTGCACTTGAGAAGCCATGCTGCGTTTTTAGGCGACACATTTTACGAGCAAGGATGGCAACGCGTGTACCCGGTGGGGAGGGGTTTCATAGCTTCGGACAAGCGGGCTTTAATGGAGGTCAACTGGCTCTTGAAGCTCTGCAGCTCTGCGAGCCAACTTTCCGGCGAGGAGCTTTTGCTCCTGACTGGACCGCTATGCCGGAGGGCGTGTTGCTGCAGTTATGCCACCATTTGGATTCACACGATATAAGCAATGCCCGAAGCGTCTGCAAGTTGTGGCGTAATGCATTTAGCCTAAACGTCCGAACTGCACGGTTGGAAATTGTCGAGCATCGGGCTGCCCAGGCTCGAGCTTTCTTGCGGGCTTTCATCCGGGCGTTTCCATCTACCACGGAGCTGGTACTTGACGTCACTTTTCGCCGCACGGCGCGAGAAAAGATTCAGGCAGCCCTTGAGGAGCATTTCCAGGCGTTGAACGAATTCGGTGTGCAAGCCCTGAAGATTAACTTGGACCTGAACTCCTTTAACGAGCGGAAGATCAAGTTACCTGATGTCGCGCTCCTGTCCTACTGGAACGGGTTGACGCGGTTAACGCTGCAGGTATGGCGGGAAGCGGTGGAGGGTGGATTGCTTACGGTACAAAGGCGGCCTAGTTTTACTACGCTGCATCCATGTCACGCCCAAGATGCACAAACATGTTCCCACCGCCCCGTTCCTCCCTCCCTCCCTCCCTCCTTCAATGCATGAATCGGGGCTATGTGACTGTGTTTCAATCCTCATCCATTTTTCTCCCTCCCTGGCCTTCAGGAGTCCGGGTGGCGCTCGCAGCAGCTGCGGGTGGACGCGGGCTCCGTGTTCGGCTGCCTGCCGGGCCTGCAGGAGCTGGCGGTGGTGTGCAAGTACTCGGGCGCGGTGAAGGCCAAATGGTGGCGGCCGCCCAGCCAGGCGGAGAGGCTGGCGGCGCGCATGCCGACCTGGCCGCCAGCAGCGGGAGCAGCAGCCGCAGGGGGTGGTGGCTCCAGGGGAGGCGGCAGTGGCAGGGGGGCTGGCAGTGGAATTGGTGGTGGGGCGGGAGTGGGAGGGCCATCGGTTGGTCAGCGCAGTAGCAGCAGCGGCAATGGCGGTGGGGATGCGGCCATGGAGGATGTTGCTGTGCCCGCGGCCTCACAGCAGCAGCAACCGCAGCTAGGCGCGGGAACAATGCTGCTGCCGACGCCACCAATGTTACTGCACCAGCAGCCCTTCAGTGCCGCATCCCTCTCCTCGCAAGCTCCCTTGGTACCTGCGGGCGCTAGCACTTCTGCTGGTGGTGCTATAGGAGGCAGCACTGCTAATACTACCGCTGCTGCTGCGGCGGCGGCGGCAGCAGCTGGCGGCAGCGGGGTTCCTCGCAGCGGGGGTCAGCCCCCCCGTCCGGTGCTGACTCAGCACCTGCGCTGCCAGCTGACTCAGAACCAGAGCATGTCGGGGGAGCTGCAGAAGGCGCTCAGGAGGATCACACCGGCGCTGCAGGTGCGGGGAGGGAGGGGGGAGGGGAGAGGGGAGGGAGGGCGCTGAGTGCGGTTGAGCAGGATTGGTTCGAAGGGGGGGACGTGTGGACGGAGTCATGTGGCGTGGCACCCATCGTAGCCTGTGCACCCGTCCTCAATGTATACGGGCATGTGTACCCGTTTACCCTCAGGCCCACATCTCCGCCCTTACCTTCGAGATCGTGGAGGAGACCTACGCCGAGCCCGCCCGCTGCGCCACCCCGCTGGAGCTCTCCGCCCTGCCCGGCCTCAAATCCCTCACCGTCCTCTCCGGCGCCGAAGACGCCCTCTCACATTCCAAACTAGACATCGTGGGTGCCACCGCCCTAGAAACCCTGGTGGTGTTTGACGTCTCCTGCGGCTGCTGGTGCTACAAGAAGCCGGGGCACGGCATCCCGCCGCGGTTGTTGTCCGCGCCGCCCGCCTGCCTGCGCAGCCTCACCATCGTGGGATTCGTGGTGAACCAGTGTCAGAACCTGCATGCGCTGTCCGCGCTGACCTGTCTGGAGGAGCTCCGGCTGGAGCAGCCCGACCCGGACTGCCTGGGTGCGGTGGCGGGGGAGCTGCTGCTGACGTGGCTGCCGCCCTCGCTGCGCACCCTCAAGCTGCATGCGGTGGTGCTGCCGCCGTGCGGGGGACTGATGCAGTGGCCCTGCAGCCCTGTGCCCACAGGCTGCGGTAGCAGTGCGGCGGCGGCGGCGCCTGCGGCGCCGCAGCCGCCGCCTTCGGCGGCGGCTCCCGCCGCCGCCACCCTCACAGCACCTCCTTCCATACCCGGTAGCATCATCAGCAGCAGCGGCCTATCCGGTTCCTGCCCTGCCGCCGCCGCTAGCAGCAGCACCCACAGCAACGGCGCTGCGGAGCTGCTGTACGGCGTGGCCCCCGTGGCCCCGCTTCCCCGCCTGCAGGAGCTCTACCTCTCCAAATGCAAGGTCCCCGCGCTGGGGGTGCTGGGCGTGTGCTCGCAGCTTACCGCCCTGGGCCTCATCAACTGCCTCAGCTGCAGCGGCCTGCTGCCCGCAGCCACCGCCCTACCCGCGCTGCGCTCGCTGTCACTCATCCACACCCTCTCGACAGAGCAGGAACATGGGCCCAGCTGCTCCGGGGGTGCTGTAGGCGGTGGCCTAAACACCATGCCACCCGCCATGTACGCGGCTGCTGCTGCCGCAGCGCCAGCGCCCGCAGCCACCGGCGGCGGCCAGAACGGCCCATGGGTCGCATTCCCGCCACATGCAACGACCGGAGCTGCCGGGCCGGCGGCCGCTGCCTCGCAGTCTACAGTGCTAGCCCCCGCGCTTCACGTGCCCGGGCTGCCGCTGCCAGCGGCGGTGTGGGGCAGCGACGAGCAGGTCGCCGCAGCCGCCGCCTGCCGTTCAGTGACCTCCCTGGAGCTCATCCTGCCCCGCGGCGCCGCCGGCTACCCTGCAGTGGCTGCGTTGGCGCGCATGCCGTGTGTACGGGAGCTGGATGTAGCGCTGCCGTGCGGTCTGGGGGAGTGTCTGATGGGGCTGGCGGCGCTAGGCAGGGGGCTGCCGGGGGGAGGAGGTGGGGGGCGGCTGAGGCGGCTCACGCTGTGGGTGGACGCGCGCACGTGCGTCAACCGCAACCAAGCTAGGCAGCTGCAGGTGGGGGTGAGGGTTGTGGATTGGGTGATGTGGTGATGGTGGTGGTGTAATGGAGGAGCAGCGGGTTGGGGAGAAAGGGGGAGAGGGGGTTGGGGAGGGGGAGGGGGTGCGTACGCGAGGGTGGACGGGAGGCGAGCGACATGTGGGCATGTGGAGGCGGCTAGGGTAGGGTAGGGAAGGTGTTGGTTGGATGGGCTTGAAGTGGCGGCGACCTGGGGCGTGTCCCGATGCCCTGCAGGGACGTGCCGCCCAGCCGACCTTGCTGTCATCGCAAAACCCTCTTGGCTGCCGTACCCAAACCCCCGTGTGTCCCCAACCCTCTCCAATCTTCCCCCCCTTCATTCCCATCCTCTCCCCTCCCCTCTTCCTGCCCCCCCTGCCCCCCCTGTCCCCGCCCTCAGGCCATCCAGCGCAGCCTGCAGGCCCACATGCCCGACACGCTGGTGGAGTGGGCGGGCGCGGAGTCGCGACACAGCAGCTGGACGGGGCTGGAGGCGCGCGTGTTCAACCCGCACTGAGCCGCTGTTGCGTACAACACTGACAGCAGCAGCCACACCGCCCGCTGTTGCGTACATACATGGCGTGTAGGTGTGTACAAGCGATTGAGCCGTGCAGTTGTTCTGACCAAAGCTGTCGACCGAGGGGAGATGCACATGTGTCGTGTGGTTTGTGGGCAGTGGAGAGGCAGCGGGGGTGAAGTGGGGTGGGGTGTATCTTAACATGGGCCGGTACGTGCCGTTTGCATGGAGCTGCACAAGGAAGCGTCATTGTGGGTGCTAAGCAGGCTGCGTGGGAGGAGCGTGGGGGCTGGGGGGAGGAGGGTAATGTGTTATTGGAAGGGGGGGAGCGGGTGTGGATGCTTGGGTGGCGCCCTGTCTTGGTATTGCAGTGTTCCGTTGGGAGGATGGGGACTTGTATTGGGCCTCTTCTTCTAAGCACAGTAACCAAGCTAAGGGATTTGTTTGGGGTATTTATGCCAAGGCGCGCGTCATTTCTGGTTCTCATTCAAAAGTCCCGACTCGAAAGGCAGGGTAGTAATGTGAAGGTAGGTAGGGCAGGGTGGTGGATGTGGGCAGTGCAACGACCGCGGATTGAAGATGATCCTAGCAAGTTCAGAGCAAGCTTTGATGCTCTTGATTACTTATGGCAGCAGAAACGCCTGATTCGACTTGTTTAACCACATGCCAGAATGCATGCCAAATTATGTGGATCGGCAGCTTGGTGCAAGGCAGCAGCGTGCATGTGTCCGTGACCCCCTGAGCAAGATCCGCGTTGCATTTGCGGCTTTGGCGAAAGGGTCTTTTAGTTGGGTGCGTTCGACCTAAACAATGTGCTTATGTTTCGACGCCAGAAGCCGCGCTTATTAAGTAACAATACGTTTGGATTATGGAGGTTAGCCATTGTTGACTTTTGACGTTGCACGGCAATCTAAAAGCTCCTGACGTACTCTTCCTGACTGCTGGCGGGATTGCCTGGTGTCGCTAATGTGGATTCACGAATGAGTGAACTGGGGGATTGCGAGGCGCGTCTTAAAGTGGTGTGCGAGTTGCTAGGAGAGGACGGAGGAAACATGGCCGGTTAACGATTGGCAAAAACGAGTTCTGCTCCAAACCGGGTTGTGCATGTTCTGTGGGACGTGAGGAATGTACGCGCCACGATTAGTAACAGCAGTTAGTGTTACCGGTATCTTGAACCAACACCATTCTCATATCCCGCGGCCAGCGCTTTCCTGTGATTAGGCCTAACGCCCGTCGGTGTCTCTGTGAGCACCTGGGAGGTTTGGCTGGGGGTTCCACTGCTGCTGCTTTGCGCAACGGCGGAAAGGCATATCGTTGACAGCAGCAGCAGGTATGGATCAGAGCCGTGCGAAATGCGTACGACTGCCCCCGGCATCAATCGCAAACAACCGTAGCGGCGGGTTACTGCTCTGCCCTCTTGCATGTTGCAACTGGCGAGTATGAGGACGAGTAGTGACAGGGGAGTTCACCAACCGCAGAACAAGCCGACAATGTCTTTATAGCTGTTAGCTGTTAGTGCTGCCTGTTCCCCCTAGGTATCATAGTCCTGATTGTCCATGCATACCGTACGACAAAGGAAAGTGGACGACACCCAGCCATACACTGCAAGAGCAAATAGAGTCAAAGGGGACCAAGCCCCCCAAGAAAGCCCGTAGGCCAGGAACACATGGGGAGGCACCCCAAGGGATGAAGGACACCAAATGTGGGGATTGACCCATGGGTCCGTTGGGCTCAAAAACCAAAGCGGCACTGATACGAATATGTCGGTTAGCATGAGAGGCGCCTTAAGCTTAACGAATGTGCTAACGTGACTATGACACAGGTAGGATGTGTATCTAATCTATATATCGATGGTATTGTGGAGTGGGAGCCCCGGAGGGGAGCGTAGCGAGGTTGATGACGGAATGACGGGCAGCTTCCAGCTCTGAAACCCCGCAGGAAGCAAGCTCGTGCGGTATATACGGCGGTCGTTGCAACCACGTGGCTACCGGTTGTGGTCGACCAGCGGCTGCCGGGGACAAGACAATTCAATGCATATGTCCGCTGCGTTCTGCTTGAACGTGGGGAACTTGGCTTGTCATAGCTCCTGGAATTCCCTATTGCAATGGTCATTGTCCATACAGGGAAGACCGGAAACACTCGCCATACAGCAAGCAAGCTAATCCTTCCGCCGGCAGCTTGTGGTGTGAAGCTACGGTATGCATTTGCATGTAAATCGTGCAACCGTATACCGGTAACGACCACTGCACGGCTTGATGTTTACCGGTAGCAGTAGCACATGAATGGGTAAGATGACGAACAGCAGAGCTATAAGTTAGGAAGGTAAACCATGCCTAATGGAGCTACGACGTAAGCCGTCATGACCTGTTAGTAAGGGAGCGAATAGCCCCCTAAATGCGACATACGAAAGGAGGTGGACGAAGGTCTGGGGCTTGGGAGCGCATGCTTTCCACCCTTCCCTGCATTGCTTGTCAGCTTATTACGGGAATGGGACAGGGCTCGTCGCGTTTCTGTGTCAAGGACTTTGGATTGACATCGGCACCTTGTACTGCCTTGTACACCGGCTGTTAACGCTTGCGGTCTTCTCAAAGCAAATCCTATTTCAGTTTTCAAGACGCAGCATCGACCGCGTTTTGTTTCCGCATAATCTGCAGCCAAAGCGCATCGTTTCACGCTTACCGGTACTACTGCCCGTCGCCGCGACCATGGCAGCAAGCACGCCCATCATGAAGCCGGGCGGCTACTACAACCAGCACTCCACCATCCAAAGGGCAGCCATCGAGCCCTGTCTTGGTCTGCTGCAGCGGGCTGCGCGCGAGGCACCGCTGCCGGCGGGGGACACCCCGGGCAGCGCCTTTCGCATCGCGGACCTGGGATGCAGGTGAGGCGATGAGGGCCGCAAACAGTGGACTGAATAAGTAACAGGAAGATGCTGATTATTTTGGTTAGAGGACTCTAAGTAGCAAGCAAGTGCACTATCCATAGCGAAACAAGATCCCAAGTGCTAAGTCTTGCGCCATTGGTAGGGCAAGTAAACAAGGCATACCGGTGCCATAGACAGACCCATGGTTCAGCGTCAGTCCTGCTTAAAAAAGAGTTATGACTGGTCCCATCCGTACTTTCACAAGACTCCATCCCAGACCGTCATAGACAGAGTGAAGCCTGTCGGCTTAATTTGGCAATGCTCACTAATCCGCCGAAAGCTCCCTTCCACCTCCTGCCCGCCCCCGCATTCAGCCAGGGTGCCAACTCCGTGCCCCCGCTGTCGGCGGTGCTGGAGGTGCTGCAGGCGCGAGCCGCCGAGGTGCAGGCGAGGGCTGAAGCCGAGGAACCGGAGGGGCCGGCTGCCCCCTTCCCGCTGCCCGTGCACGTGTTTCACGAAGACCTGCCTGCCAACGACTGGGGCAGCTTGTTCGGAGTGGTGGAGGGCGAGCAATCGTACCTGCCCGCACCGGGGCAGTGCCCGGGGCTGCAGGTGTTTCCGGCGGCGGTGGGCAGGAGCTTCTACAAGAGGTGGGGGCCAGGGTGGGAGCCAAGGGCGGGGCGGCCTTACGTAGGAAATTCCTCGCACCGTCTTGTTACGGTATGGGGTGTCTGCTACCAGCGCAGTCCCCACCGTGCACCAGCGATCGGTACTGGTGCTGCGGCGCACTCTCCAGAGGCATCCCTTACCCTCGTGCTTCGCAGGCTGTTCCCGCCCTCCTCCATCCACCTCGCCATGAGCTTCTCATCCCTCGTCTGGCAAGGCGACCTGCCGCCCGAGCGCTTCCGACCCACCGACACGCTCCTGCCCTTCGCCACGTCAGACACCCGGGTGTACGAATCCTACCGTACGACAGCGAATGCGGGCCTCCGACGGTTCTTCGAGCTGCGGGCGGCGGAGGTGGCGCCGGGCGGCTCGCTGGTGTGCAACATGTACACGCACCTGCCGGGTCGCGATCAGGTGGACCCCGTATCCAGTGTGAGTGTACGGCATGATGCTGGCTCGTCCATGCGTTGCGGAACTTATGCCAGTGGAGCATGTAGCGAGCCCTTTATTTGATGGTTTCACAACATTGTGCAACTGCAGCATACCGATTATTTTATTGGTGGCATTCATCGCCATTCCTTGTAATGTAACTTTTCAGCGCTCTCCGAACACGACTTGTCCCTCACCACCCCGCCCCCACGCAGTCCACCAGCGCCGCAGCACTGGACATGGTTTCGGAGGGCTTGCTGGATCCAGAGGACATGTCGTACCTCGCCCTTCCCCTCTTCTTCTACCAGCCTGACGACGTGCGTTCCATGCTGACCACCGCCCCCCTCTCCTCCTACTGGGCCCTGCGCTCCGCTGAGGAGGTTCACATTCAGCACCCCGCATACTTGCAGTACCGCGCAGGCAGCATGAGCAAGCAGCAGGCGGTGGCGGATGTCCTTGGGTTCATCCGCGCAGCACATGAGCCGGTCTTGGTTGATGGGCTAAAACAACGACGGCAGACGGCGCAGGGCGGCAGCAGCAGCAGCGGCGGCGGGGCAGCAGGGATGGTGGTCGACGGTGCGGCTGGTTCGGGGAAGGAGGTACGGCAGGGCGATAAGGAGGAGGATGTGCGGGGTGGCGGGGGCGCAGCAGCAGCAGCAGCAGCCGGTGCGGTGGAGGCGTTGGTGGCGGAGCTGTTTTCACGCGCGGGGCGGCGGATGGATGCGGACTTTGTGCACAGCGGGTACCGCCTGGTGTGCCTGTGGCTGCAACGCAAGTAGGGGGCAAGCTAGCTGGGCTCCCTAACATGGGCAGCAGCTGCGACTGATGGCATCAGCCGATGCGTGGGAGGGTAAAAGCCGTGCAGTGAGAGTCGGCTTGGGAGGAGCAAGGGGAGAGAATAAGCTGGGCAGGAGGATGGAGAGGGGCCTTACTTGAAGCGGCATGTGTCGCAGGTTGTATGGCAGACTATGCTCGTTGAGGAGGGGTTAGGCCGGCGGGGGATGTAGTACGGGCACACGATGGAATGAATATAACGACGGAATGAATATAACGACGTTAGTTGTACGGCATAAATGCCTCCTTCTTATTGGCAGCTTGCCCTCGTTTTCGGCACCTGCCTTTGTAGTAGCATCATCGAGTGTTTGTTAGGCCCTTCTGCCAGGGCTTCTAGGTGTAGTTCCCCGCCCGCCTCCCCGTGCTGTCCGCCGCTGGCCGGCCATGGCCGGGAGGAGAGAGGGTCGGGGTGCGGTCGCTCGCGTGGACTTGTGGGACGCGCTTGTTGCGGCTGCGGCGGCTCTATGGCCGCCGGCGTTTTGCCCCTCGCGTTTCGCGCGGGTTCCCCTTTGTGCTTGCCTGCGCTGGGGGGGGCCCTTGCCCGCCCTATGCGTGCCGCGTGTTCGTCTCAGGGTGTTTTGTTTGCCCTGGGGGCCTCGTGCTGTCTCGTTGGCGAAATGGTGCGACTCGAGGCTCTGCTGCTACAGATGGCCACTGGTTCAATGTGAAAAAACGCTAACTTTGCAGGGTTACAGGCCGTGGAGACTTGAGAGGAAGTTGGTGAATTGTAACGATGATGATTGGAATCCAAGAAGGAGGGTAGCCTGCTGCCGGTGGGGTGGGGCCGCCATGCAGGGGTATGTGGACCCCCTCGCGAGTTTGTAGCTGGCATGTGCGACTTCCCACATACTTGCAAAGCCAGCTTCCCGGCCGAGTGCAAAAAGGCAATCGCTAGAGGCTGCGTAACCGGATTCAGTAATATGTAATCGCAATCTTAATCGCCAAGGCCCGGTCATTAGGTCTTGTACGGTAACATAAATAAGCTGTGGTATCACGCATCGAAAAGCCAGTACGGCAAAGCGGCGCACGCCCAACCCCAGGACAGGAGCAAGGCAAGCTATCCCTTTCCTCCTGGTCAGTCCTGCTTCTCCACCTCACTCTTGCCCGGTTGCATGCACAGCGTTAGGTTACTAACAATAGGTAAGGAAGTTCACGCTAACCGACGCCGAGCTCCAGTTGGCCCATACCCTCTGCCTCTCTCTCAGCCCCCACGCCCTCCCTCTTCCTCCCCCCCACTCAACCCCCATGCTCTCTCTTTCACGCTCCCCGCTCTGCCGCGCCCCCCTCCTTCAGTCGGTGAGATGCGGGTAGTCGGGCAGCTGCGTGACGTCCACTGCGGCCAGGTAGCCGGCGGCGCGGATGGCCTGCAGAGGTGGGAGGCGGGTGGGTGGGTTGAAGAGAGGTGAATGGGGGGGGCATAGGTGAGTGGGTTTGGGGGGTGGTGGTTATGGGTCCGCCGGGTGCATGGTTGCAGTGTACTGACTCGCATGCCTGGAAGCTGGTACGTCTGCATGCCGGTATTAAAAGACAGTTGGGCGGGCACTCTCATCGTCGTACAGCCCCAACGAGCCTCCGTTGAAGCGTGAGGGCAGACACTCCCACCGTCCAACAACCGACTGTAAATGCACGACACAACCCGCTCTGCAGCCTCCCAAGCCTGAACAGGACAACACCCCACGTGACAAGGTACGTGGCATCCCTAGCCAACACAACGCCCCAAACGCCCCAGCATCCCCGACCCCCAAAGCATCCGCCCCTCCACACCCACCTGCATCCCCAGTGCCGCATCCTCATACCCCACACACGCCCCCGGCTCCACCCCCAGCTTCTCCGCCGCCAGCAGGAACGCATCCGGTGCCGGCTTGCCGTTGGGTACGTCCTCGCCGCACACGATGGCGCCAAAGTACGGCAGCAGCCCCGTGGACGTAAGGCCCTCCATGACATGCTTGCGGGTGCCGCCGGAGGCAACTGCCATGGGCAGCCCCCGACCGGCGCCCGCACGCACGATATCCACTACGGAACTGATGACCTTGACCTGTACGGCAAGGGGGACAAACGGGCTTGATGGATGGTAAGGTGCAGTGCGGCAGGGTGCGGCGGTAGTGAGGAGAGAGATGGTGGTAAGAGGTGTGTGCTTGAAAGAAGCTCTTGACAGCGTGTCGCCTGGCTTCTGGCCGGTACGACGTACCCGGTCCGCGATACCGCACGCCACTCCGCCCTGCTCCTTACCCCGCCATCACCGCGCCACCCCTGCTGCGTACCTCCCGTGCATGTTCTAGGTAGTACTTGGACTTGGTGTGGAAGAAGTCGTGACGCAGCTGCAACGGAATGGAGGGGGGAGGGTTGCCAGGGGAGACAGAAGGGGGCTTAACAGGTGTGGCTAAGGCAGGGCGATGGCAGATACGACGGGGCTGCAGGGGTTTAATTTGGAAACGGAATCTGCATTACGCTGGATAGTTGGGATAGTGGCTGCAAGGGTGCGGTCAGTGAGTAGGCAACACGGAACCAGCCCTAATGCGCTATCGAATACCGCGACCTTGTGCCTCCCCACATGTGCCTGCAGCCCCAGATGCACACACCTCTGGTGTGACCGTGACGCCGCTGCGCTCTGCGAGGATGTCCAGCAGCTCGTTGACGGGCTTGCCTGGGGGTGAGGCGGCACGTGGATGGAGCTTGGTGGTCACTGGACATGAGCACATGACCCATGGGTCACGAAAGGAATAGACATACAAGGACAGACGTGCAGCAGCCCTACGTTGTTTGGAGCTCATGTGCGGCAATATCGCAGCCCAAACATGCCAAAACAAGCCACGTCTTGCCCCTGTAAACGCGTCTGCCCCAACCCCCTCCCCAGGACCCACCCGCTAGCTCCACCATGGCTGCAGCGGTGATGGTGATGCCGTACCGAGCTGCCGTATTCCGCCAGGCCTCGTAATGGATCCCCATGCTGTCCAGCAACGTGCCATCACAGTCTGCAATCACGACACGAGGCGGGGTACGGCAGCGGCGAAGGTAAGCCTGCTGCCAGGTAGGGAGAGTGGAGCGTTGTGTCGAGTTTGTGCATACTAGTAGCCGTCCCCGCGGCTAGCGGTGGGCAACTCACGGGGCAGCTGTTGCGGGCCATGCAGGAGTAGAGGAAAGGAGGCAGGGGTGGTTACCGGTACCACCAGATCGCAAGCGTGGAAATGGAAGCCAGACGCCGCGGCTTCGCGTTTGGGGTTTGCAGAGATACAGTGAATGACTGTTTGGCACGCATGTAGCCCAAGTAGCGTGTTTGGAGCTGTATCTTACCCACTACTAGCATTGGATTTGGGTCACATTAAGTTAGGCCATTTCCTCGGCTACCGGTATTCTTCTGGTGCGAAGCTTACCAAATACCAGCGCCTTGGCTTCCGCCGGCAGCAGATGTTGTGGTACTTCTACGGAAGGCTGCTGCTCGGTGGGGACAGCGTCAAGGGCCGTCGCCGTTGACTCAGCGCCGGCGGATGCAATGGGCATGGCTACTGCAGCAGCTGGCACTAAGCAGCGGGGCGCAAGTGGGGGCGTGTTTGGGCGCAATTGCGACCGAGGGTATCGGCGGCTTAGTAAAGAGGGCAAGCTGACGCACGATGGAAACGGAGATCAAGCGCGGGCAATCACTAAGAAATGACTCGCGACATGACCATCAAAGGTTCGGGTAGAACCGCAGGACCTCTGACTAACCCTTTGATTGGGCCCCTGGCCAGATGGCCACCGATGAACCTAGCTCCCACGGCATACATGCTCACATACCTTATTATTAAGCTTTTCCTTCGATATTTAAGAATGATAACACAAATGCCGATGTTGGCTAGATATGCGGCTGGGGATGTGCAACCTTCAAACGCCAAAAGGTAAGTAACGAGCTTCAAGTAAGCCCTGTCCCGATGAAATATTCATGCAAGTCGAAGCTAATAATGTATGTTACAGCTATGCGGCGTTTTTGGCGTTTGGCCTTCCGAGCCCCCATGGCATGGATGCACGACGAAATTGCTATTGCTATTGGGCTGATGGAACAATGGCCAATACGCTCGCTTTCTGTGACCAGCATAGCTTTACACATGGGACGTAAGCCACAAGCATGATGCGTATGCCTATCTACGGTCGGAGGTCAAACCCAGACTGCAGTGCAGGGTCGCAACTTTCTCACCCAGCATGTTTATATAGTGGAATCTCTAGGTCCTAGGGCAAAATAAGCTGCTCTGTAGGGATAGGTAGCACTGATGGCTCGAAGCGGAGCTGTTGAGGTAGAGTTGGAGTTCCGGCCCAAAGACTCGACTCCGCTAGCCCAGGCATGCAAATACATTCTCTGTCCTGGGCGTTTGCGATTAAGGCGACCACGTGTTACACCGTTAACATTCTCTTGCAGATGCGCGAAGGCGCCGAGGCTTTGCTTGCGATGGATGTCAGCGACGAATTTTTGCAGTATGAGCTTCCTGCTGGGGAGATGCCAACAATTCCAAAGGTAGGGAGAGCGGCAGGCTGACGGTCGGCAAAGGTTAATGCCCTTTCAGTTCCGCTGGAACGTACCCTGCTAGCCCGGTACTCACATGCTTACTACATCCGTGTAGGGTGCTGAGGACATGGCAAGATCCTTCGAGAAACAGTTAGCAGCAACACAACTGGTCCAGCAGCGGCTGCAAAAACAGTTTAACGAACTTTCCGAGGAAAAGGGGGTCCTAGAGGTGCGTGATAAGGGTGCTGAGCATGGAGGAAAGGTAACACGTACTGCAAGGAAAAGAGAGGAGGGTTCAGAACTGACCTTGTCCAGGACGCACACCTCGCCAACCTTGGTTTTACGATTCACGCCTATACTTTCATGTGCCTTTGCACCCCCCTTGGAACCGCCAGACTAGCCTAGAAATGGAGAGAGCCGTTCGGCAGCACAAGCAGCTTCAGCTGGGTGTCGTACACGACAAGGCCGACTGTGCATGCAATGCGGCGGAGCACTCACAGCGGCAGTTGAAAGAGGCGTTCGCATCTGTGCAGGACATGGCCGCTTCCGTAACTCAGTTAGCGGACATGCTGGATGCTTCAGGCGCCTCTCCAGAACTCACGGAAAGCTTTAAGGCTGTGGCACGCAGCACGCAGCGGACATTCGACGCCGTAACTGCAGCGCAAGCGGACATCCATGCAGTCCTGGACATGCAGTTGGAAGTCAAGGAGGCTTGCCTTCAGTTGACGCCGCTCACGCCGGCGTCGTCTGTGGCGGCAGGGCTCCCCAGGGTGGCGGATGCGCTCAGGGACTTGGAAGCGGATGCCCTGAGGTGCGGTTGCCCTTGCGCTGACATTTAGAAGTGCCACGTCACACAACAGCGCTAAGTTTAAAGCTGTAAATGCCCGCTGCTTGTCGATATCTTTGCTTGATGTTCCACGCATTTCCGTCCTGTCTATCACCTTTTCCAGGTTGCGGCAGGAGCTGGAGGAGACCAGGGCGCGTGAGGCGAAGCTTGCCTTGGAGCTGCAGGCTGCTCAGAAGCTGTCCAGCCTGTTCAGGGAGGTGAGTCTGGCTTGGCTGGGTATCCGAAACTGGGTGCCCTGATGCTCTGTAGACTGCACACCTTTGAGGATAGTGGATTGTGAACATGAGCGTTGCGGTGTATTCGCATGTTTTGTTGTAGGACATGCGTTGCGCACTGACCCCTAGGCCCCTCACCGCTCTGCCTACAAGAAATATGGCCTTGTTCGTGTATCCAACCGCACCGCATGCGCCTCTTTTCTGACCCTGCAGCTGGAGACTGAGGTGATCAACCTGCAGCAGGAGCAGGCGCAGGCAGCCAGCAAGCTGCAGACCTCCCATGAGGAGATGCTGGCTGCACGGGCGCAGCTCGCGACCCTGGAGCGGGAGCTCGCTGCCACTAAGTCGCCCACCGTTGAGCTCCTGGCGCAGGTGGGAAGGGCAACGTAGCGGTTCTGTGTTAAGGTTGATTGGGCCCCTCTGCACGGCCACTGCCCTTGCTTTCCGTGCCGTCTCTGTGGCCTTTGGCATGAACACTGTGGAGAAAGGGTATAGGCTATTGGGTCTGTACGTTTTCCCGAGTTCCTGCGCTTTCCTAATTCGCTACGGTCCTCTCGTCGCGATGCAGAGCCTCCTGAAGCTGGACGCCCACTCGGCAAGTGTCCAGGAGTTCCTCGAGGGGCTCTCCATGCCGACCCCGGCGGACTCCGCAAGCAGCCCCGCACAGGTGAGTCCGCAGCGCCATGCTGCTTGCCCGTTATGCATGCAGCAAACCCACATCGCACTCACACGGCACTCGAAAGGTTTAGGACCCAGCTGAACTAGAAGCTGCGAGGCAGGCAATCCTGGTACGCAGATCTTACGTAAGGAAAGATGCAGCTTCAGAAATGAGGAGTGGACTGCAAAGCCAGTTGCCCATAGTCACCAAAGCGCGTTAGGGCTGTGGGGGCACCCAGGCAGCGGATACGGCTCGCGCGTAATCAGCGCGCGAGCATTCCGTGGTAGGCCAGCCGACCGCTGACCTGGGTGCCCCCACTGCCCTTCGCAGGAGCAGCGAACGGCAGCTCAAACCCTCAGCAGTCCCCGTGTAACGGATAGGTCAGCGTCAGCCTCGCCTGCCTCCAGCCAAAGAGCGTCATTAGTGTCCAGGCAGTCTGGCGCTCTCTCAAACGTGCAGTCTGGTGCTCTCTCCAGCGTGCAATCGGGTGCTTTCGATGACTCGTTATCGTTGGAAGTGCTTGCTGCGGATATGTCGCTGCTGATGAGCCGCCTGGCGGACCGCCACCGAGACAGCCATCAGCATGCTAGCACGGACGGCGGAGCGCTACCGGCGTTGCCGTACCTGCCGTCAGAGCAGCAGCTCCGGGAGCTTATCACTCACGTGTCTGCGTTCCGGCGACGGGCCAAGCGTGATGCCGAGGCCCGGCGTGCCGCCGAGGCCAAGGTAGAGGAGCTGCAGGAAGAGAAGGAGCTGACGGCTTTGTTGCTGCAGAAGCTCGGCGAGGAGCAGGTAGCGCTTGCTGAGCAGCTGCGGTCGCTTGAGGAGGCGAAGGAGGAGCTGGAGGTGGACCGTGAGCAGCTGCTAGACCGCATAGCTGAGCTGGAGTCGCATGCGGATGGCTTGGCGGCGGAGCGTGAGGTGCTACGGCGCCGTGTTGCGGAACTGGGTATTCGGTTGAGCAGCTGTGAGAGGGACCGTGCTGCATTCCTGGAGCAGCATGAGCGGCACGTGGGCGTGGCTGCCGCTGCCGGCGCTGCGGGAGCAGCGGCCGCGATTGCAGTTGCTAAGGACGCAGCGGCCCAAACGTCGCCGCCGCCACCCATGCACCCGCAGCGAGGCGTGTTTCCAAGCCCTGTGCGGCAGCTTGTTACAGCCGCCACCGCCGGCAGCAGCCCTTCGCCGGCGTTTGACCGGCGGCCGGTTGGCCTTGAAGCTCAGCTGGCAGAGGCTGTGGCAGAGCGTGACGCTGTGCTGCGACGCGCCCAGCTGCTTGAGCAGGATGTCGAGACGATGGGGGAGCTCCTCCAGCAGGCGGCGCATGAGCGTGAGGCCGCCTTGCAGCAAGTCGAGCAGATGCTTGCCGAGCGCGCAGAGGTGGATGGGCGGCACGCCCTGCTCTGCCGTGAGCTTGAGGGCAAGCTTCAAGCCGCCAGTTCAGCTGCTGCAGTTGCTACTGCCGCTGCGGCGGCAGCAGCCGCTGGCGCAGCTGCAGGCGTCGCATTGCGTGTCTCACGAGAGTGTGGCCCTAGTACGGCTTGTTCAGGATTTGCGTCACCTCGGCTGCCGTCTAGGCCGCCCATCAGCCGCAGCAGCAGCCACAGCCGCCGTTCTCGCAGTGCGCGGGCGTCAGGCAGCCATGTGCTGGACGAGCATGAGGAGCGGTCGGAATCCAGGTGCTCGCCGGAGGCCTCCCATGTAGTGGTACCCCCCGCAGTCCTCCTTCAATCTGCAGCCTCCTACGCGGCGCCTCTTATGTCTGACATGCCCCTAGTGCCGACGCCACACAGTGCTGATGCCAACGGATCGAACGGCCTTGATCCGTCGGAACCGCTGGAGGGCGGCATGCGGCCTTCTGGGAACGGATCGTCGCATGGCACCAGCAGTGGCGGCGGGTCCTCGTCTGCCGCTGCACGAGCCGTCAACGAAGCCGAGCTGCGGGCTTCCGTGCGGAGCATCCTGTCTGCCAACAGCGCAGGGGGTGTGGGCGAAGTAGCAAGCCTTCCTATCAGCGGCCTGCCTAGCTTGCTGCAAGAGTTGCAGCAGCGCAACGCCACCTTGCAGGCGCAAGTCGCGGAGCTACGACAGCGCCAAGAGCTCCTCCTTGCCCAGCATGAGGAGAGCTGCCGGGCGTCCCATGCTGAGCGCGCTTCCCGCTTGGCTGAGCTGGAGGAGGAGCACCGCGCTGAGCTGTCTGCCCTCCGAGCTGCACATGACCAACGGGTTTCCGAGCTGCAACAGGCAGTGCAGAGCAGCGCGGAGGAGGCTAAGCGGGAGGTTTCCGCGTTGGAAGCTGAGTTGTCTCGGCTTCAAGCTGCCCGGGTAGCTGAAGCGGCGGCCCAGGAGCAGGAGCTTGCTTACCTGCGGTCGCAGGTGGCCCAGCATGCGCAGCACGAGTCCGCCGCCAGTGCGCTGCGGTCGCAGCTAGAGGTGCTTGGCTCCGAGCTCGCGGCGCTTCGTGCTGTGCATGAGGAGCGGCTTGCGCAGATGGAGGGCTCCGAGCAGCGCTCCCTGGAAGGTGCTGATGCAATTTCCCGCTTGCGCGCGGAGGTCGCCGGGCAGCAGGCGGCTCATGCAGAGGCGACCTCGGTGCTTCAACAGCAGCTTGATGCTGCCCGCGAGCAGGCCTCGCAGCATGAGACAGCTGCCAGCGACTTTCAAGCGCAGCTCAAACAGCGGGATTCAGACCTCGCCGCACTACGGGATGGGTCGGCCGCGATTCAGCAACAGCTTGCGGACATGCAGAAGGAGGCTTCTGGGCATGCGGCTGCAACTGGGAAGCTGCAGGAGCAGTTGGAGGCCCGCAGCTCGGAGCTCTCTGCGCTGCAAGACTCGTATGACAAGCTTGGTGCCATTGCCGACGAGCTGGAGATGCAGCTTGGGTTGCGTAACGCGGAGCTTGATGACCTGCAAGCCACCTACGATGAGCGGCTAGCGCGGTTCCAGGATGCTGAGATGCGGTGCGAGGAGGCGGCTGCCACGATTTCCGCGTTGCAGGCAGAGCTGGCTTCGGCACGGACGGCCCATGATGTGGAAACAGCAGCCCTTCAGCAGGAGCTTTCTCAGCTGCGGGATCGAGTAGCCAAGCACGAGCTGGCTGCTGACGAGTTAGCGGTGAAGCTTAAGCTGCGCTCTGCTGAGCTTGCTACACTGCAGGCCGCTTACGAGCAGCAGCAATCGCAGCTACTTGATGCTGAGAGGCGCGGCGAGGACACTGCGGGCGCCTTGGTCGAGCTGCAGTCTAAGGCAGCTCAGCAGCTGGCAGCGCATGGGGCAGAGATCTCCGCCCTCCAACGCCAGCTTGCGGAGCTACAGGAGCAGGAGATTCAGAACAGCTCCATGATTAGTGATTTGCGTGCTCAGCTAGATGCGAGTGGTGCGGAGGTTTCCCAACTGCAGGCTCAGCTGGATGGGCGTGCCGCTGAGATTTCGGGGCTAGAGACGCAGCTGGAGGCACGTACAGCTACAATTCTGGAACTGCAGATTCAGCTAGAGACGCGTGCGGCTGAGGTTTCAGAGTTGCAGGGGCAGCTGGAAGGGCGCATCGCCGAGCTCTCTGAGTTGCACGCTAAGCTGGAGTCCCGTGCAGTTGAGGTTACGGACCTGCAGTCGCAGCTAGAGGCTCGTGCCGTTGAGGTCTCCGACCTGCAGTTGCAGCTTGGGGCTCGTGCCGCCGAGATTACGGACCTGCAGTCGCAGCTAGAGGCTCGTGCCGTTGAGGTTACGGACCTGCAGTCGCAGCTAAAAGCTCGTGCCGTTGAGGTTACGGACCTGCAGTCGCAGCTAGAGGCTCGGGCCGTTGAGGTTGCGGACCTGAAGTCGCAGCTAGAGGCTCGTGCCGCCGAGGTTACGGACCTGCAGTCGCAGCTAGAGGCTCGGGCCGCCGAGGTTACGGACCTGCAGTCGCAGCTAGAGGCTCGGGCCGTTGAGGTTGCGGACCTGAAGTCGCAGCTAGAGGCTCGTGCCGCCGAGGTTACGGACCTGAAGTCGCAGCTGGGGGCTCGTGCCGCTGAGGTGTCGGACCTGCAGTCGCAGCTGGGGGCTCGTGCCGCTGAGGTTACGGACCTGCAGTCGCAGCTAGAGGCTCGTGCCGCCGAGGTTACGGACCTGAAGTCGCAGCTAGAGGCTCGTGCCGTTGAGGTTACGGACCTGCAGTCGCAGCTAGAGGCTCGTGCCGTTGAGGTTACGGACCTGCAGTCGCAGCTAGAGGCTCGTGCCGTTGACGTTACGGACCTGCAGTCGCAGCTAGAGGCTCGTGCCGCCGAGGTTACGGACCTGCAGTCGCAGCTAGAGGCTCGTGCCGTTGAGGTTACGGACCTGCAGTCGCAGCTAGAGGCTCGTGCCGTTGAGGTTACGGACCTGCAGTCGCAGCTAGAGGCTCGTGCCGTTGAGGTTACGGACCTGCAGTCGCAGCTAGAGGCTCGTGCCGTTGAGGTTACGGACCTGCAGTCGCAGCTAGAGGCTCGGGCCGTTGAGGTTGCGGACCTGAAGTCGCAGCTAGAGGCTCGTGCCGCCGAGGTTACGGACCTGCAGTCGCAGCTAGAGGCTCGTGCCGCCGAGGTTACGGACCTGCAGTCGCAGCTAGAGGCTCGTGGCGCCGAGGTTACGGACCTGCAGTCGCAGCTGGGGGCTCGTGCCGTTGAGGTTACGGATCTGCAGTCGCAGCTAGAGGCTCGTGGCGCCGAGGTTACGGACCTGCAGTCGCAGCTAGAGGCTCGGGCCGTTGAGGTTGCGGACCTGAAGTCGCAGCTAGAGGCTCGTGCCGCCGAGGTTACGGACCTGCAGTCGCAGCTAGAGGCTCGGGCCGCCGAGGTTACGGACCTGCAGTCGCAGCTAGAGGCTCGGGCCGCCGAGGTTACGGACCTGCAGTCGCAGCTAGAGGCTCGGGCCGTTGAGGTTGCGGACCTGAAGTCGCAGCTAGAGGCTCGTGCCGCCGAGGTTACGGACCTGCAGTCGCAGCTAGAGGCTCGGGCCGTTGAGGTTGCGGACCTGAAGTCGCAGCTAGGGGCTCGTGCCGCCGAGGTTGCGGACCTGCAGTCGCAGCTGGGGGCTCGTGCCGCTGAGGTGTCGGACCTGCAGGTAGAGATAAAGCAGCAGGGAGCGAGGGTTTCCGAGCTAGAGGCTCAGCTGGAGACGCGTGCCGCTGAGGCTTCACAGCTACAGGCCCAGCTTGATGCCAGCGGTGCTGAGGTAAAGCAGCTGCAGGTTCAGCTGGAGGCGGGAACGGTCCAGTTGCAAGCAGCCGAGCAGCGCTGCAAAGAGGCTGCTGGCACGGTTGCCGCTTTGCGTGCCGAGTTTGCTGAGCTCCAAGCAGCCCGTGAAGCTGAGGCCTCTGCTCTTCAACAGCAGCTCGACGCGTCGCAAAAGCATGCAGCTGAGCAGGCGGCAGCCGCGGGAGAGCTGCGCGCAAAGCTAGCGTTGCGGTCCAGCGAGCTCAGCGTGCTGCAAGCTGAGCACGAGAAGCGGCTGTCACGGCTGCAGGCTACCGAGGAGCGCTGCGAGGATGCCGTACGCACTCTTAACTCGGTGCGGGCGGAACTGGCCCTGCATCAAGCCACTCGTGAGGCTGAAGTCGCCACGCTTCAGCACCAAATGGACGAGCTCCTGCAGCAGATTACACAGCAGGAAACCGCTGCAATTGAGTTGCAGGCGCAGCTTGGGCTGCGTGGCGCTCAGCTGGCAGAGGTGCAGGCTGCGCATGACGCGAAGGAGTCGCAGCTGCGGGAGGCCGAGGACCGCGGCGCGGAGGCTGTTCGCACGGTTTCGGGGCTGCAGGCGCAGGTCGCGCAGCTGCAAGCGGCTAGCGCAGCCGAGGTGGCTGCTCTCCAGCAGCAGCTTGGGGACTTGCAGGAGCAGGCAGGAGAGCAGGAGGCCTTGGCTAGGGGCTTGGAGACGCAGCTGCAGAAGCGGGAAGCGGAGCTGCTTTCCTTGCAGCAGCGCAGTGAAGCGGACTCACGGACAATCACCGGCTTGCAAGCGGAACAGGCCAGCCTCCAAGCAGCTCGGGAAGCCGAGTTGGACAGTCTTCAGCAGCAGATATCAGCATGGGAGGCTAAGTATGCTGAGCGCGACTCTGACGCTAAGGAGCTGCAGGGCCAGCTTGACTTGCGCCGGGCTGAGCTTGGCGGGGTGCAAGCCGCCTACAGTGAGAAGCTGCAGCAGCTGCAAGCCATGGAACAGAGCAATGACCAGATCGCGGCCATGGCTTCCTCCCTGCAAGCTGAGCTGCGAGACCAGCAAGCGTCCCATGCCACGGAGGTTGCAGCCCTTCAGCAGCAGCTGGCTGAGCAGGAGTCCGCGGCCCGCGAGCTGCATTCCCAGCTGAATGGGTTTCTAGCTGAGCTCAACGCACTGAAGGCCGCGCACAGTGAAGCTCAGGCGCAGCTGCAAAGCTCCGAGCAGCTAAACGCAGAGGCCGCCCAAGCGATATCCTCGTTGCAGTCCGAACTTGCAGAGCACCGGGCCGCATGCGACTCGCAAGTGTCTGCCCTGGTGCAGGAGCTCGCCGACCTGAGGCAGCAGGCAGCCCAGCAGGAGGCTGCTGCAGGGCAGCTTGAGGCGCAGCTGGAGCTACGTGGCATTGAGCTAGCCGCCCTGCAGGCCACGCTGGAGGAGCAGCAGCTGCAACTGCAAAGCGCCGAGCAGCGCGGAGAGGACGCCGCGCGCTCGGGCTTGGCACTGGAAGAAGGGCTTACTCGGCTGCAGGCGGCGCATAGCCAAGAGGTGTCAGTCTTGCAGCAGCAGCTTACCGAGCTGCAGCAGCAGGCGGCCGTTGCGGCTGCGCTGGAGAAGCAGCTGGGCACGCATGAAGCCGCCATGGCGGAGCTGAAGGGCCTGCATCAGGCGCGCCTAGCCCAGCAGCAGGAACACTACCAGCTGGTGTTATCGGGGCTTCAGCAGGAGCTCCAAGAAGTTAAGGCGTCGGCGGCACAGCATGAGGCGCTGGCTCTCGAGCTGCAGGCGCAGCTGCAGCAGCTGCAGACCGACAAGGAGGTGGAGGAGCAGAGCCTGCGGAGCCTGATGAGCACCAAAGCCTGGATGACGGAGGAGATCCGGTCGCTGCAGGCGGAGCTGAGGGACGCGCGCGCGAAGCTGGCGGATGCGCCACGTGAGGCCGCGGAGTTGCGTCAGAAGCTGCGCCGCGCTGGGGCGCAGGTCGCAACGCTTAGCGCCCAGCTGGCTGACGCGGTCATGTCGGCCGCACTTGCAGAGGTGCGCAGTGAAGCTGACGAGCCTGGGGGCCAACCAAGGGCTGCAGGCGCGGACCAGGCTGTAACGTCGTCTGCAGCGAGTGCAGGCAACCGTGGCTCGGTGGCGGACCAGACGGACCTCATGATGGAGACGGTGGCTCTGCATGGCGAATTGGATGAGGTGAAAGGCAAGTGCGGCAAGCTGCAGGCGCAGCTGGATGCGGTTGCAGATGAGCTTGCGTATGCAGTCATGCGGGCATCGCTGGCGGAGACAGAGCTTGAGCAGCTGCGTGTTATGCGCGTTGCCTCGGTTGGCGGCATCGGCAGCGGTCTGGTGCCAACAGCACGGCGGGATCGGCGGCGTGCGGCGCTGCAGGACAGGAACATGCCCCCACCTGACCACCTCGGCACCAAGTCCGTTTCGCCCCTGGAGCAGACACGCCACCTGCACAGCTCTCTCAGCACTGTCGCACGCGCTCTGAATGAGATGTTTGGGGAGGGAGAAGCGGCCCAGCCGGCAGCCAGCCGCCAGGCCTTGTCAACACTGCGGCCGGCCGTCCTTACCGCACTTCGCATCACTGAGAACGTCGCCTCGTCCCTGCAGCAGCCGCAACAGCAGGGGCCACATGCACCTCCTCACCTCCCTGGCAATGAACCGGCGGCCGCAAGCCGCTCTGAGCTAAGCCGCGCCGGTGCTGCCTACCGCGATGCACGCGAGGTGTTCGAGCTCCTCCGCAGCGATGCCGAGGAGCTCAACAGCCGGTTGTGGCGCTGGGGCTGCAGCCTACGTGAGCGGTTGTCTGCCATGGAGCAGGAACTTACCCGCGTGCTCGCGGAGGCGCTGCCCGGCCAGCCTCGCGCGCTGGAGCAGATGCTGTCGCAGAAGGGCGCCTACCTCCGCAGCATGGAGGAGCAGGTGCTTGAGCTGCAGGCGGCGCTGCAGACGGCGCATGCGCGGCTGCTGCGGCGGGATGAGCAGGTGGCTGCACTGCAGGACATGCTGGTGCAGCTGTCGGAGCAGGTGTCGGTGTTTGAGGGCGTGGTGACGCGGTGCGAGCTGCTGAGTGCTGACCTCATGAGCAAGTCTGGCTCGAAGCCGTAAAAGATGTTTAGGTGGGGCTAGGGAAGTGGACGGTGGTTTGAGGCTCGAGACGCATTGCACGTGCATTGCGTTTTTGTGTCTGTGCTTGTTTTGGACGATGTGCTGTCATTCGTTAGGTCTTACTGTGAGTTACTAACATGCACGTTGCGTGATCTTGGCATGGTAAATGTGCTGCGGACGCTGTTCGATTACGACTTTGGGCATATCACAACGTACATTCGGACATGATGTCTGTGTATGCCGCTTACATATCGCACTACATGGGGCTTGCTTGTTTTGTACGTGACGTGCGCTTATTTTGTGCATGACGTGCGTTAACCTGGGTCACCTGTAGGACTTATTAGCAGCCATGGTTGCCACGTTCCTGTGGACATGGACGTTTATTCTGTGCACCTCCCGGGGCTTTCCCCGACTGAAGAACTCTCACCCTACAGGAAGCATTGGACAAACGACGACACGAGGCTGCCTCCAGTAGCTAACCAGATCTTGGACCCGCGACCGCCAGTAGCACGACAGTTGGACAGCTGTGCTCGGAAATATGTAAAGCTCGCAGCTCGTGTAAAGATGGCACAGAAATCCAGAAGGAACATCCAGCAAACAAAAGCCGAAGCCGCTAACTGCACGGCATACCACGCATGCACGACATCGCATACAAGCCATGCTTCTTCTGTTCGCGCCTGTCTGTTTGCTCCATCTAAACGTAATAATAAACCTCGCAGGACGTTTCAGGTCTAGCAGCACTCAACGAGGGCGAAGACGCTGACGTCAGCCTTGAAAAGCTGCGGGAGCTTGTCAGTGCGCTTCAGCTGCAACTGAAGGTGCGGGTCTTTCCTGCAGCATGCCTAAGTCTCCCGGTTGCCGTACCGACCATACTTACGGCACCCGCAGTGGCCATGTCTCCTTCCATCCAGTTGCCCGTACGTTCCGCTTTGGTAATGCGCAGGTCGCTCCAGGCTGCCCACACCCCTTGCTCTCTGTTGCATGCCCCACTGGGGCCCTCCTTCTTTCTGGGTCTCTGCGGTTATGCCAAGGTGTTTTTCCCGCCTGCGTTTCCGTACAGGCCAAGGATGACGAGGTTCGTGCCGCACGCTATGCCTCCTCCTTCATGCGCCACCGCGCCGAAACCAAGCTCGGCCAGCACCCCAGCGGAGGAGGGGTCCAGGAGTCCCCGGTGGCAGCGTCGCTGTGGCCCTCGCTGCTAGCGGAGCTGCAGGCCCTGACTCCCAGGGACGTGCAAGGGAGTGAGGGCGAGCCCGTCAGTCGTGCGCCGTCGCCGATCTATTCCTGCAGGCTTGCCGCTCGCTCGCAGGCGCTTCAGTCACCAGCTACCACCACCACGGACGGGTTGTCCACTGTCCAGGTGAGAGATGCGCAAGAGACCTCTGACGAGCAGTCAAGGTGCACAGGGCACACGTAACCAATATGCAATGGACGGACTCTGCTTGGCCCTTTGTCACAATGTTAAACTCTATTGGCCATTGTCGAACCGGCTACCGTATTGTAAATATTTTTTAATGCAGCTGCGCAATACCGATAAAACCGTTTTTTCGCTGTCTGAGGCTCCCTTCCTGACCACTCGCAACGCAGGTGGCACTGATCGCCGCTGAGCGAGAGGTGATCTCGCTCCGATCGCAGCTGCAGCACCGCCAGCAGCACATCAAGCTGCTCGAGCACCGCCTACTAGAGCAATCGCAGGTAGGACTGAGCTACATGCACAGCTCGCGCTTTACCCGCCAACGCCCCTCCACTATTCCGTCACCCGCTACAGCATCGCCTGCATGTGTAGTCCCACGCCTTTCCGTGCGCTAACATGCAGCCTGCTGTTGCCCCGGCTGGTTCAGGATGTGGTGGCCATGTGCAACCGCGGAGACCCCACCGCCTTCGCGGCCAGCCCCGAGGGCTCCCGCAGATCATCGTTTGCGGAGCGGCGGCGCCTGGTGATGGGCACGGAGGTGCTGCCGCCGCAGAAGGCCTGGGGCTTCGATGGTGACGTTACCAGCGCCACCGGCAATGTTGCATCACAGATGCGGCCACAGGTATGCCGGTTACGGGCAGGGGCAGAGACATACATGCTTCCGAACATACGGAAAAGGTCATTTGCATGCTAGGGGCCAGGAGGGGTGTTTGGGCATAGGGATGGCTTCCTCCAGGTCCTCGTAATACGGTTAACCTAGGGGGTCCTTTTCCGTACCCGTGTCACATGCAGGATCCTCCAAGGCGGACCAGCGTTGGCACCGGACGCGGTCTCCCACCGCCAATCGCGGAATCGGATGATGGCTCGGAACACCCGGATGCACTAGCCGTCGCTCAGATGCGCATTCAAGAGCTGCAGGTATGTTACCGTACCGCCCCACTGCCTTGCCGTACCACTGCCGTACGTGACCTTGCAAGGAACACCCATTGCTAACAATGCGCCGACGTCCTGCTTGTAGAACGAGCTACATGGCTCTCAGCTTCTGACGGCTCAGCTACTCGAGTCCGCTGCGGCCTCAGACGCCGCCGTCGTCCAACGCGACGTGGCCCTCCAGCAGCTGGAGAGGCAGGTTGGCAAGTACCGCGCTGTGCTGGCCGCTGCAGCAGGCGGCGGCAAGCCCCGGGAGCAGCAGGCGACCAGCAAGGAGCAACAGGTTGGTCTGGGGTTGGTTGCGTTGGCGCACCCGTGCATGGCTTAGGTGCTTCCTGCCCATCGTCTTTTCAGCTTCTTACGCCTTGGCAATCGCAGTGCGTCAGTGATGATGGACACCATGGATTAGGATTACTAGACTGAATGCGCCCTGTGTGTTGTGTCGTCACCTTGCCTGCAGGTTGCGGATGACGGCCCCGCGGCTGTTCCCACCAGCCCACACTCCGCTGCCTCCCCGCATGCGCAGCCGCAGCTGCCTCTCCTAGACGAGTCATCTAGCAGCCTGGGCAGCCCCCGCAGCCCCCGCGTCCCGCGCCTAACGCTGGAGGACTTGCCCGTGGAAGGCGCCATCCGAAGTGGCGCCGCATCCTCTACCAAGGCCAGTCCTCGCGATGAGCCCCGTCGTCGTAGCGATTCACCAACTCCGTTTAGGCTCAGCTCTGGCGGGCTGCTGCCCTTCCAGCGGGCGCCTACGGATGACGGTGCAGGCAGCGCGCGGCTGGTTGCCTTCCCTGGGGGAGTGGCCTGCGGTGTCGTAGAGGAGAAGCTTGGAGGAAGAGGAGGTCCCGGTCAGGCGCCCGTTGCAATGGCCGGTGCTGACGAGGCAGATGCGCTGAAGCGTCAGCTTGAGGAGGCCGCACAGATGCTTGGACTGACACAGGTATGGCGCTGGCGAGGGAAACTATAACCCCTTAGGAAGCTCCTGATGACGTGAGTGCAATCCCCAAAGTGTCGCCACACAGTCGCCACACTGACACACTGTTCTTCCGCCCGGCCCTCTGCTTGAACCTGTGTGTTCGTCCCTGTGCGCAGGCTGAGCTGATGCACAGCACGGGAGAGCTGGCGAGACTCCAGGTAGGGCAGCTGTGTGCTTACGCCGGGTGCATTAGGCGCGTTGTGCTAGGACAGCACTGTCTGCATGCATGTGCCGAGTTCATATGAAACGAATTACTAGGTCGGCCGTAACAGTAAAAGATCCCTCCTTGTCCTGCCACTGCTTGTTGCAGGCCCAGCTGGGCGACCTCAGTCGGCCGGAGGCTGCTCCCCAGGCAGCCGGCTCCCCCGGCGGCGGCAGCAGCAGCAGCGACTCGCCGCCAGACGCGTCAAGGGCGGCTTCGGTGACCCGGCTGCATGTCAAGACGCCGGCTGCGCGTCGACTGTCCTTCACGCAGTTGGAGGAGGACGTTCGGCTGGGCGGCGGGCTGGGCGCCAGCACGGAGAGGCTGCAGGCGCTCACGGAGCAGCTGCAGGAGGTGCTGCAGCTGCTGCGAGCCAGCCAGGTAAGCTTGGCGAGCGCTAGGAAACAATGGCTTGTTGTCGCAACTAGGAACGTAATGGCAGGTTGACGGTTGAGCTACGAATGATCCCAAACGTGTGCACTATTTCCATTGGGTATTCAGCTACTGAGCCGCTGCATGGAATGCCCTACATACCGCCCTTCAGGAGCGTGCGCTGAGCCTCCAGCAGGCGGCAGACGCCAAGGAGGCGGCCGTGCTGCGTCTGTCCGAGCAGTTGCGGGTAGGTGCCCTTGCGCTTCGCGTTCATCGCCTACTGTGTCCGGCGCGTGCTGTCCAGCTAGTACGGTAGTACCGGTATGCCAGCATTGGGATAATGCCCCTTGGCTCCATGCAGCTCCCCAACTGCGGCCCTTGGCGGCCCTTGGCCCATGCGAGTCCTGCCAATGTGATATATCGCTAAAAGGCTTTGCGCTGGTCGCCCCACGCCCTAATGCAGGCCCTTTCAACAACCCAGGAGCCGGCGACGCTGGGCGCAACCGCCTCTGCCGACAGCGCCGCACCCCTTGCTGGTGCCGCAAGCGGCAACCTGGCCACCCCGCCAGCAGCTGGCAGCCCGGTGTCACCACTTGCAGGCATCACGGGGGGGCCCGGTGCGCACGCCTACACACCCGCGCTTGTCATGAACCCCACGTTCCACAATGAGGGAGCGTCGGCCATGAGCGGAGGGAGCGAGGGGAACACCTTCCGTACCCCCACTGTCGCCGGCTCGGCTGCCGGCGGCGCCCCCAGCCAGCGTGATGGCGCCGCCACAACTGTGCACCGGAACCTGCTGTTCGATGATGCCGGCAGCACAAAGGTAGGGCAGGAGGTGTGGCTTAAGCTGCAGTTAGAGCTTTGTACCAAATGCGATCTCTGCTGTCTTAACAGCAAACGCATTATCCCCGTTCGTTCTCTGCGCTTTGGGGAGTGTTCTTGCGGCGCCCTCCCTTCACCCGCATCGCCCCAACATACGGTCCCCCTGCCGCTCCACCCTTCAGGAGGCCTCTGTTTGGGGCCATGGCACAAGTGCCATGACCGAGAGCGCGGGCAGGAACAGTCTCGGCGGCTTCAGCGGCGTGGAAGCCGGGGCCACCACCTCTCCGGCCGCTGAGGCGCTCGGCCATGCAGCGGAGGGCGCCGGCCCCGCCCAGAACGTTGCCCAGCTGCTGGCTCAGATCGGGGAGCTGCGTCGCGCGAACGCCGAGTTGCAACGCAAGCTGGCGGAGGTTGCTGGAGGCGCCACTGGCTCCTCAGCTCCCATCTGGCCCATGTCGTACACGGCAGCCGGGATCCAAGCCAGGGCTTCCTTTGATGCAGCGGCTTTGCAGGCGCAGGAGTCGTTGCCACTGCCAGAAGGCGTGAGGAGTCTGCCCCCGTTGGCGACTTCACGTGCTCCCTCCCTGCCTGTGGCGGCTTCGCTGCCGACCTCGCCTTTGGGGACGCCTGGGTCCAACCTTGCGGCTCGGTGGTCGGGTGATGGGCGCTCCTTGGGAGCTGCAGACGTTGCCGGTCGGCAGTACGCGGCAAGCGTTGTGAGCGACCTGGGCAGCGAGCTGTCGCAGGTAGGCTGCCCGGCCGGGTGGGCTGCTTGCCTAACTGCAGGGATTTGGGCGATCAGTCCTGCCCCTAGCATTTGGCTGGGACATGCACACACAGCAGCATGGTGTGACTGGTGCTGTTCTCCTGGCGCCTGTATCGGTATCTCCCCCCCCCCGACACCCTGTCGCTTGCCTTGCCCTTTGTCTTGTGGTTCGGTTCTTCCCTTACACCCTGACAGCGTGTTGTGGAGCTGGAGGAGGAGATGATGACGGAGCGCAACAGCTTCGCGGACCAGCTAGCGGGCCTCAAGAGGGCCAAGCGGGATCTGGAGGCAAGGTAGGAGAATGCAGGCTCTTGGCCCTTGACCCTTAGCCCGGTGGGATGCTGATCCTATCCCGCCACTGCCGGTTGCATGTGCCGGCCGTAACACTTGCATGCTGACGTGTCTGACGACCTCCTGCCACCGTTGCGCCGCCCAGGGTGAAGGAGTTGATTGAGGAGCTTGGATTGAAGGCGCAGCACATCACGCAGCTCCAGGTGGGGGGCTTGCGGTTACTACTTTTAAGTGACAAGCTGCATCGCGAATGAGGGTATCTGGGGAGAGTACCCAGCCGCTCTCCTGTGTCGGTGGCGCACGTTGACCCGCCCTTTCCATGCACCACCGCTGTGTTTAGGAGGCCAAGGGCTCTCGCGGCCAGAAGGCAGCCGAGCAGCTGGTCTCCGACATGCACAAGACTGTGGCGGGGCTCACAAAGGAGGTTGCTGACAGGGATGCTACCATCCGTTCACTCGAGGTATGTGCATGCCTACCAACCCCACGGATGCCGTTCCACCCATCCCACGCTATCCCCCGGACGCATACAACCTTTCTTGTGTTTTGGGTCAGACGCTCTCTCTTACCATGGGCCTTACCCTTACGCCACGGTAACAAGCGGCATCTTGGCCATCCACACTCTTGCTTGTGTCCCACCCCCGCCAGGGCCGAGTTGAGGACCTGGAGGAGGCTCAGTCCCGAGCCACTCGGCTGGTGTCGGCGGAGATGTCGGAGCACAAGCAGCGGCTGGAGGCGGCGGCTGCTGACAACCAGGCGCTGCGGGAGCAGCTGGAGCAGGCGGAGCAGGCCGCAGCGGAGCTGGCGGAGGCGCAGCGGCAGGCGGCGGAGGCGGCGGCGGCGCTGCAACGGGACCTTGACACCGCGGCGGGCAGGAGCAGGGAGCTGGAGGAGCAGGTGGCGGCGCTTGAGGCGGCGCTGCGGGGTGCTGAGACGGCTGCTGAGGCCGGGGTGAAGGAGGTTGAGGGGCTGAAGGCGCGGGTGGAGGAGCTGGAGGCGGAGCTGAAGGTACGGGCGTGCGTGTAGTTGGGATTGTCGGGATTGGCTTAGCTGCGTGTGGACCTGATTCCAACCAGTCCAAGAAGTTGTGCTTCATCATTCGCGAACAGTATATAGGCGCGTTCGGTTCCTGTGACCCTCGACCATCTTCATTTCCGACTTTGTACTACCGCCTTGCTCCCTCCGCCCTGGCTCCTGCTCCTGCAGGACGCAAACAAGCGCATTGTTGCCAGCGAGCGCGACGCCGAGGCCAGCAAGGAACAGGTTGCCGAGCTGCAGTCCAAGGCGCAGGACCAAGCCCTGCAACTCGAGGAGCTCCGTGACCTGCACCAGCAGCTCCAACAAGACAAGGCTGAAGCCGAGGCCGCCCTTTCCGAGGCACGGCAGCGTCTGGAAGACGCCGAGCTGCAGGCGACCGAGCTGCAGACCCGGCTTGGCGCAGCAGAGGAGCGGTCCCGAGAGGCTGAGGCCGCGGCGGTTGAGGTCGCCTCGGAGCTGCAGGCTGCTGAGAAGGACCGTGACCAGCTGCGGGAGCGTGTGGAGGGCATGGAGCAGGCCGCAACGGCTGCCAATGAGCAGCACGCGCAGGCTACGGAGACCCTGATGCAGCAGCTGGCAGCCGCGGAGGAGCGCGAGGCGGCGCTGGAGGAGAAGCTGCGGCTGGACAAGGAGCAGCGGAAGCGGCTGGCGGAGAAGCTGGCGGAGGCGGAGGAGCAGGCGAAGCACATGGGCGAAACGGTTGCGGAGGCTCTGGAGCGTGCGGAGCAAACTCGGGTGAGAGGGGAAGTGGGTATCAACACGAAGAACAGGAGGAGGTGTTGCTCTCTTGGGACCTATCGGTGGTTCGCTTGAGCACCGGTCATTCAATCCGCTTTTCGCAGCTTCGCCTGTCTCATGCTGCTTCGGTGCATTAAGCTAACTTTTCCATCACCATTCTTCGTTTTCCTCCACCTGAACCTCAGGTGGAGCGGCATGCTGCCGAGGAGGCGGTGCTGCAGGAGCTGGAGGCCGCACGAGACCAGCTGACCGCCGCCGTGGACGCCCACCGCAGCAGCACCCTGGAGGCCGCGCAGCTGCAGCAGCAGCTGGAGCAGCTGCGGACCGAGCTGTCCGCCGCGGTGCAGTCCGCCTCGCTGGCCGCCGCCAAGGAGGCGGAGCTGGCGCTGGACCTGCAGGTGCTGCGGGCCGGCAAGCTGGCGGCGCAGGCGCACCAGGAGCAGGCGGCGGCAGCGCACGAGCAGGCGGCGGCGCGTGTGCGGGAGCTGGAGGCGGCGAACCAGCAGCTGGCGGCGCAGGTGCGGGAGCTCGCCAACCAGCAGGCTACGGCGCAAGCGCGGGTGGAGGAGCTGGTGGCAGCTAGTGAGCAGGCACAGGCGGCCCTGCAAGTCGAGGCGCAAGGGCACGCTGAGGAGCTTCTTGCCGAGCAGCTGCGGTCGAAGGAGCGGGCTGAGGAGTTGTTGGGAGAGCTGGAGCAGGCCCGGGGCTGCGTGGAGGCCTTGGCAGCAGCGCATGAGCAGGCGCAAGCGCGCCTGGCTGACCTTGCTACGGCCCAACAGCAGGAGCAGGCGCGTGTGGCAGAGCTAACGGAGGCGCACGAGCAGGCGACGGCGCGTCTGGCGGAAGCAAAGGAGGAATGTGAGCAGGCGACGGCGCGTCTCGCAGAAGTCATTGAGGAACGCGAGCAGGCGCAGGCGCGTGAGGCTGCACTATCGGCGGAGCACGAACAGGCGACGGCGCGTCTGGCGGAAGTAACAGAGGAATGCCAGCAGGCGCAGGCGCGTGTGACGGAACTAACGGAGGCGCATGCACAGGCGACGGCGCGTGTGGACGAGCTCTCCGAGGCTCAGGAGCGAGCGCAAGCTCTAATTGCGGAGCTGACGTCAGCACTGGAGCAGACGCAGGCGCGTGTGGAGGAGCTGGTGGCTGCTGGCAAGGAGGCCCAGGCGAAGACGGAGGAGCTCACGGAAGCGTGTGAGGAGGCCAAAGCGCGCGCGGCAGACCTGCAGCAGCAGCTGGACTACGTGGAGGAGCAGGCGAAGGACACGGAGCAGGGGCTGCGCGAGGAGGTTGAGGTGCTCACGGCACGCATACGTGAGAGTGAGGAGCGGCATGCAGCTTTGCAGGTGAGGAGGGCTGGAAGGTTATGTATGTGTTCATGCCGTTGAGACGTATTGCTCTGTCTGTTGAGCTTGTTTTGGTGCCGCTGCTTGCTAAGGACTTACATACCGGTACGTTGTGAGCTTGTGATTACAATCTGCTGTTCTGGACCCGTTCGTTTTGTAGGCTGAGGAGCAGGAGCAGTCACGTGCGCGTGCTTCACTGAGTCAGGAGCGGGAAGGTGCTCTGCAGGAGCAGCTCGCCTCCACCCAGGCGGCGTTGGACGTCGCACAGTCGCAGAACAGCCAGCTCGCTTCGCAGCTCCGGGCCATTGCAAACAGTGTCGCCCTGAATGCTCGCAGCACCTCGAGGAATGCCCCAGGCGGCGACGGCCTCCAGGACACAGCCTCCAACGAGCTGGACGGCTCCACCAGTGCTGCAGCTCCTCCGGCGTCACCACCTCGTAGCGCCTCAGCCACCACCCCGCTTACCTCGCCAACCAGCAAGCGCTCCTTGAAGGGGCGCCAACTGACCTTCAAGCAGGTGCTTGTCGGCGCTGCCAGGTCCGCCGCTGCGGCCCTTCACCCGAGCGCCCCCGTCCAGGCGGCCCTGGCAGCAGCCAGTGGCAGCAAGGACGGAGGCTCAGCAGAGGCGGTTGCCGGAGGCCGGCCCGATCAGCCGCCCCAGCAGCGTCAGGGGGGAGCGGTTGCAGGGCGGCCATCGCAGCAGCAGCTTGGACTCTTGCAGCTCCTGCATCCGGAGCAGGACTCGGCTGCGGCGGATTCCGTCTCCCTGCTGTCACGCTCCTCCATCGGAGCTAGCGAGGAAGGCGGCGGCCTCAAGAGCGCGGGTGCTTCCGGTGCGGTTTCCGGCTCCGACATGCCGTTGACGGATGTGGCCGCGGCCGTGGAACAGTGCTTGGCGGATCTCCAAGAGGAGGCCCGCAGCCTGCAGGAGCGCCTGACTGCTTCCGCGGTGGAGCTGGACTGCCTGCGCAAGCTGCTGCAGGACACCGCTGCGGAGGCCGCCGCAACCACCCAGCAGGCGGCGGTGAGCGAGGCGGCGCGGGCGCGGCTGGAGGCCAGTCTGGCGGAGCAGCGTGCGGCGCTGGAGCGCGCGTCGGAGCGCGCTGCGGGTGCTGCGGTGGCGGCTGCGGCTGCCGAGGCGGCCCGGGCGGAGCTGGCGGCGGAGCTGCGGCTGCTGGCGGAGCAGCGGGCCAGCCTGGAGGACCAGCTGGGGCAGGCCGCTGCGCAGCGAGAACAGCTGCAGGAGGAGCTGGGCAGCGCTGAGGCGGCACGGGAGGAGCTGGAGGTGAAGCTGGGTGAGGCGCTGGCCGCTCAGGAGCACCTGCAGCGGCAGCTGTCGCAGGCCACGCAAGCGCAGACCGGCATGCAGGTCCTCATAGATGACCTACGGAGGCAGTTGGAGGTGAGCATGTTGGGGAGCTTGGGCTACCGGTATATACCCCTTGCAGCATAGTTGCATGTAAAGTTACACATCGGCTTGATGCCAAGACCGAGGACAGCAGTACCCGGATGATTGTGTTAAAACCCTAAATACCGATTGTTTTAAATACTTGGTTTATCCTCCTGGTTGGCTACGCAGGATGCCGAGGCCAGGTGCGCGAGTGTGGAGCAGGAGCTTGACGAGGCCAGGCGCACGAACGACCAACTGGAGGTAAGCCGCTGCTTGTCGTTGTGGGACGTGCGTATGTATGTTGTTTCCATGTATGCATTAGATTGGCGCAGCCGCAATTCTGCTTAACCCCGCACATCCAACACCCGCCATGACGCCTTTTTCCTCTGCAGGACGAGCTGCTGCGCCTCTCCGCTGCCGAGGACACGCTGCAGCGGGGGCTGCGGGCCGCGGAGGAGGAGGTGCAGCAGCGGGCCAGCCGGGCGCTGGAGCTGGAGGCGCGGCTGGTGGGCGCGGAGGGCAGCTTGGCGGCTGCGCAGGCGGCATATGTGGCAATGAAGGTAGGGGCAGGGCTTCGGGGCGTCATTGATAGGCCCATGTGGGTGCATTCATGCACCGATATAGCGGTAGCGGTATGTACGGCTGCATGGTTACAGCACCTGAGTGCATGGCACATGGAGCATCGGTGGCAGCGCCTTGCTGGACTGCAGCACAACGTATCACCAGGCGTCCTTTGTGGTTCCCACACGGTCCCCACACCACGTGTTTCCTGCGTGCTTCCCTCGCGCCATCCCTCAGGACAAGCTATGCGATGCGCTGCCCCAAGCAGCCGCAACACAAGAGCCCCGAAGCGCCCCAGCTGATGCGGATGTGGGCCCCGACTGGCCTGTTGTGCAGCGGCAGTTGTCCGGCGTGCTGGCTGCCAAGGCGACAGCAGACCAAGACCTTGCGGCCGCCCGGGAGCAGCACGCCGAGCTGGCGGGCGCCAAGGCGGCGGTGGAGGACCAGCTGGCGGCCCTCTCCGAGCAGCTGCAGCACTTGTCCGCCTCGCACCGCCAGCTGGAGTCGCGGCTGGCCGAGCTGTCCGCTGCGCACGAGGAGCTGCAGCGGCGGCACGAGGAGCTGCTGGCGGCCAAGGAGCGCGCGGACAGGCAGCTGGCGGAGGCGGTGGGCGCGGTGGCGGAGCAGCGCAGCAGCCTGGAGCAGCAGGCGGCGGTGGTGGCCACGCTGTACCAGGAGCGCGATGAGGTGGTTGGCGCCAGGGCCGAGCTCCAGGAGCAGCTTGCCGCAGCGTCTGAGGAGCTGGTGGCCGTCACTGCGCGGCTGGCTGCTGCTTCTGCTGACATGGAGTCGCTGGCTGTGGCCAAGGCGCACGTGGACCAGCAGCTGTCAGACACCGAGATGGCGAGGCTGGCTGTGGAGCGGCAGTTGGGAGAGGTGCTGGAGGCGAAGGTGGACCTGGAGGGGCAGCTGGCGGAGAGCTCTGCTGCCAAGGCGCTAGCAGACGAGCAGCTGGATGCCCTGCATGCTGCCGAGGTCGCCCTGCAGCAGCAGCTGGTGCAGCTGCAGGCGGCTGCCGAGCAGGAGCGCCTCTCCTCTGCTGACGCCGTCGCCGCCATCGAGGCGAGGCTGGCTGCGGCGGTGGCGGAGAAGGGCGAGCTGGAGGCTCAGCTGGCGACGGCGGCGGCCGCTCAAGCGGAGGCTGACAGCCAGCTGGAAAGTCTGGCGGCGCAGAAGGCCGAACTACAAGAGCAGCTGAACGCGGCGCAGGAGGCGCGGGCACAGCTGGAAGGGCAGTTGGGAGCTGCCAGGGAGCAGCACAGCAGTGAGGTCAGCGCTCTGACAGAGCGGCTGGCGGCCGCGGCTGGCCTGCAGTCGCAACTGGAGGCCGAGCTGGCGGAGTCCCGCAGCGCCGCTGCCGAGCTGGAGGCGCGGCTGGCCGCTGCGGAGGCCGCCGGGGCCGCCCTGGAACTGCAGCTCAGGGAGGCCGAGGCCGCGCGGGAGGGCGTGGAGGCGGAGCTGGCCAGGGCGCGGGCCGCCATGTCCGAGCTTGAGCCCCAGTTCGCGGCGACCGAGGAAGCGGTGGAGTCCATGCACCAGCGGCTGGTGGAGGCGGCGGAGGCGCGGGCGCAGCTGGAGGAGCAGCTGCAGGCGGCGGAGACGAGCCGCGCCGCGCTGCAGGAGGAGCTGCGCCAGGTCGGCACTGCGCGTGACGCGTTGGAGGAGGAGTTGCACAAGGCGAATGGGGCTTGTACCTTCCTTGAGTCGGAGCTGAAGGAGGCCCAGGAGGCGCGAGCGGCGGCGGCCGCGGAGCTTAAGGCCTTGAAGGCCGCCACTGCTGAACTAGAGCAGGAGCTGGACAGGGCCAGAAGTGACTGCGGAGAGCTTGCAACGCGCCTGGAGGAGGCGATGAACGCCCGGGCGGCTCAGGAGCGGCAGCTGCATGAGGCATGGGACCGGGAGGGAGAGGCCACGCGGGAGCTTGAGCTCAAGAACGGAGCCCTATCCGAGCTGGAGGCTCAGCTAGCGGCCGCGCGGTCGCAGGTGCAGGCGCTGATCGTGTGCAGCGTGGAGCTGGGTCGGGAGGGCCAGCAGCGGGAGGCGGCGCTGCGGTCCGCGCAGGAGGCGGCGGCAGCAGCCGGCGGAGAGGCTGCGCGGCTGCAGGCCGAGCTGGCGGAGGCGGTGGAGCGGCAGCGGGTGCTGCAGGCCTTCGCGGAGCAGTGCAGCGCGGATGTGGCGGCCATGGCGGAGCAGCTGGCTGGCGCTAGGGAAGCTTTGTCGGATAGCCAAGCCCGTGAGGCTGAGCGTGAAGAAGAGGTGGCTGCTGGTCGTGGCCGTGTGTCGGAGCTGGAGTCCCGGCTGCATGCGGCTGAGGGCGAGTGTGCGGCGGCGCAGGAGCAGCTGGAGGCGCTCAACCAGCAGCTGGCGGCGGTGGCGGACCTGCTGGAGGAGTCGGGGAGCGGCAACACGCAGATTGGGTCCAGGTGAGATCTTGGCAAGGGCGTTGCGTTGTATGAGTCGCATGCGGGGGTTACGACGAGGTTCGTTTGCTTGCCGTGCTCCCTATTAACGTTATCTTTGGCCGGCCGCCATGCAGGGACGCTCCTCGTGCCCCGCCGCCAGCGGACGGCGACCACCCGCCAGCGTTCGGCGGCTTCATGCCATTCGGCAACTCAGCCGGCAGCGAGGTGGGCATCGCGGTTGCGGTTGCGGAGCTGCGTGACAGTCTGCTGCAGCGGGCAGCAGCGGCCGAGCAGGCGGCGGCGGAGCGCGCAGCCCGCACCGCCGCGCTGGCTGAGGCCCTGGAGGCGGCTCGGCAGCTGGTGGCGCAGCAGGAGGCGGAGGCGCAGCGGTTGAGCTCGGAGCTGGGTGCGGCTGCGGAGCGCACGGAGCAGCTGGAGCGGCAGCTGCGGGACAAGGAGGAGCAGTGCGCGCAGCAGGAGGCGGCCAGGGTGGCGGCTGCTTTGGAGGTGGAGGCCGTCAAGCAGCGCCTGCAGGTGGGTTGCCTCGAGGAAGGGTGATGTGACGCACGGCTGTGGCGAAGATGTGTCGAGCGATGGGGGCACACGTACGCCATGCTTGGTAGCAGCAGGGGTTGCCGTCATGTACCAAACCTCGAGTGGGACGGGGCAGTCTCTGCAGTACTGCATGTAGAACCCCAGTGTAAGGTCCTTGGCACCACCGCACACCTGTGCGCCCTCCTGACGCCCTGGCTGCTGCTGTGTGTTCCCCGCTGCACAGGCTCGTGTTGACAGCGCTGAGGCTCGAGCCAAGGACTCCCAGAACCAGTTTGAGGACTACAAGGTCATCATCAGCCACCGCTGCTCAGCGCTGGAAGCCGAGCGCGACGCAGCCATCGCGGCCGCCGAGCACGCCTTCGCCGAGCGCAACGCCTCGCGGCTCTCCCTGTCGGCCGCGCAGTCTGAGGCGGCAGAGCACCGCAGCCGGCTGGCTGCAGTGGAGGCGGAGCTGGGCCGTGTTGAGGCGCGCATGTCGGAGCTGCAGGCGGCCATCGGAGCCTCGGAGGCGCAGGCGGAGCAGCTGAGGGCCGAGTTGGCGGAGCGGGGGGCGCAGCTGCAGGCGGAGGAGGCGGCCAGGGAGGCGGCGGAGCGGGAGAGCCAGGCGCAGACGGAGATGGCGGCGGCGCGGGAGCAGCAGCTGGCGGAGTTGCAGCAGGCGCTGGAGGAAGCGCGCGGGGAGCTGGCGGCGGCGGCCGAGCAGCTGGAGGCAGCTGGAGCGGAGGCGGAGGAGCTAAGGTCTGAGCGCGATGAGGTGGTGCGGTCGCTGGCGGAGGTGGAGCAGCAGCGGGATCAGACGCAGGCGGCCCTGGACGCGGCACGGGGTGAGGTGGAGGCGCTGCTGCAGCAGCTGGACGTGGGCCGGGAGGATGTGCTGGCGGCGCAGCAGCAGCGGCACGGCGCCGAGGCCAGGCTGGCGGAGGTGGAGGAGGAGCTGATGGACGCGGTCCGGCGGCTGGCCATGGCTCAGGAGGAGGCGGCGGAGGCGTCTGCAAAGGCCGCCAGGGCTCGTGAGGCAGCTGAGGAGGCATCCCGGGCTCGAGCGCTGCTGGCGGCGGAGGGAGCTGAGAGCTACCGCGCTCTGGCGACTGAGCATGAGGCGGTGCGGGGCGACTTGTCAGAGGCCCGGGCGCAGCGTGATGCCGCACTGCAGCAGCTGGCAGCCGTGCGGGAGGTGCTGGCAGACGCCGATCCAACAGACAACAGCGGCTACAGCACACCCACCGCCGGCAGCAGCTCCCCCGCTGGACTTCGCCTGGTGCCCAGAAGCCCACGTCAGCAGCAACAACAACAGCAGCAACAGCAGCAGCGCCTGCCAGCCCTGGTGCCCGCCTCACGTGCCGGTGAGGCGGCGCTCGTCGCCTCGCACCTGCGAGCCCTACGCGACCGTGCGGACGCCGCCTCCCGCCGCTCCGAAGACTTACAACGCCGGCTGGAGGGCGTTGAGGCGCACCTCACCTCGGAGCGCGCGGAGGCGCATGCCATGCGCGCCCGGCTGGAGCTGCACCTCGCCTCCACACGAGCCGAGCTGGATGCGGTGGCGGCGGAGCGCACCGCGGCGCTGCAGCAGCTGGCGGCGGCGCGTACGGAGCTGGCGGAGGCCACCCACGAGCGCGCTGCGGTGGAGGAGCAGCACCGCGCCGCGGAGCAGCTAGTCGCCGGGCTGCGGCAGCAGCTGGCGGCGCTGAGGCAGCAGCTGGTGGAGGCGGAGTCGCGCGCGCGCAGCGGCAAGGCGGAGTTGCTGCATGCGGAGGCGGTGAGCGGCAAGGCGGAGGAGGCGGTGGGTAGGCACCGCGCGGAGCTGGCGGCGGCGCAGGCGGAGCTGGCGGCGGTGGTGGCGCAGCGGGATGCGCTGGAGGACCAGCTGGCGGTGGTGCTGCCCACGCTGAGTGCCACGCAGGCGGAGCGGGATGCGGGTGTACGGCAGATCTCGTCCATGCGGGAGGACCACGTGACGCTGGAGCGGCACCTGGTGCCGCTGGAGGAGCGCGCCGAGGCGTTGGAGCAGCAGGCGGAGGAGCTGCGGCAGCAGCTGGCGGAGGCGGAGGAGCGCGTGCTGGCGGAGCAGGCGGAGGCGGAGGCGCTGCGCACGCGGCTGGAGGTGCAGCTCAACGCGGCGCGCAGCGAGTATGCAGCCGCCGCGGCGGCCCGGGATGCCGCCACGCAGCAGCTGGCGTCGCTGCGGGCCGAGCTGATGGACGCGACGGGCGCGCGCGCGACGTTGGAGGTGCAGGCTCGCGGGCTGCAGCAGCGGCAGGAGCACCTGCAGCAGCAGATCGCCATGCTGCAGGAGCACGTGGGCACAGCGGAGGCGCGGCTGAATGCGGAGCGTGCGGAAGTGCACGCGGCACGCACGCAGGCTGCAGCCGTACGTGCGGAGCTGGCAGCGGTCATGGCGGAGCGTGACTCGGCAGCCAACCAGGTGTCGATGCTGCGGTCCGAGGTGGCCGCCGTACGGGCGGACCGGGACGCCGCCGTACAGCACCACATGCTGGCTGCCAGTGCCAAGGCGGCTTTGGAGGAGCAGGTGCGCTCGTTGGAGGGGCTGACGGGACAGATGCAGCAGCAGCTGGAGGAGCAGCTGAGCCGGCTGAGGGGTGAGGCGGCGGCGACGGAGTCGGAGCTGGCGGCGGAGCGGCGGGGTGCCGCGGCGGCACAGGCCGCGTTGCGGGAGCAGCTGGCGGCCGCCAAGGCGGAGCTGGCGGCGGCGCTGGCGAACAACAATGTGGTGCAGCAGCAGGTGGCGGAGGTGAACGAGGAGCTGGCGACGCTGCGGCGGGACCTGGCGGCCGCCACCAAGGAGCTGGCCAGCCAGCAGAGCGCCTCGGAGACACGGGTGGGCGAGATGCAGGTGCGGGTGGGGGTGGGGAGGGGTGGGGGCTGGTGGTGTGAGCCGGGGTGGTGTGTGAGCCGGGCGGGGGGGATGGTGACGTAGTGAGGGTGCTGTTGCTGCTGGTGTGTAGATGTACCTCACACCTCCTTCCTGCCTCCCCTCCTTAACGCACTGCACCGCCCCGTCCTCCTGCCCTCCCCCCCCCAGGCCAAGGTAGCCGCCGCTCGCGCCCAGGCGGCGGATGCGGCAGCGCAGGTGGCCCGGTTGGAGTCGGAGCTGCGGGTCAGCGGCGGCGCGCTGGAGGCGGCGGAGCGGCAGCTGGCCGAGCGGGAGCGGGAGGCGAAGGCCATGGTGGCGGGTCTGGAGGGCGCGCTGGAGGCCACTCGGGCCGCACTGGAGGCGGAGCGGGCGAGGGCGCAGGAGAAGGCGCAGGTGCGGGGAGCGGGTTGGGGACCAACAGGGCTTGTGGGTTGGGGCTGTGTTGGGCGAGGCTATGACGCTTGAGCTTCGTGTGTTTTAAACGGTCGGCACTGCATCTGAATCCCGGCTATTTAGAGCCAGTCAACCAATCCGACCCACCCCAACCGCTGCGTGTGTGTGCGTGTCCGCATGCGCAGGACCTGCAGCAGCAGTTGCAGGCGGCCGAGGCGGCGGAGGCGGCTGCTCGGTCTCAGCTGCAGCAGCTGCAGGACGAGTTGTCGTCGCTGCGGGGCGCGCAGATGGCGGCGCAGGCCTCCGCGGGGGCCCAGGTGGCGTCGCTGCAGGTGGGGCCGGGGTGCGGGGGTCGTGGTGGGATGGTAATGGCTGCTTGGGTGGTGGTGGTGGTGGCGGCATTGCCCTTGCATTGCAGTCTTGTCCACGTCTCCAACACTCCTCGCGCCTCTGCGGCTGCGGTTGTGGATGCGCACCTGTGCTAACCTCATGCTGCTACTGGCTGGCGCTCTTGGCTTTGCCTTGTCGTGCAGGAGGAGCTGGGTCAGATGAAGCGCGCGCTGCGGGATGCCAAGGACGCCTGGGAGACGCAGCTGCAGGTGCGTGTGGGCGTGGGGGCTGGCGGGGGTTGGGGTTCCAGCCTGGGCACAAACACGAGGAGCGCCTCTCAACCTCCGCATTGTTTCATGTCATGGTCTCCGTTCACTTCACTCCTCACTCCGCCAGACCCTCACACAATGTACCCCCCACCCCTGCCCCCCCCAAGGCTGCCAAGGAGTCTGCCGCTGCTGCCCAGCAGCGGGCCGCCTACCTGGACTCGCAGGTGGGCAGTGCGCGGGAGGCGGAGGCGGAGGCGCGGCAGGCGCTACTGGAGGCGCGGCGGGAGCTGGGGCGGCAGGAGGCGGTGGCGGCCAGCCGCATAGCCAGTCTGGAGGTGAGAGGGGCGAGGGGGGAGGCGAGGGAGGGGTAACGGGTAAGGCTGGGGTGTTTGGGAGGATTGGAGGTAGGGGCGGGTGCTGCGGTGCCCTGAGGGATATGGTGGGTGGTGATATGTATGTGGACGGGGGGTTGTTGTTGTCAAGAGCGGGTGCGACCCATGGCGCTGAAGAGGGTTGGAGGTGTAGTGGCCCGACTCGCTATTAGTGCGCCAGCCCGTTGGACTATGGTCTATGGCCTCCCCCACCCCTATCTGCCCAACCACACCCGTCCCGTTGCCGCCACTTCAACGCACCCCCACCCCACCCCACTCATCCCCCCCTCCCCCCAGGCCGGTCTGTCTGCAGCCCAGGAGCTGGTTGCCGGGCTGGAGGGGCGGCAGCGGCGGGTGGAGAGCGCCAACAGCGCCGCGGAGAGCGAGGTGGCGGCCATGGGGGAGCGGCTGCGGGGAGAGCGGGAGCACACGTAAGCTGCAGCCGCAGAGCGGCTACTGCACTGCAGCCGTGAAGCCGCATCCTACGTTTGTCGTGTGCTTGCTTTCTTGCAAGCATACGGCGCCCTCCTGCTTCGTACCATTGCGGCCAGCAACGGGACTGCCAACAATGCGCTGTCCTTGCACGCGCCTTGCCCTGCCCTCCGTTAAGCGGATCTGCCAACCTCGTCCTCTCTTGTGTTCCTCCCCTCACTTCGTGTTCCCGAAGCGTTCCTCTAACCGCTCCCCCTGCCTGCCTCCCCCCTCCCTCCCAACCTCCCTCCCAACCGCCCCTCCCCTCCCCAGTTCTCGTCTGGAGCAGCGGCTGGAGTCGCTGGCGGGCGAGGTGGCGGGGCTGCAGGCGGAGCTGGCGGGGGCGCGGGAGACGCTGGGGCGCTACGAGGCGGGCGCATGCAGCGCGGAGGTGGGGGCGGGGCGGGGCAGGGGGGTTTAGCAAAGCAGGAGGGAAGGGGCACGGAGGAGGTGATGCTGGTGTGGTGCTTCTGCTTGCACATGCATGCCTCCCCCCAAGCAAGCCGCTCCGTCCACGACACCCGACCAAATGGCTTCCTATGTTCCAGGTGTTGTGTGTTGCTAGAGCTGGCCATGCTGAGTGTCCCCTCCTCCTCCTCTCCCCCCCTCCCCCCCCCCCCCCAGGCTGAGATGCGGCGGCTGCACGAGGCCGCCACCCAGAGCGCCGCGGAGAACGAGCGACTGCGGCGGCAGCTGGACGGGCTGGTGGCGCAGCTGAGCCGGCAGACGCAGCAGCTGCGGGCGGCGGAGGACGACACGGCGCAGCTGAGGCAGGAGGTGCGGGGGGGGGGGCGGGCGGAGGGAGGGAGGGGAGAGGGAGGGAGGGAGAGAGTGAACGCGTTGTGCAGGCAGCAATGCGCGCGAAGGGGCAGATGGAGGTTCAGGGCTATTCTCCTCACTGGCGGATACCGTTGTGCATCCATCGTCTTGCCAATCGCCTCTCACCACACACCGCCCCCGTCTCCCCCCCCCCCCCAGGTTGCCGCGCTCAACCCGCCCTCCAACCGCCGCTCCAACAGCGGCTCCCGGGGCCGCTCCTCGGAGCGCCGCTACTCCGCATCCGGGGGCCGGGGGCCACCCGCGCAGCTGCCGCTCAACACAGCAGCAGGCGCCAACACCACCACCGCCGCCAACACCGGAGGAGCAGGAAGCGTTGGAGGAGGTGGAGGGGGCCCTACGGCAGCAGCCGCCGCACCGGGAGCTGCGGGAAGTCGTGTTGCTGAGCTGCGCGGTCTGCTGAGCGGCAGTGGCAGCGGCAGCATCCTGGACGACTCGCTACTGCAGCAGCAGCAGCAGCAGCCGCTCATCCTGCGGAAGACCTCGCAGCAGCACAACAACCTGCAGCAGGCAGCTGCACGCATCGCAGCGGCAGCTGCAGCGGCGGGAGGCGGACCCATGGGTCAGGGCCGCCTCATGCTGCGCTCGGCGTCTGCGGAGCCCCGGCGCCCTGGAGGTGCAGGAGGAGCTGCCAACGTAACCGGGCCCGAGGGCGGCAGCTCGCATGTGGCAGCCTCCGACAGGGCCCGGCAGCAGCAGCGGGGCGGCGGGGGCTCCTCGCGTCCCAGCAGCCCCGGTCGCGCGGCCGCCAGTGCGCTGCAGCAGCGGTTGAGCGACGAGGCTGCGCTGCTGCGGTGGGAGGTGGTGGCGGACAGCAGCCGCGTGAGGGAGCTGCAGGACAGGCGGGCGGCGGGAGGTGAGGGGGGGGGCAGGGTGGCAGGGAAGGCAGGGTGGGGCGGGAGGCGGGTGGATCACCTGGAGAGCCTTGCGGACCGCTGGGGACGTGCGTGTTTATCCAACCAGTACTTATTGCCGATATTAAACTCCCCCATTCTTACACCCCCTCCCCTTCTTTTCCGCAGTGCCCCTGAGTCGCTCCGAGTCCTCCGAGCTGGACCTGCTGGCGGCCCGGCTGGCGGCCCACCACGCGCGCATCGCAGCCATCATGGACACTGTGAGAAACGCGCAGCAGCAGCAGCAGGGGCAGCAGGGGCAGGCGCAGGCGCCTCAGCGGCAGGGACAGCAACAGCAGCAGCAACCCGCGGAGCCGCAACCCGCCGCCCAGCAGCCGCAACAGCAGCAACAGCCACTCTACCAGCCCCACCCTCCCCCGCACCCGCCCTACCTCGCCCCCACCGCTGCTGCGCTGGTTACCGCAGTCGCAGCCCCACCCTCCGACCCCGCCGCGCCACCCAGCCCCCGCAAGCCATCCGACGCCGCCGCACACAAGGGCGGCGGACCTCCTGCTGCAGGGCCTCCGCGGTTCTTCGAGTTGGAGTCCCGGGCAGACCCCGCGGAGCTGCCTCGCCGCGCCACCAGCCCCGGCAGCTACACACACAGCAACAGCGACAGCGTCAGTCCGCGCGCCTGCCCCGGCTCGCCCGCCGCCTCCGTCCGCAGCATGCGCTCCACGCAGGCCGCCGTCATCAGCGGCAGTCCCTGGTACCCGCCCGGTACCTCACCCGGGCACCCCCCGCACTCCTCCGCCTCGCCGGCGTCCGTGCATGGCCGCGTGCTGAGCCCCGGCGGGGCGGCGGGGGACTCCCGCCTGAGCTCCTCCGCTCGGGCAGGCAGCGTGTACCGAGGTGCGGAGGGGCAGGGGTCAGCGAATGGGAGCGGGAGCGGCGGCCTGGGAATGGGAGGTGGGGCGTTTGAGGTCAGTGGGGAGTCGGCGGGCGCGGGTGGAGGTGCAGGCAGCGGTGGGCACTGGCAGCAGCAGCAGCAGCAGGGCAGTCGCTACCGCACCCCCTACCTGACGATGCTGCAAGACATGGCGGCGAATGGCCAGGCGCCGGGAAGTGGCGGCAGTGGCAGCGGTGGAGTGACCCGGCGGGTCGGTACCGCGGATGGGAACACGCAGCCCTATCCGGTGCATGGAGGGGATGGGCCGTACGTTATGTCGGCGGGTTTTGCAACGGGGCCTGTGCATGGGCATGGGCATGGGCAAGGGGAGTATGGCGGCGGCAGTGGTGGGGAGCGGCCTCGAGGGGCGGGTCCGCTGTTCATGCCGTCCGATGTGGGGCCCGCGTCGGGGCGACATGTGTAGTGGAGCGGAGGGACGGGAAGGGAGAGAAGTGCGCTGAATGTGACCCCGCTTCTTGCAAAGTATGCGCTTTTGTCCGCTTTGGATGTGGCATGTTGGTCCTTGTTTACCGTATGTCTAAATGGCCCGCATGTCTTACTGGGTATATGTTTTAGACATTTTGCTGCCCTTGTGCACACCGGCTGTTGACTCGGCTTGGAGAAGCAGGGCGGCGGGGGTTGATGGGGGCTCATGGGCGCGCACTGCCGGATAACGACAACAAACTGAGCGTGCGTGTTACGATACGGTGATACGGTCTTACCGTGTGATCCTGAGGGGATCTTTGCGTGGCTTTACCTTTAAAATACGTATACCTTGGAGACAACACTTGGAGATAAACAACTTTGCTGCCTTGTGCAATAGGGCAACATGTGTTAAAATAACTGGCCATGTGTGTATGCGTGCATAATAACGACTTTCGAATCTCTATTGTTCTCGGTTCCCTCCTGCAGTGACAGTTTGGAACTCTTAGCATGATGGCTCTGCGATAGGTGGAGTGGAACCAGCACTGTGGTTGCTGCTCTGCATTTCCCTTGCGTGTGAGGATCGCGGTGCTGTCTCGAATGTCGTACATGATTACAACTGTCAGGGTCACCGGTGCGCGTTATGGCCCATATCGTCATCTTGTCCCCGAACCACTGCCCCGGATTCAAAGCAGTCGAGTGGGTGCCGTACTCGTGCAATGACATCCATGTAACAGGCAATAACAGCGGCGGCGTCAATCCCAACTTCCGGCCACCAACGAGCCCACACCCATAGTTCTTTCAAAGGAATCGAAATACACATACCAAATTATTACGGCAGCGACAGCTGTTTTTACCATACAGCCCAAGGAACGCGTGTCCTTGTAGCCACACTAGCTGGGCACACAGCTGGTGGCCCGCTGTGGGTTGTGAGGTACGGTATCCGCCCCTCCCGCTTCGGTCTCTACCCTCACACACAGGGTGCTCTTGTTTTCCGCTCAATTACACAGGGTGCAGCCCCCTCTTAGGGGGGAAGCTGCCGCCGCCAGCGAGGTACCAGGCGAGGGAAAACAGCGCGCGTCCGCTCCACTCCGCTCCGCTCCGCTCCACTCCACTCCACTCTCTTCCCGTCCACTTGGGACGCTTAGCCCACTCGTTCCCTTCCTCACCCCAATCACCCCAATCATCCTGCCACATACGGTACAGCTGACGGCACCCTGCTCGAGGCGAGCGAACTCCAACTTCACTTCCTCAACCTTGAAACCCCACCTCACCCCATGCTGCACCCCCCTCATGGTGGCGCCTACATGTCACAAGCTTGGTCCCAGTTCCTTCCTGCTCTCCCCCTCTCCCCCTCTCCCCTCACGCCTCACGCCTCACGCCCGCAGCTGCAGCACCAGCTCATTCACCCGCGGCCCCAGCTGGTACACCGCACCGTACTGCAGGCAGCGGAAGCGCCCGCCCGCGTCCGCCGGGGCTAGTGGGATACCGTCTGGGAGGGGGGAGGTGCATGGGCGGGTGGGGCGGGGTGGGGTGGGGCGGGGTGGAGCAGCGTGCAGTGCAGTGGGGCGGGGTGGGGCGACAGGGGTGCCAGGGACTCATGGCCGGGTCAGGCGGTTGCGGTAAAGAGCGAAGGTACACCTCTCCCTCTCTCCCGGACCCCTTCCCTCCCTCTCCCCCTCCCCGCACCCACCTCGCTCCAGCGCCGCTACCAGCCTGCCCCGCACCGCCTCCGCGGCTGTGGGCGTTATGAAGCCCTCGAAGGCCGCCACCGCCACCACCTCGCCCCCGCCCACCCCCAGCCGTACACCCGCCTCCCGGGGTGCGGGCAGCTGCAGCTGCGGCGCCTGGCCCTGCTGCTGCTGGGGCTGATGGCGTGCGGAGGCGGAGGCGGCGGCAGGGGGCAGGTCCGCTACCGGTACAGGTACAGCCTCTGAAGGCGAGGAGGAGGCTGATGGCGGGGTCGCCTCCGGAGCTGCAGCAGCAGCAGAGGCGGTATCAGGGGCAGCAGCGGGAGTGGCGAGGTACATTTGCATCACCTTGCGGCCCTGGGGAGGGGGAGGAAGGGGAATAAAAAAACCCAAGTCATAGGAAACCACGAATTACGAGGAGGGGGAGTGAGGTTGAGGGAGGTAATGCAGGGGCTGACAGCGGGCGGTGACGTTGGCAGCTACGGTAGCCCTGCTAGTCCACCCCCGGGCTCCGGCAGCAGGCACTTCTGGTAGCGAGGAGGACCGAACTTGGGCAACACCAGCCATCTGCGGAATGCGATGTGGATGCGATGTGTACTACTGCCCTCTCCCAGCGCTCACGTCCGGTTGGTAGCACATGATGACGGGTTGGGTGTGCGGGAAGCGCCGACCGGCCTCGTTGGCTCCATCGATGTAGGCTCCCAGCGCTGCATAGCCCTCCTCGCGCCGAACGTACTCCATCTCTACCACTGGATACACGTCGTACAGCCTAAGATGAGGATGACAAGAGATAGTGGATGGAGCCGAGACAGCAAGTGCAAATGCGCAGTTCAAGCCTTTGCTTGCACGACCATGTATCCTTCATAATACCCAGAAACACTTGCGCTTATTCCCACCTGAGAGTGTAGTCCTTTGCTTTGTGAATTACGGTGAAAGGTGGAGAGACGGGGCCAGCATTTCTCTCGCCCGTCAACTGAGTCGTGTTGCCCGAAAGACGCTGGTCAGGCTTATTTCCTTCCTTTGTTTGGTCGCGATTATTTCCTAGTAGTCTATTAATTCCGCTGAAGAACGAGCTGTTGGCTTGGAGTGGACTCCAGCGACGACCTCTGCCACATGGAATCCTAAACGCCGATTGCCGGGCGGACGAATTGTTGACAGCTTCGGAGACATGGCATCTACGGATTGATTGCATCCTATTCAACGCGCCTGCTAAGTCTTAATTGTGTGGCAAGTCAGCTTGCGTCCGGTGGACATGGCAGCTAATGAAGTTTACAAGCCCCAGAGGATAAAAGCGGCCAACATGAAGTACATCAACGATAAAGCATTGGTACTGACAGATGGACGTCGGCCAGCGGTTGGTTCAGCATGTACGGCACGCGGTTTACCACAAACACCCCTTCCATTTTTACGGCGCACAAAACCCAACCACACGAACATGTTCCCGAATCGCCGGCTACCTCATCCACCCACCCCTGCGCCACCTCTGTGCCGCTCCGTTTTCAAATCCATACCCATTGCTGCTGCACCCCAGATCACAAGCGCACATCTCCTCCCCTGCCATCCCCGGCTATCCCCATTCATCACGTACTGGCTTGGCTAATTCGGGCTGGGCGGGTCGGGCTGGCCCACATGTTGCAAACCATGTTGACGCCTTATCACTCAGTCCCCATCCCCTCCCTTTCCAAGGCGCACCCCAACGCAATCTCCCTCCCTCCATGTGACCCCTCTCGGTATCGTGGCCCCCCGGGCCCCCGGGCTCAACCCGGGTTTCGCTGCGTTGCACCCTCCTGGTGGCCACAACAGCAACAGCAGATCGCTGCCCACATGCGGGTGCAACAACAGCCCCGCCAGCAGCTGGGAGTCCACTGCACCGCTAGGTAACAGGATGAGCCACGAACCGCGCAAGCTGTGCACCACTGGTTTGCACCACAGCCGCCACCGCCGCTGCTGATGATGATGATGCACATGCCCAACCCCCACCACCCTCCCATGCATGGTTGTGCTGATGCAATCCCCATCATGCCGCTGCTAAGACCTCCGTGTCATCTCAGCTGTACTGCTAGCAGTGCTTCTGCTTCTGTTGCTACTGGTCAGCAGTGGTGTGCGAGTGGTGAAACGGCGCCGACACAGCTGAGCTACTGCTGCAGCTACAGCGGCTGGACTAATGCTGTTGCTGTGTCAGTTGCGTATGTAGCTGCTCTGGTGTCACTGCTGATGCTACTGGGATCGCTGCTGCTAGCGTCAGAGCTGCTGCTACTGCTGCTACTGCTGCGGCAGCTGCGGGGGGTTGACGGAGAAGTCGCGGCCCTGTGTGGCCTCCAGGGGGGCACCCTGCTCGATGACAGCGCGGTAGGGCCGGTAGTACCTGATGGGGGAGGAGGTGTAGGGAGCCAACAGCAGGGGGGCAGTGGGTGGGGGCGGGTAGATGGGTGGGGGCGGAGGGGCCATTGGTGACACGGTGGGTGTGGGGCGTAGTGCTTCCCCCCCTCCTCCGACCCCCGCCCCAACCCTTCCTATCCCCATTGCTTTGCAGTAACCTGTGGTTTCCTACGGTATGGTAATAATGATATGGTCTTTGACCACCCTTCCCTTCCACTCATGAGTCGTGCCCCCATGTCATGTCTCATGTCCAACCCCCCCTCCCACCCACCCCTGTTCGCCCACCCACCAAGCCCTGAACGGCGCGTCCCACCACTCCAGCAGGCAGTTGTCCTCCAGGAACTCGAACATGTGGGGAGTGCTGCAGGGGGGGATTGGGGCGTGGTGGAGGGCAGGCGGTAACGACTAGGGAGGGGCCCTTGCAACAGGTGTGCAAGGAGGGAGGGGAACAGCGCCCCTCCTTCCATTAACGTTTTCTGCTCGTCCCCGCCACTAAACGTTATTTCCCCCCCCCACGCCTAAGGCCTTCCACCCACCCACCGTGCGGGTATGACGATGAAGTCGTTGGGTCCGTACTCTTGCACCACCTCCCGCCCGCTGTGGGGGTCCTGGGGAGGTGGGGGGCGGGTTGGGAGGGAGGTGGAGGTGGGGGTGGGGGGGTAGGAACGGGTGGAAGAGGTGGGGAATGGATGATGCCATAAGGACGCAAAGACATGCGGGGGTTAGACCTAGACCGCGGCGGCCGGCGTGTTGTCAGTCCCTGTGCCCCTGAGTCTCACAAAAACAACTGAAAACAAACAGCAAAACAGCTGCCCGGACGTGGCACCGAAACACACATGTAAGGTTTCACAAGCATAAACACAACCGAGGTTAAGCAGTATGAAACCAGCAGCAGCAGCAGCAGCTCAGCTCAGCTCAGCTCACAATCATCCTCAACCGTGTACGGCCCGCCAGTACGACATCGTACTGGTTGCAGTCGTGCAGGTCGCCACTGCGGCGGTAGCCCGCTCGTGTGAAGTACATGTTGACGAACACGTCATCTCGCAGCTGTAAGGCGGGGCGGGGGGGAAATTAGGGGGTAAGGGAGGGGAGGAGGGAGGGGTTACGAGGGAAGGCGGGAGGGAAGGGATTGGGTTTGCGCTAGCACAAACGTTTGGAAGCAGCTCCCGCCTGTGAGACGTGTGACGCCACCTCCCCGCCGCCTGACCCTACCTTGAACTTGTAGATGGCACCCCTCCCGTCTCGGTAGGTGGCTGCCTGCAGGGGGGTCAAAGGCCACATACCAAACCATAGGAGACCACAGGTTAGGGCAAAGCAATGGGGGTAGGAGGCGGCAGGGTGCCTGCAGGGGGGGGAGGGAAGGGAGGCGCGGGGCTTGGAGAGGAGCCGTAGGAGAACACACATGCTGGAGTAACGGGATTACCAGTAGGTTTTCAGGAACGGGGTTTGGGCTATGTCGTGGATAGTCCTAGGACGGGACTCTGGGCGGGTTATGCGTGATGGATACCGGTATGTGTATGGTCTTCACCACGTAAGTGCACGGGGGTGAGGGTTGGGAGAGTGGGTTGCTCCCATTAGGGGGAGAGGCGGGGGTGTGCTGCCGTCGGTGTCGTACACGGCTATCTGGGTGTGAGGGTCGCTGACGTGTCCGCCTCATCTGCCTGGCAGCATTGTGCGCCCCTAGGGTTGACAAACCGACCAAACATGGAACCCCGTCCCTTTGAAAACTTACAACCAGGAGCGGGAAACGAGGGCCAAACAGGGGCAAGGAAGCGCCTTGTAGAATGCTTAGGTGTTGGGGGAAAGGGTCACAGCAGACAGAAGAAAACCACACAACGCCCCCCTGACTGCACCCGCTACAGATGAAGGGCCTCTGTCAGCTATCCTGAACAATATCCTGGGAGACGTGCTCCCCACAGCTTAAGGGAAAGAGCCCAGAATCCCGAGGGGGAACAACTAACCCGAACTCCGCCATGCAGCCGTTTCCCTCTCTCCCCCAGCCATTCCGTAGCATCCAACCCAAGTTTCTTCTTCTTTTCCCAGCCGCAAACGTTTTGTTAAACGTCTAGTGTTTCCGCCCCGGGTGTAGTCCTGTGGCCCTGGCAAGCGTCCAGCAGCTGCCCCCTTTTTGGCTACTCCTCCCAATCACATGCAAGTGCGCCAACCGAAAGCTACGGTGCCCAACCGTCCCGCAACCACAACAACGCTTGTAAATGTAGTTGAGTCAAAGCGGGCTGGAGTTTCCGCTGCTGAGGTAAGCGTGGCTTACCTGTCCTTCGCTCAGACCATCTGTGTCCATGCTTGCAGCTGGTGCCTCGACGACATCCGGCCAGGTAAGCACTTCACGCGGTCCCGACAGTTGTTTAATCGCCTCCAAGTTTGAAAGCACAGCCTCGGAAAGCTTTTCCAGTGCATGAGGCTTGGGAGTCGGAGCCGGAGCTAGGTTAATTGGTGCAATTGGAGAAGAACTGGTGGATATCGTTGCATCAAGAGACTCAAGGTTATTCGACATTACATCAGGGGCCTTCGGGGGCGGGCATCCTGTGCAAACAATGTTTCGCCGGCAGTGCGCGCGCCAAATGCTAGCTGCTTTCCATCCTAGAGCACCAAGAAGAATGCCATGTTCAGCCCAAAGCCACCAGGGCCAGGTACTGGGCGACGAAAAGGAAAGTTCAGGCATTATATTTGACGGTCAAGTTTGATGTCCGCAACCTAATACCTATGACGACCGTCCGGATGCATTGCAGGACTAAGCATTGCAAGGAGTTTCCTAGAAATGAAGGGCAAGTGTTGGCGGAGAATTTTGGCAGTCACGACGGATCCAAAGAAGATCCATCAAGTTGCCTGCTTGCGGCACTGAGCTTGTTTCTGTTAAGTAGGTATTATCCGTCCCACAAGCATTGTATGGGAGATTTAGCGCTACTTTTCGACACCGGTCTCCTATTCTAGAATGCGAAAGTTACAAGGGGGTATTCTAGGTATGGTACGGCTGACGGGCAGTTTCTCGGAAGCGCGCAGGGACGCCCACCGCATGGACGTTCCCTGTCTTGCGATAGGTAGCTTCAGACTTCCTCCACAAGCATAGCTTCGTCACATTTACCTTTAAAATAATGGAGCAGGCCCCATCCTATATAATACAGCCTAGAGCCCAGTTCGGCAGCCAGGCAACCATCGCTATCCTTGCTTTACCTAATCGTCTCCTCTGGGTAAAAAGACGGTATGATTTCTTTGATTATCGTATACCGCGTAGGGTAGCGAAACGTTGCGACGGCTTCTTGCATCAAACCCTTTCTATCTCTAGAGTAGATAGAGCTGCAGGCGACTGAACTCCGTTAGTGACATTATGGCTTATAGCAGACGGCTCATGCTTTGGGGGCTAGCTACAACGGCCTTGCTGGTCGCGTTCGCAGCCTCGCCGGCATCCGCCGCTTGCACGGATGGATGTCCCAACTCCTACAGTCCAGTCTGCATGAACGGCCGCATGTGGAACAACACTTGCTTACTAAAGTGCGAATTTCCAAACGCCATATTTTATGGGAAGTGCCCTTCACCGCCTCCTTCGCCAGCGCCTCCCGATGCGCCCATTGCGCGGCTTGCGCGTCCATTCTGCAACCCCTACACCACCCGCTATAATACGCTCACATACTACAACTCACTCGATTGCAAGACCTACACGCTTTTTGACGTGGACGCCGTTTGCCCGCCCACCTGGCTGGTTGCAAGCGACTACTGCGATGCATTTGGCCTAGAGCTGGCTCCCTGGGACAACGACGCCTCTAACGGTGAGTGCCGGCAAATACCGCATACACCGCTTGCCGCACACCTTCTCCTCCTGCACCTCCTCTCTCCTCTCTCCTTCTGCCATCTGCCGTGTCTGCCTGTATCCCAAACGAGTCACCCTCACCACCCTCATCATCATCATCATCATCATCATCATCATCATCATCATCATCAAGCTGCACCTGTCACTGCCCGTCAGGCCACCCAATACCTCCCTCCTGACCGCGTGATTGTAACTCTCCCCTCCGCACCCCACCCCTCCTCCTCTCCCTTCCTCCCCTCCCCTCCCCTCCCCCCAGCCGCCCTGCAAGCCCTGTGCACCGCCAACCGCTACACCTGCTGGGCGGACGGCCGCAGCCCGGGCGGCGGGCTGTGTCCGCTGGTGAGCCAGGAGGGCGCCACGCTGTTCCAAACCTGCCAGCAGGGCGTGCGGTTCGTGTGCAGGACCAGGGGTAAGCAGGGGACTGAGGGGCGGGGAGGGGGAGTGAAGAGGAAGGACTAGCCATGGGGGTGGGGGAGGGGAAGTCTTGGGTAGCAGGAGGAGGAGGAGGAGGGGAGGGCCTAGTGCGCAGGGAGCCAGCTAGAGGGGGATGAATGAAGGACCGTTACACGCTGTTCGACGTGCTTGACGTGCTGCCTGCCGGAATGGAACGACTAGGTCTCACTTACGAGCGTAGGATGCCATTAAGGCTCATGTACATTTATGCTCCCTTGCAAAACACACAGGCCGCTAGCTAGCTCTTCCTCTTTACTCAACTGCCACCCCTACCTACGCCATGGCTGCTTGTTCCTTCCGTCGCCCTCCCTCTCTGCCCTCCCTCTCCTCCCTCCCTCTCCGCGCCCGCCCCCCCACCCCACGCAGTCCCCAGGTGCGCCCTGCCACCCCCGCCCCGCCTGCCGCCCTCACCCCCGCCGCCCTCGCCACCCCCGCCCAAGCCGCCCAGGCCGCCCCCGCCCACCCCACCCCCAGCCTGCAACCCAGATGCCACGCCGTACACCCACCTCTCGAGGTACAGCACCAGGGACTGCCGTACATACACACTGTACGACATTGATGCTGCCTGCCTTCTGGACTGGTCGGATGCGGGGGCCTACTGCCAGCAGCAGGGAGGGGAGCTGGTGCCCTGGAGTGATGCGGTGGGCAGAGGTGAGGAGAGGGGGCAGAAGCGGGTACCTGCGGGTCACACACACACACACACACACCACCCATCTCCCATGGCGTTCTGGCGGGGGCATCACCTTCTGACATTCCAGTACTTTCCTCCTCGCGGCCAGTTTTGTTAACACACACAGGGTACGCCCCTTCCCTCACCCATGCTGATATCTCCTATCTTACCCCCTACCCCTCACCCCTCACCCCGCACGCTCCCTACCCCTCACCTCGCCACACAGACCAGCTGACCTCCCTCTGCGCCGTCAACCGCTACACCTGCTGGGCTGGCGGCCGCACGGGCGAGGGGCTGTGCATGCTCATGACGGCAGGCGGCTTCCTGGCGGCTCAGGGCTGCGAGCAGCGGATGAGATGGGTGTGTCGCAGCGCGGGTGGGTGCGGGGAGGGAAGGGAAGGGAATGGGGGGGATAGGTTTGGTAGTATGATAAGGGAAGCGGGCGAGGTGGGAGAGGCGGCCTGGGGTGTGGGGACGCAGCCGCAGCAGCCGCATGGTGGTGGGCGCTGCTGGGGTGTGAGGGCTGGGGCGAGGCAACGTTGGGGGATGAGGAGGAGGATGTGGATGTGGGGCATATGCCGTACTTCGTAGCTCTTGTTCGCCAGGGCGTTGCCTAACCAGGCTTCACGGCTGCATGCGCCCTGCAGAGAGCCGCTGCCCACCTCCACCGTCGCCGCTTCCCCCGCCGCCGTCGCCCCCGCCACCGTCACCTTGGCCCCCGTCGCCCCTGCCGCCATCGCCGCTACCTCCCTCGCCCCCGCCACCATCACCCCTGCCACCGTCGCCCCCGCCACCGTCGCCCCCACCGCCGTCGCCCCCGCCTCCGTCACCCCCGCCTCCGTCACCCTTACCGCCGTCGCCCTTACCACCCTCCCCACCTCCGCCGTCTCCCCTTCCGCCATCACCCAAGCCGCCGTCCCCGCTACCACCGTCGCCTTTGCCTCCGTCACCGCTACCACCGTCACCTTCGCCTCCGTCACCGCTACCACCGTCGCCTTTGCCTCCGTCACCGCTACCACCGTCGCCTTTGCCTCCGTCACCGCTACCACCGTCGCCTTTGCCTCCGTCACCGCTACCACCGTCGCCTTTGCCTCCGTCACCGCTACCACCGTCACCTTTGCCTCCGTCGCCGTCACCTCCCTCGCCTCCGTCTCCCGTGCCGCCGTCCCCCAGGCCGCCATCGCCCCAGCCGCCATCGCCTCCGTCACCCCAGCCGCCGTCACCACCACCTCCGTCACCGCTGCCACCATCTCCCAGGCCGCCGTCACCGTCCCCGCCGCCGCCACCGTCGCCGTTACCACCGTCACCCCTCCCGCCGTCACCCCTACCTCCGTCGCCCCTGCCGCCTTCTCCACCACCGCCGTCACCCCCTCCACCATCCCCATCACCGCCGCCGCCGTCGCCGTCACCGCCTTCTCCTCCCCCTCCGTCACCTCAGCCTCCGTCACCGTTGCCACCGTCGCCGCCGTCACCCCTGCCGCCCTCTCCTGCTCCCCCGTCCCCTTCGCCTCCTGTGCCACCGTCGCCTGAACCCCCATCACCGTCGCCTCCATCCCCCCTGCCACCCTCGCCTGATCCGCCGTCACCCGAGCCGCCGTCGCCGCCGCCGCCGTCGCCCGAGCCGCCGTCACCTGAACCGCCGTCGCCGCCGCCGCCCTCACCTGACCCGCCGTCGCCCGATCCGCCGTCGCCCGATCCGCCGTCGCCGCCGCCTCCGTCACCTGACCCACCGTCGCCCGATCCGCCGTCTCCCGAGCCGCCGTCGCCCGAGCCACCGTCACCCGAGCCGCCGTCACCCGAGCCGCCGTCACCCGAGCCGCCGTCACCTCCCTCCCCTGAGCCCCCCTCTCCTCCTCCTCCCCGGTTGCGCCGGCCCCGCCCGCCTCCGCACCTGCCGCCCTCACCAACCCCACCCTCCCCACCCTCACCTCCCTCCCCCCCGCCCTCCCTCACCTCCTCCGCGCCCGCCCCGTCTACCTCCACCCTCCCCCCGCCCTCCTTCCCCTCCACCCCGCCCACCTCGTCCTCCTCCATCACCACCGCCGTCACCCCTCCCGCCTGTCCCCAGCCCTCCCTCACCACGCCCTCCTCCCCCGTCACCGCCCTCCCCCCGCCCTCCTCGGCCCCGCCCTCCTTCACCCCTGCCGCCTAGCCCCAGCCCTCCCTCGCCTCGCCCGCCCCGCCCCCCCCGCCCCAGCCCCCCATCACCCCGCCCCCCCCGCCCCAGCCCCCCATCACCCCGCCCTCCCCGACCCAGCCCTCCTTCACCCCGCCCTCCCCGACCCAGCCCTCCTTCACCCCGCCCGCCTCGCCCACCCCGCCCGTCCCCTCCTTCGCCGCTACCTCCCTTACTCCCACCGTCGCCGCCTCCGCCTCCCTCGCCGCCACCTCCTTCGCCCCCGTCACCGCCGTCACCGCGACCACCTAGACCATCCCCTCCGCCGTCGCCACCCCCCCCCTCGCCGCCCCCACCGCTACCTCCCTCACCGCCCCCGCCGCCGTCGCCGCTACCTCCCTCACCGCCTCCGCCACCCCCGCCGTCACCGCTACCTCCCTCACCGCCCCCGCCGCCGTCACCTTTACCACCCTCACCGCCTCCGCCGCCCCCGCCGTCGCCGCTACCTCCTTCACCGCCCCCGCCGCCGTCACCTTTACCTCCCTCACCGCCTCCACCGCCCCCGCCGTCGCCGCTACCTCCCTCACCGCCCCCGCCGTCGCCGCTACCTCCTTCACCGCCCCCGCCGCCGTCACCTTTACCTCCCTCACCGCCTCCGCCGCCCCCGCCGTCGCCGCTACCTCCGTCGCCACCGTTACCACCATCCCCCCAACCTCCCTCGCCCCCGCCCCCGCCGTCACCACCACCTCCCTCACCGTCTCCGCCGCCCTCACCACCACCTCCCTCGCCCCCACCGCCTCCCTCACCCCAACCTCCCTCACCTTCACCCCCGCCCCCTCCTCCACCTCCTTCGCCACCGTCACCACAGCCGCCTTCACCACGACCGCCCTCTCCCTTCCCACCCTCGCCCCCGCCGCCGCCACCACCACCACGGCCCTCATCGCCGCCGCCACCCTCCCCCTCACCACCCTCACCCACGCCTCCATCACCCCCCACGGGTAAGCACCCGCGATCCCGTACCGTACCGTACATGTTCCCTAGAACAACCGCCTCTGCGACATTACTGCGGCATTGCGACCGCCCCCGATATCACATTGAACCCCTAGTTGCGCTTTTCCTGGCTTCCTAATACCCCCATCCATCCTGAACCTCTCCCCCTACCTCCCCGCTACCTTCTCCCCCTCCCCGCAACTACCCCCGCCAGGCACCGCTGCCGCCGGCAGCTGCACCTCCCTGTGTGACGCCAAGTACCCCGGCTGGGCGGTGCAGGTGTGCGACGGCGCCGGCCGGCCGCACCGCAACTGGTGCTACGCGGCCTGCCAGGGTTGCTACTGGTACAGCCCGTGCGGGGGCGGAGGCGGCGGCGGTGCTGCCGGTAAGTGGTGGGGTTTGAGGGCCGGATGACTTGTGAGCTGCCCGGCTGCAAGTCTTTGGTCTGTGATAGCAAAACTGGTTGAGAACCGATGTAAGTTTGTGGTTGTTTGGTCTATGATAGCAAGACTGGTCGCGAACCATTGTTATGTGTGAGTGAGAGGCCTGAGTGCATGGCTTCTTCCTTCCTTGTCCGGAATGACGTCATCAGGCCAATCAAGCTCATATCCCGGCCCCGCCCGTTGTCCCTCCTGACCTCCCCCCATCTCCACACGTTCGTGCTGCAGAGGACTCCGTGCTTACTCTCTCCGAGGGCGGCTACGACTACCGCTTGTACAGCGTGGGAGCCAGCATGCGAATGCCGTACACAGCAGCCCAGCAGTACTGCGCAAGCCTTGGACCCGGTTGGGATCTGGTGCCGTACGACGATGCAACGGCGTACGAGGTTGTGCGACAGATGTGCGCAAACAACCTCTTCACGTGTTGGTTGAAGCGCCAGGATGAGCCGCAGGGTGGGGTTGGTAGCAATGGCAGTAGCAGTGGCAGCAATAGCAGTGGCAGCAATAGCAAGGTACCTCCGCCCCCCCAGCAGCAGCAGCAACAGCCGGTGTTGTGTCCTTTGATGGACGCTCATGGGTTGCTTCAGATGCAGGGTTGCGAGCAGGATGTGCGTTTTGTGTGTCGCAGGCAGAGAGGGTAATACGGCGGCGGGCATATTCTGTAGGTAGGCATGCAGAAGAAGAAGAAGGAGAAGAAGGAGAAGATGGAGAAGAAAGAGTAGTAGAAGAAGAAGAAAGCGAAAAATGGAGGAAGGCGTTGCTCGTCATGGTTCGTTCATGGACGCGCATGCATGAATGCATGAATGCATGCATGTACTGCAGCAGGATGAAACGGGGTATGACTCGGTGAGTCGTTCGGATCACACGTGCTGTGCGGTTGTCTGCTCCGATCTATCTCAGGAGGTCTGCCGGCGCTGTGATGGTGCACGTAGGTCCTACCTACGGTGCTTTTGTTAGTCTGGTATCATGTGTCATGTATTTTGTATGAACTGCACTGTAGTATTCTTGATGGATTAGCACTGCAATGTTGGTTGCTGAATGGTTTTTTGCTCTGCATCGCCTCATTGCATGCCTCATCCGTTCGTACTGCGGGGGGCCATACACTGTCTGCTTCTGTGGTGGAGATTTACAAAGCTGGGGCGTATGTTCATGAAACTGGCCACGAGTAGGAGTGGGTGTGTGTGTTTCTGTTGCGCAGGTATTCAGAGTGCGGATTCCCGCGCACTCTGCCTTGGTTTGTGCTGATAAGCGGCTGCTGTTAGTGCTAGCTATAGCCCATATGCTTGCCATATGTGTCCTAGTCGGCTCGTTTGGATGCCGCGCTTCTGCTGCCGTACAATCAGTACGATATGCAGGTTGTAGTCATTTTGGATATAATTCTTCTGTCTTGAAGCTTATCTGCGGCTAGCTGCTATTTGTGTTATGCTAAAACAGTGACCTTTGCTAGGCGCGTACGTCTTTGCTTTCCCGAGGGCGGTGTCCTCCCTTTTCCCGGCTGCTGCTGCAGCGCTGCCTGTCGGCACCCACTGCTACTTGGATGGCAGGGGCCACGGACGAAGAGCAAACACAGTGTAAACGCAACCTGGCGTCATGCTCCCTTGTCTACAGCCCCTCATGCAAGGAAAATGCACAAATGCCACCACTTGAAGTGCACTTAGCCAGCCACTTGTATGTACAGACACCCCCTTCGCGTAGCAGAAAGCAAGGGATGCATTAGTTGGATTGGGGAAGGCAAAAGCCTTGCAAATATTGGAGATATGCGCCTTCGTGAGCCGCACTCGCTGATCTCTTTAGTAAAAGGCGAAAGAGATATGAGAGACGTGGGCGGCTCAGCGCTTGACTTCAACATGACGGCCGGCGGAACCCCTTTACCTGACCACGTCAGCAACTAGTCAAGCGCACGATGGTGGGTCGACTTCCAATCCATGACCTATGACAACTCCTGTCTGACAACTCCGGTCCGCTGTGAGCAATGGCAAGCGCTATAGCGCGCATACAGCTAACCCACGTGCCCATACTTACGTCTTCCCTCGGCATGTCATCCAATCTCAAGAGCAACAGCCCGCCAGCCACCACCAACTCCTTCTGCCCCTCACCCTTGCCACACACCTCCCGCAACCGGACTTCCAACCCTTGCTATCCCCTGCCCGTTTACCTCTACCCATCCCGCTTCTCTCCCCGTCGTTTTCCCACCCGTACCTCTCCCTCCCGCCCCATTCCCCTAACGGTATCTACTCCTCCTGCCCCTTCTCCCCCTCCCCTTCCTTTTCCTCCCCCTCCTCCACTCCGAACCAGTGGTACGACGTGTCCCCCCGGCTGAAGCCCAACCCCTCGAACAACGCCACACTCGCCATGTTGGTCGGTACGACGAAGCTGGTGACGTGTGCATGCATGCGTGGGGGTAGGAAGGCGGCGGGGGTTGAACAAGCAAGCAGGGAACTACTGGGACTTAAGGGAGGTTGAGGTCAGGAGAAAGGCAGCGGGGTGCCGTACATCAGGTAAGGGACAGAGTACGGGGGCAGAGCGGCAGATACCCGCATGCTGGAACAGGTAGGGCCGGAGCCTCCAGGTATGGTCTTTGACCCCCCTAATGCCTTTCCTCCCACCCCAGCACACCTACCCAAGGGCAACCCAGCCAGTAGGTAGCCCACGCTACCAAACACATGCAGATTCCCCCACCGCCCTCATCCCCATACCCGTACTCACACGAACGCCTCGCGCCGCCCTCCCTCCTGCCCTCCCTCCTGCCCTCCCTCCTGCCCTCCCTCCTGCCCCCCCTGCAGCACCCTCCTGACCAGCTCCCCCGCCACCACCCGCGCCAGCCCCCTCCGCCGGTGCGCCGCCAGCATGTGTGCCATTCCCAGCGAGCCGTCGCCGTACTGCAGGATCCAAGATACCGCGGGGGGTACGGCGGCAGTAGTTTTACGGCAGCGGCTGCCCTCGCTGCTGTCACCTCCTTGCTTCTCCTCGCCGTCCTTCTCCTCCCATGCCGTCAAGTCCTCCTCTTCCTCTTCCCCATCCTCGGGTGCCTTGAAGTGTGGATGCCGGGTCTCGCAACCAGGGACGGAACCGGACGAGCCAGCTCGCCCCGCGACAAGTTGCTCGTGAAGTGGAGGAGACTGCAGCCCTCCTGCCCAGCAGCGCATGCAGGCGGTACGACCCCTCTGCCGTACAATTAGTTGCCGTACGAGATCCAAGCTGTACGGCGAGCGGTAGGTCCAGTGGCGGTCCACCCGGACAGCATCCGCCTCGGACCGCAGCTCGTCCAGAAAGTACGACAATTTGCCCTGAGGGGGAAGGAGAAGGGGCTAAGCAGATAGCCAGATGGGTGGCCCTCTCGACATAGTAGGCTGCAAAGGTGAAATGAGAGTGTAGAAAGTCACAATTGTAGAGTCAGGGTAAAGGCGTGCATGCCTCTTGTAGCTTCAGTTATTGGGAAAGGCAAAAGCCTTGCAAATATTGGAGATATGCGCCTTCGTGAGCCGCACTCGCTGATCTCTTTAGTAAAAGGCGAAAGAGATATGAGAGACGTGGGCGGCTCAGCACTTGACTTATCTCCAGAGCAAGTCCGGAGGCAATCCTCTACCAGCCAAGCCGCCTCTATACACGGAAACGATGGTGGGTCGACCTACCTGTTGTTCAGCCCACCTCATCGGCCATGCCTTTGCACCCCATAACCATTCTAACCTGTTTGCTGCTTCTAAAACCCAACAACCGCCGCAGCCTTGCCACCCGGTCGGTTAGATTCTCCCTCTTTACCGCCCTCACCCCGCCTACCTGCGAGGGCCGCGGCTGCTGCTCCCTCCCCGCCACCGCTGCGGGAGCTGCCGTGTCGTCGGCCACCCCATCCTCACACCCATCGCCCTGCGGCTGCTGCTGCGGCTTCTGCGGTCGGCATGTTGGCGCGGGCGGGGGCGGGGGCGGGGACCACAGCGAGTACCTGCAGGGCAAGCAACGCAATGTAAGCAACACGATCGTGGTGGTCGGAGGAAGCGAAGGAGGAGGAAGAGGAGGAGGACGGGAGGGAGAGAGGCCACAGCTGGGGACCCATCACATCAGCTCCAGGGCAGGGAAGCGGAAGGTGAGTTCCCACACCCGGGGTGGCGGCCCCCACCCGCGTGTGCACACCAGCAGCAACCCCAACAGCTGTGTGATGTGGGTGCATGCATGGGTGCATGCATGGGTGCATGCATGGGTGCATGCATGGGGGCATGCATGGGGGCATGCATGGGGGCATGCATGGGTGCATGCATGTGTGCATGCATGGGGGCATGCATGGGGGCATGCATGGGGGCATGCGTGGCAGGCTGGGTCGCCTACCTGCAGCACAACTAGACATAACCACCATGCAAACACCCCGAGGAGTCACTCGGTGCAGCAGCTCACGCAGCTTATTGCTATGCCAGTATCCACTGCCCCATCTATACTGGTCTTCCGGTAATGCCCTGTGCGGCTATCTGTTCAACCGCCGTTGTTACTACAAGCCCTGTTCTCCCGCCCTCCACCGCCACACCGGTAGCAAGGCTCGTCCCACAGCCGATCCTCACGCACCCCAGCTGCCCGCCGTAGCTCGCGCAGCATAGCCGCAGCAGCGTAGCTGGGGATGGCGGCGAAGACCAGGCGGTGCAGGTGGCGGGAGTGACCCATGGGTCGCGGCAGCGCCAAAATGCCGTGCAGCGCCGTCAGGAAGAGACGCACTTGGTGGGCCTTGTCGTCGGGGTCAGGAACAGCAGTAGCCTGGGAATTGAGGGTGCAGTTGTTGCTGTTGTTGTCACTGCTGGTGTTGCTGATGTGGTTATGGTCGCGATGAGCTTGCGTTTCTTTGGCAGCCTCCTCCACCTCCTCCTCCTCCTCCACCTGCTGTTGTTGCTGATGAGCTTTGCCGCGGGAGGAGCCCTGCGTAGGTTGCGGTTGGGAAGGGCTTGGGGCTGAAGAGCCTTGCTTGGGTGCAGGTGGGGTACGTACGGGAGTAAATAATGCGCACGTACGTACGGCAAGGAATTAGGCACATCACAGGGAGCAAGATTTGCCAGAACGCTACCTCCAGGGGTTCACAAGCAAGGCGCAGCAATGATTGGCAGCCCTACTGCAACGCAAGCGAGGTGCAATCGCTCTATCTGCTGCACCGTTGCTGGTTAACCGCAACGGTCAAATCGGTCCGTTTGCTCACCCGCAGGACGGCGTCAGAAGGTGCCGGCCTAGCTTCCACGAATACCGAGTAGGAGCTGCGGCCGGGAGCCAGACAGTGGATCACAAGCACCTGGGCGGTCGAGGCAAGCTGCTGCAGCAACCGCGCCTGCTGCTGCTGCTGCTGCTGCTCAGAGGACTCTACGTTCGAAACGTCAATACCATCCTCGCCCGCTACAGCACCACCATTAATCACACCATCGTTGCTGTTGTTTGTAAACTGCTGGCCCGCAGCTGAATAATGATCAGGAGCGGCAAGAAATATGCGCTTGGTGATGCCGGGAAAGCGTAGCAGAGAAGTCGCACGGATGGGATCATTTAGCTTGTCACATCGCTCGCAAATGGTGCCAAGAATGTCTGGGCTGCAATCTTTTGGAACCAGGCGGAGCAGCGGTATGGGGCAAGGCTGCATAGCAGGCGACCGCCGGCTTGCATCCAGCTGTTCCTCGCCTCACGCTTCGCAATGCGCATGCGCTTTGGCGGCAGGGTTTACTGACTTTCGAAAAGGGTGTGAAAGGATGGGTGCACCGGTTCAGAAGACGCTCGTTCGCACGCTTTGCCGGAGCAAAGGCGCCCGGTGCGGAAGCCAGCCTTCTCCTCGGGTTTAGCACTGCATAGCCTAAAAATATAGCTCTGCCGGCAAGCAGCTTCGTGCTGAAAAGTCGCAGGCTGGTAGCCTGCAGCTGGCAGCAGCCTTCAAATCGCAACATTCGTACGGGCCGTCCAGTAAGCCTACGTCACTAGATAGCCGTTGAATATGTTACATCGTCTTGTAAAAAGGTAAATAACATAGATGTCGATTACATTGTGTAATTAGGGGCATGAAGTGCTGACAACGTCATCGGTCCGAACCGAGGGTCCTTTCGTACGCAGAAGCCCCGATAGAATGAATGAATGACCGTTAGACTTTAATGCAGGGACTTCCGATTCAAAGTCACAAGCAAAGCAATGTCTACAGCATATACAGTAGATCTGAAAGCCCTGGTCGG